TAATTAAAAATTTTTAACGTTTTGATGGACTTATAATTCCCAACGTGTTTTGGCTGAATCTTAGTGGGATAGGGCTTGATTGCGGCCCATTCCTCAGTTCTCCGGGATGACCGGCAGTTTCTCTGAGAAACTGATTTCGGTTTTTGGAAGTGTGCGTGTGCTTGTGAAGTGGTTCCTGCTGATGCCTTCTACTGGACTCCACTCCAGGATGCAGTGCATCATCACCTGACTTGGTATGGTGTTTTGCGATTAATAACTTTAGTTATTCTTAATACAGGTGATGCTGATCCCTTCCTGCTTATACTGGACTCCAGGATGCAGTGCCTCCAAACCCAGCGAAGTGAGTATCATTTTTTAAAATTTAGTGATGACCTGGAGGCCGTGCAAAAGCAATTAAAATATTCAATATAGCAATAAAGCATCTCCGAAAATTCGAAATTTTTCATCGGGAAACTCTCTGTTCATGAATATATATTCTCCCTTAGAAGTATATCATGCTTCGGCGACACGGAATACGGCTAATCGGTAGTCACGATGCAACCAGTCACCCGGTGGCATAACCCGATTAGATCCTTGCCCCTTGCACCTTCCCCTGCACCTGCCCCTTCCGCTACGAAGTCAGCAATAAAATGCAACAGGAAATGAAATGTAAACGCTCGCAGTGCAATCGTGTGTAAGTTCTGGCAATGGCATTATTACAGCGCCGGACTGGCTTGCAGTTCGAGTGAATTGTGAATTTACCACCCGCTCTCCGGCCTTTTTGCTGCTGCTGCTGCTGCTGCTGCTGCAATGGAAATGGAAAATTGTTAGCATCATCAACACGTAGCGTTGACGTGTTGAAAATGCTGAAAATTACAAAGGTGAGCCACGGGTTGGAAATCGGGGCGACGTGGCCTGCCTTGCCAATAAAAAGCTTTTCAATTCAATTTCCACACATTTGACGAACGCAACAAAAATGTATTATTAACTTAAATCATTTTCCACATTATTATTCACACCTTTTATGAAGCGCTTTTAAATATGGTTTGCAATTTGGGGGCTTGATTGTTTTCAAAAATAAATACTTGGTAATTGGTGCCAGATTGCGTTCATCACTTTATTTAGTTTTGCGATACATTTTCTTTTTTTTTTTGTGGATGATCAAAGGACAAGCATCGTAATGGCATCGTTTTACTCATCTGTTACTCTTACCGAATTCTCGTTGCCTGTTGCTCCTGCCACTGCCTTTGTTTCTGGTTATGGTAATGGTTAATATGTCGCCGTTTTTTGCGGTTTTTATGTAAATTAATTGAGATTTTGTTGTCCGTCGTACGAATACTTTTATTGGTATTGCTGCGGCTGTTGCGCTCGGTTTATTGTATTTTTCGCTCTTTGTGTTCGATGATGATGATGATGTCTTTTGTTTTTCGTGTACACGGAGTGGAAGAGCTAAAGTTTAATCCGAGACTATATTCGAGCTTAAAGTATACTGTCTGTTAATATAGTATAATAATGCAATTAATTATCCTGCAATTTCAGAAAGAACTTGAGAGATAGTAAGGATTAAAACGCTAATAAGACAGATTGCTTTGATTCTGTCGCTGGTATTTAATGGGACTGCAAAGTCTGTCCTGTTTATCGTTTGCCTGTCCGTGTCGTTTTTTTTATTATTTTTCAGATATTAGCCATCCGCTCCGTTGCCTTTATCGCCCGTGTGTTGTCCCTTATGCTGTTCCTGTTGGCCAACTTTGTTACCTGTTGGCTGTTGGCTGTTGCATGCCCTTCTCCTGCTCGCTTCCTGCTCGAGTTGGCCGTGTTTGACTTCATTTAGTTTTAGCATAAAAAACGCGTTAAGGACGCACGCGGTCAGCAGCGTCGTTAGCTTCTCCACCTGTGTGATACCCGCCCGCAGTAACCCCTCCCCCTTTCCCCGCCCCCCAATAATGGCACTGAAAGTAAAAATCTTAAAAAAAGGCATATGGCAGGCACGAAAAAAACACAAACAACACAAAGCGATGTCGGGGAAGCCAGGGGGAGAAACGAAGAGGAAAAGTCGACGAACAGCAAAGGAAATGAAGAAAAACTTGATTTATTTTTATGTGCTCAGCGATGCGGCAAGAAAAATGGGAGGGGATGGGTTTTCCATTCATACAAAGGCTACGTGCGTAATGACCAGGCACACACACACACACCGCTACACACCGACACACACACGCACTCACGCACTTGAAGTTAAAGAAGTTCCACGTTGCGTATACGTAATCATATTCTTTCTTATTTATATTTTTGTTTCGGCCCCGTCCTGCCCAACTCCTGCTAAATTATACATCTGCATGTGTATATACACGTATAGATGTACGTTTATATAGTGAATATACATACCTGAGCAGGGCGGTTGTGTCCTGGCTGCGTGGACAAGTGGCCAAAAAGAAAAGCGCGGCTCCCAAATCAATGGGAAAGCGCCGCACAAAAGGAGTTTGGCGAATATTGCGGAGAGTTGATGTCCGACAACTTAAATATTTGCTAAATAAATACATGAAACTGTTAATAAATAAGACATTTGCGAATAGAAACTTATGGTACGTATTACGTATACGTACAAATTGAATGAAGTCGGAGATTGCTTGCCCACTTAAAAACCGCAAATGTTTGCCAAATTCTGCAGACAATTAGAAAATTGCATTTTGTGGGCAGCCTGGCAGAGCCTGGCAAATAAGGAAACATACTTCCCCCAATCGTGTTTACAATACATTTTAATAAAGTCAAAAAGGCGCTCGGGTGTGCGGTGGTGTGCGATGGCGACGAGGGGGAATCTCCGGGGATGTGTGTGTGCGATGGTGTGTGCCAGGTGAGCCCGAAGGGAACATAATAAAAATATGAAAATCAAGTGAAATCATTTCCATTCAAATTCAAATGGCAAGCCAGAACGCCAAAGGAACGAACGAGCCTTCTTGGCTGCCAATGCGACGTGGCATTCTGGGGAGCTGTGGCAGCTGAAAACTGATATTCAATTCAATCAGTTCTGCCCGAGACCTCGGGGAGGTGATGGAGAGGGGAAGGGCGAACTCCACAGCCAGAAAATACCGAGAACACTGGTTAGCTTAAACAAGTTTACGCCAAAAATATAATGTTAATAACCTGCTGATTCCTCAAGAGAAAAGACATTTCAAGAGAAATCTGATAATAAACTTCGATTGTAAATGAACGTTTATATTTTTGGGTCGAATCTACTCCGTGTTTTTTCCAGTGCAGCCAGAAGATTGGGATTCGAAATGGTTCCGAGCTCAAAATGCGGTTAGATCCTAATACGGCGACCAGTGTACCAGTGTGTGTGTGTGTGTGTGTGTGTGTCAATGGCTGGAACTGATTCTGATTGAGAATCCTTCCTCGTCCGGACCTCCCGATTGATGGCGGCCCAGGAAATCGGCCGAAGGCGAAGCCATACACTCCGCAGGACCAGATATATTTTATGGGCGCGACGGCGGCCTTCACCTACACTTCACCACCTGTTATACATAGCCACCCAACCAGCCAACCACCCAACCACCCACCCACCATTCGAACTCCCCGTCACCGCCCCATCTCACTGGCAACTTTGCGCCTCCATTCACTTTAACAATAAATTTCAGCAAATAAATCAAAATGTAACAGAAGCCGTGTGGAATTTTTAAGTGGCAGGTGCCGCAGCAGCATCCCGCCACCCGAAGCATCCGTGGTGCCACCACCCACCCTCCAAAAAATCGGGCGAGCGGAGAGGGCTCAAAGTTTTTGATTTTGCTGCAAAAAAGCTTGCCTAAGAACCAAATCGAGTGCCAAGGGGGGGGCGTAATGAAAAATAAAGCCAGAAGGGGCCAAATAGATTACAATCAGCGGAGTTGATTTCATTTCCATTTAAACCCCATCTTTAGCACCGCTAAAATAAAATTAAATTAAAAATTAAATAAAAAATCGAATGATATAGTTTGTTAGAGAAAAAAACTACTAACACTTAGAGGTATGCCACTTCGAAATCTGATTAAAATTAGAAAAGTTATGGACTGAGAATTAGTGCATTTTGGTCAATTTTAAGCAAACCCATTTGTGGAAATTTGAAAATTCATAATTCATAAAAAAAATTCATAAAAATTTAAAAAAATCCAATAAATTGTTAGAGAATTAAAATAGAAACTTTAAGCGGTATGCCACTTTGAAATCAGATTGAAATTACCAAAGATATAAATTGTTGTTGTTTAACTGAGTGACGGGTATCTGATTGTCGAGGCACTGGAATATATATAACTATATCTCTTGATTTCCTTTTTAATTTGGCTTTGTTTTCTGTTTTGTCGTGCATGTAGGCAACAATTTCGCAACCTTTTCCGAAGCAATTTCATGGCTCTGCCGCCCCTTTCTTTGGGGCAACTTTCACCCTTGATGCTGGACACCTTATCAGGTCGAATGTGTTCTTTTCAGAAGGCGGAAGGTCAAGAGCGGTGTCGGGGGCGGGGGCGTGGCTCGTGAGCGCGGCATCAGCAAGCAAATGATGTTAAATCGTACGGAAAGTCACAGCGTGAATCCTGTCCACCAGGATTCTCCTGCGGAGAAGTCGTTGTCGATGCTTTTGAAGATGCCCCACTGTCATTGCCATTGATCCGTCGACCACCACCCACCACCCACCGCCCAGCAGGACCTTCACCCCCCCACTCTCGTTGTCCTTGGCTCATTATAAACGGCGGCCACTGTTGCATGGACGGCGACGGCGACGGCGACGCCGACGTCGCTACCTGTTGGAAAGGCAAACAACGCTGGCAGAGCTCCTCGATGCGCCTGCGCTGGAAGGGAGTCTCCACAAGGTCGTCGGGTTGTGTAGAAAGGGGGCGGATGGAGTCCTTTCATTCAAATGTTCCCGACTCCTTTTGGAGACTCGCAAAAAGTAACGGTCACTTGCTTAGCAAAGGTTATAAACCAGAAACTGCATTTCAGCAATTAAAGATGCTAAAATTTAACGGTTTTATTTTTGTTTAACAATATTAGTGTGACCAAGTAACTAAGGGATTTAAATTTAAGAAACTTGTATGCCTTAGAAGTATACAACAAATGAGTTGCTCTAAACTGAGGAAAAGAAAACTGTAAGCTGTTAAAATAAGATGCTAAATTTAAGATGCTAAAATTTAACGGTTTTATTTTTGTTTAACAATATTAGTGTGACCAAGTAGGATTTAAATTTAAGAAACTTGTATAGCTTAGAAGTATACAACAAATGTGTTGCTCTGAACTGAGGAAAAGAAAACTGTAAGCTGTCAAAATAATGCATTAGGCAATGCGTTTCGAGAAGTGATGTTCAAACGAAAAGATGCTTTGTTAATAAGAGCAACATGCCGCTTGAGAACCACAAAACATGGCAGGCAGAGATCCCTGTGGAGGCCGAGTTAGAAGGACCTGTGGCATTCGGCTGCAGGAAGTCGAGGTTGTGAGTGCTGGGCAAGTCGGTGTAGTAGTTTGCCCAAATGGCAAAGGTCAGCAGGTCGTTCTGCCCAGTCGACAGGCTGAGTTCCGTAAATATAGGCTTATCTGGGTTGTCCGCCGCAATTGGTGACTCCGTCCAATCGAACTCCGAAACGGAAACGGGCAGGAAGAGAGCATTCAAGGTGCTGGGCATGATCAAGCGACGACCACGGGGAGCGGCCGGAAATGTGCCGGAAATGTTCAGCTTGGTGAAGTGGTGCCTGTTGACGACCTCCTCGAACTCGGGGAATATGTAGCCACAGCTGGCGACATCCTCACCCGTGCAGGCGAACAAGGCGCAGGTGGCTTGCTCCGTGCGATCCACTCGAATCACGGTGGTTTCATTGCCGTAATATACGCCTATTCTATAGCGATAGGACCTGGATGCACTTGAAATCTCCTCGTTGGATGGTGTGGCCTGCCTTTCGATGCTAAAAGAGCAGCAGAAGGATCTGTGGCACAAGCGCCTCTCGAAGCTCAGGAAGTCCTCCGCCAGGAGCTCGCTTTCGAATATATCCACATTGTAGTCCCTGTAGGTGGCCACGCCCGTCAGTCTCTGGGTCTTCAATTGGGGTGTAAAGAGTGGCGTAAAACCGGGGGCAAGTTGACCACGCCCCCTCTTCGGGACCTCCGATATCAACAGCTTGGTGGTGGGCTCTTCGAAAACCTCAGCCACGAGTCTCCCCCGCGACCGGCATATATCCCCGATCCCGTGGTGCGTCCTTTGGGCTCGCTGGCATCCGCCGCCAACAAGTTGACATCATTGGCAAATGCCCAGCCCTCCTGAAGCTGGACGGCTCCCAGAAACGGCAGCTCCGAGAACCAGTAGGTGGGATACACTATGTCCGTGATGTTCAGTTCCCTTACCAGTTTCATTGCGGGATCGTAGAACAACATATCGAAGCAGATAAAGTGCCCGAAGGTCACGCCGAAATCGGTAGTGAAGGTGGATACATCGGGAGAACGGAGCACCGACATTTCCACGTATTCGTGGCGCCACAAGTGGGTTTTCCTATATCTCGAGATAACTCTTCCCTTCCGATCGAACACCACGTTGGTGTTGAAGAACCTAACTCCCGTTGGGGGGCACGGATTAATGGTATCGGAGCCAGCTCCGTTCGCACAGAGCTCCTTCTCCACCACGTTGATGACCACATAGAGGCCACCGGATCTCGCCGAGCAGGACAGTTCGATGAGGAAGAGCTCGTAGTCGGTCTGGTAACAGGGGGTTATGTTCTGGGATCCATCGGGCACGAAAGTGGCCGTAGCCCGCCTATTGATGACGTGCTCGGGGAATACGATGATATCCACTTCACTGGCATTTCTGATGATCTCCTGAAAGGACTCCGAGGCAAGAGTAGTGCGTATACGGAGAGATTCCCCCTCCACTTCCCTGTGCTCCACAACCGCCGCCCAGTAAGTGGGGTCTTCGGGCTTGGAAAGCTGCGGAGAAAATGCGTATTGTACTTTTGTCTATGTGACATAACTAGTTAATCCTAGCTAATCCGAATTAGTTATAAGAATTGATTAAAAAACATATCAAGATTGTGTATACGACTAGTTGAACAGCCAGCGTACGAAACATTAGTGTTCTCCGATTTAATCAGTCAACATCTTCTCTTGAAAATGTTTAAGGAACAAGAACATTCCAGATCTTCCCTATAGATATACCTGATGAGATCTTGTGCAGAACGTAACCACCAGAAAAAAGAACAACTGAAAGGCCTTCATGATGGGTCCGTGGCCGAAATTAAACTGAAAACCGTCGCGTTCTTACCCAAAAATGAAGACAAAGTGTGAAGTGCAGGGCCAAAGCCAAATCGCAATATCTTGTCATTCATGCCAATTGTTTTAGGGGGAAACTGAGATGGATATACCGGGACTATGCATTTGTCTAGATAAGACTTTATGTCGCACGCCTCATAATCATTAGCAATCAAATTTTGACTCGGATTTAACACTGCGTCAATATAATAAGATAGCAATTTATTGAAGTATAACCTTTACTTTGCCAATAAAAGTCATACTACGATAAAACTTGACAATGGCAAAGCCCTGGGTTAACGACCTGCGATTATAATATGTACTTGGGAGTAATTTGCTGTCTATTTTTTTGTATTGAAAACTTTTTGTGTGTTTAAAAACATATTTTAGTTTTAAATACGAAATAGTTACTTAAATTTAAGAAACTATATCAACCAAGCTCCTCATTTAAAAACGATAGGCCGTTGGTCGAACAATCGTCATCGACTTAAGCTTTAAGCTGCCTTACAGTGCTATCGGGCCCCACCGGCTGGTCACACAGCCCCAGCGAATTTCAGCTGTTCCACACGCTCACCGCAACAACAAAACGCGGCGGCAGCAACAACAATTAAATACAGACACTACACACGAACTTGATTGTAATAAAGCCGTTAACAGTTATTAGTGGGCTACCAAAAAAAAAATCGTCGCAGTTCCAATGCGCCCAACGAGCAGTTAACAGCATTCCAAGGAGAACCTCTAAGAAAGAGATAGAAAAACGGTGAAGGTCGCGCTGCGAACAGAATGCGGAGAGCGAGCGAAAGAGAGAGATAATTGATTTGCAGGTTCGTTAATGGTGTTAGTTCATATTCTATCAACCCCGTGTGCGTGTTTGCGTGCTTATGAACCCAACAACTGATATAGTCAATCTTGGTTCTTAATTCTTTGCATCCCGGCAGCAAAAAAAGATCGAGATCCGCTAGCAAACCGGATTAACTAGCACCCGGAATATCTTTGCCCGAGTAGAATATCTTCCTTTGCCAGAGTAAGTGATACCGATTATAATAGCCCGCCAAACAATCCTCGCATTTCTTATCGGCAACGTGACAATCAACCGATTTGCCGACTAACGCTGAGCGGGCAGAGGTACCGCCCCATAACCCCACCCACCGACCTTTTATTAGAATTTTAAAAGCATAACTACCCCAGATTACACCAATCTCAGTTAGCATTTTAAAATCTTTACATCAGAAGACAGTCTAGAAGTATATCTTGTTAATAAGTTAATAATAAGTACAAAAATCAACGTACCAATCACTTTATATTTACAAACATATCTTCACGATCCATATCACACGATCCCAGTGAACAGAAATAAAGTCTTTGACCTTATAGATTGATCTGAACAAGAACAAAATATTTTAATAATCTTATCATTTTAAAAACCAGTTTTTCTAGTTCAACATTGCGGAAATGGAATTAAAAAAAATTTCTGCAACATTTATTCAGTTAACATAATTTAGTCAAAATTAAGGACAAAGAAATTGTCGAACTGATTGTTTTACGAACTGATTATACTACTATATCAAATCAAATTATTTGCGCGCAAACATAGGATGTTTCACCTACAGAATAACTGATAACACAGAATGTTTAACATGCGAGATAAAAGAAAATATCAAACACAGCAGACAGACTATCAATAAAGAAAAGGGGGATGTTACTTGGAGTGTCTGATAACTTGTTTCAACAGTGTAGTATAGTGTAGTGGCTTCCAGTATTCCCCTTGAATACGCCGTCTCCAGAGATATTTCACAATACATACATATTTCATATTCCATCAACGTTTCGGCGTAAAAGCAATTTAAAATCCTAACTAGTAAGAAATATGGCAACTATAAATATATGGCCATGTATTTACTAACCCATAAATTCATTTCAAAATCCTAGAAAAATAATAATAATTAAAGAAAATGGTATACAATATACAAAATATAATTTGTTAAATCTTACTCTTCAGATATGGCTTTGAATGTAAAGGCCCTTCTGGGCATGCTGTTCGTGTTCATCGGCTGCTGCAGCAACGTGGTGTTCCTAGAGCTGATAATCCAGATCGATCCTGGAGCCGGAAACCTGATCACCTTTGCCCAGTTCCTGTTCATCGCCCTGGAGGGCCTGGTCTTTACATCGAAATTCTTCACGGTGCGTCCGAAGATTGCGCTGAAGGACTACGTTGTCCTGGTGGCGCTCTTCTTTGGGGCGAATGTGTGCAACAACTATGCGTTCAACTTCAACATACCCATGCCCTTGCACATGATCTTCCGCAGCGGATCCCTGATGGCGAACATGATCATGGGCATTATACTGCTGAAGAAGCGCTACAACCTCCGGCAGTACAGCTCGGTGGCCATGATCACGGCGGGCATAATACTCTGCACCCTGGTGTCCAGCGGCGATGTCAAGGATAACACACACCACAGCCTCAAAGTGGAGACATCCTTCTCGGACTTCTTCTGGTGGTCGGTGGGCATTGGTCTGCTGACGATCGCCCTGCTGGTCACGGCCTACATGGGCATTTACCAGGAGGTGATCTACAAGAAGTACGGCAAGCACCCCAGCGAGGCGTTGTTCTTTACGCACATGCTGCCGTTGCCCGGATTCCTGATACTGGCCGGGAATATATGGCAGCACTTCGGCATTGCGTGGTCCTCGGAACCGGTGGCCATTCCTCTGCTGGGCGCCATCGGTCTGGAGTGGAAGTTCCCACTGATGCTGTTTTACCTGCTCTGCAATGTGGTCACCCAGTACGTGTGCATCAGCGCCGTCTACCTTCTGACCACTGAGTGCGCCTCGCTAACCGTCACCTTGGTGGTCACACTGCGCAAGTTTGTCTCGCTGCTGTTCTCCATCATCTACTTCCGGAACCCCTTCACACTGAACCATTGGGTGGGCACCGTCCTCGTTTTCTTTGGCACCATACTCTTTGCCAACGTGATCAACCAGGTGAGGGACGCCTATCGAGCCAGGTCGAGCGGGAAGGGCCGCTTCGACACCGCCCCGCTGGCCAAGAAGGCGGAGTAATCTTCGAGAGCTGTGCTGGATCCTGCTGCAGAGGCCATAGTCCATTAATTAGTAGTCCTAACGCCTTGTTTGTACATAGAATACGGTTAAATTGGGAATACGCTTAGCGTTTAGACGCCTCTTTGTGCTTGTGCGTGTCGTCTGTCTACAGTTTATATTGTTTGTTTTAATACTTGAACTTTAAAGTGTCCAAAAGTTGTAATATACAAAGTTAAGCTTTAAGCCATCGTTTAATTGATTTTTTTAATAAACTATAAATGTGAAATTCAAAAGGGCATCTTTGCTTTGACATCATATACACAAAAAAAGGATATAGTACTGCTTGCGTACCTGGGAGTACCAGACTTCAAGATAAGATATGCAATCAAAGCTTTCCAGAGAATTCAGCTATTAGTCAGCTTCCGAAAACATGTTGATTGGCTTTCAAAATCAAAATTATTCCTCAGCTCTTTCTTTCGTTTCTTTCCAAGTCTAAAGATATGCAGCATGCTTCTAGCTTGAACTCCGGGGTTATTCCAAAGTTGTTTTTTGTTTGATCAGTTGTTTTTGACGAAGGATTTCTGTAGACATCTATTTAGAGTAACATGTGCACGTTCCGGTGTGAGAAAAACAAACTTTTATTGCCACATTCTTGTATATAAGTGTGTATTTGTATATAGGTATATATGTATATTCAATGAGTTAATACTTATGAAAGGATTTTTATCGGGGAAATCGTGTTATCGGGCTCCAACTTCACACACTACAATATCGTACATAACATTCGCTTGTGTTGTCTACTTTTTGTTTAATTTAAATGCACAGGTAAGTACAGGAATATCAGGAATCAAAGAAACAGGGGCCGCGAAAGCAAAAAAAAATATATATTAAATTATCAAAACGAAACTCATGATGGATAGTTTGGACAGGCTGATTGCAGAGGCAGCTGGCTGGCGATCGATTCCTCGCGATCTTACTGCTCATCCTTGTCCTTGGCACCGTGCTTGAGGATGCGCGTGAACTCCAGATAGTCGAACAGACCGTTTTTGATGGGAGCTTCCCGATACATCTCGTCCACCTGGAAGGGGCCGTATAAAAACTAGATCTCTTAAATACACCGGTAATTTAACTCACATCCTCGTCTGTGAACCGATCACCCATGGTGGTCAGCAGCTCCCTGAGCCGGTCCTCGGGCAATACACCCATGTTCTCCTCGTCGAAGCAGCCAAATGCGTTCTTGATCACGTCCTCGGGATCAGTGCCCTGCAGCCGCTCGCCGAAGAGCGTGAGGAACATGGTGAAGTTAATCGGTCCCGGCGCCTCGTTCATCATGCCGTCGAGGTAGTCGTCCGTGGGGTTCTTGCCCAGCGAGGCCAACATGTCGTGGAGATCCTCCTTTTCGACGAACCCGTCCCGGTTCTGGTCGATCATGTTGAAGGCCTCCTTGAACTCGGCGATTTGCGCCTGGTCGAACATGGCGAACACATTGGAGGTGGCGCGTTGGGCACGCTTCTTGGTGGTGGCACGACGTCCGGCGGTCTTGCGAGAGGACATGGTTCTCGAATGTAGGATCTAGTGAGGACAAATGGAGCTAAATGGAGCCGGCGGAGCTAGTGGAACCAGTGGGTCGCGCTGGAGTGATGTGTGTGCGGCGTGGATCTGAAAAACAAAACCAAAAACGGCGACTCGCATTAGCATTCGTTGGCCGGGTATGTATTTATTGCTATATATAGACATATTGCAGCAAATTCCGCTGAAACCGATTTTCAGTGCTCCCCAAACAAACTGTGTCAACAGGCAGTGAGCGCCCGCTACAGTGAATCAATCGAGCAAGCGAGATGACGCTTCGGTTCGAGCTCCCTCTCCCGTTATCGGTCCACCTCACTGGGGATCCACTGTGACCGACTCATGCACGCACACATGCGCAGTTTCTCTGAGTCACTCGCGCAAACGAAAATGACACGTATGGGAGTTTGGCTCTCTCCCCGCCACTTATTTCCTCAGTATGGGTGTTTATCAATGCTGTTGAACTGCGGTTTACAGAAACAACAAAACACCAATTTGGCTCATTGAAAACATTCTCGCACACAATCGCACATATTACCATTCAATTAAAGCCTTTAAAGGCCCGAATTTAAGCACTATGTTGTTTCTAATGTGTAATCCGTTGCCTGGCTTTTTCCTATTTACATTTAAGTATCATTTTAGCCCAATAACTATTGTTTTTATTTGAGCGCTGCCGAAGCTGACTCATACACACACTTATAATCGCGAGGCCCTTAAGGACAGCGCCCTTTCATTGTCCCACTCCTTGACTTTTTCTATCATGTTTCGGTGGGTCCAATTCATACTTACAGCAGCCGAATGTCGAGTTTTAATACTTTTAAAGTTTCGTTGGAACCTTTCGAGCAGCTGCACTTTTTTTAACAAATGATTTTATTTAAAGTGTTGCCAGATGTGCAAAACATCGGTTTCAAACGATAATATCGATGTATATGTTTTTAACCGATTAAAAAAGGATGATGTCTTCGCTAGGTTAGGAGGGGGCATCGGATATTTTAAGAGTGTGCACCCGATAGACCAACAAAAATACCACGATAAAAATACTTATTTATTTCTCAAAAATATCGATATATTGATATTTTAATATAATTTTCACATCCCTATTTTGCAGCTCTAGTAAAAATTCCTGAATGAAAAGAGCCATGAATTAGGGCAGGATTTCGAAAGCAGGCCTTCCCAGCAGCTTCTTGGCAGCGCGAAAAACTTCAAAGTGTGCAACACATTAGCAGATCGGTCAAGACGTTTAATTTCGAAGCTGCGCGATTCGCAGGCAAAGATGTGTCTATACCACGGACAGGCCATTCATGTGTATCTGTGTGCGAGGTGTCCCATGGCCGTGTGCGTGAGCCTGTGAGTGTGTGTGGGCACACTGGAAAGAATCAATAAAGGATGTGCTGCGAATTGCTGAGCGAGAAAAAAGGACGAAAAGTGCTCCCCAGTTGACTTTTTGGCTCGAACAACCGTTAAAAACGTCCAGCGAGTGAACATAAAACAAAATCGAGAGTGTGGAAACAGTTAATTAGCGAATTAGCGAGTGGGCTGTGCCACAGGACCTCGGGAGTCAGGACTTTGCGTTATTTGGATTCCTGCACACTGACAAGATGATGAGATACTGCCTGCTTATTGCATTGCAGCTGTGTATTGCATGTAAGTAATGAATGATCAAAAACAAGAGGGGTGGGTTAGCAAACGGTGGAGTGGGGTGGTAAGGGCGAGGAGAGGAGCAGGTGACCTCCGCCCTTCTAGCATCCCCGCCCCGTATTGCGCAGTATAAACAAATTCTGACCGTTCTTTACCCCCAACCCCCGGGGCATTACCCATTCAATCCCCGCCAGACTCCGTGGAGGTGCACTTCGAAGCGCCGGACAGTGGCTTCTTCCTGAAGCATGCCCGCCAACCACCTGTGACGCCGGAGATCGCCAACGTGCAGACATCTTCGGCAGTGCCGCCGCTCCGGCAGCGGTCATCCTACGATTCCGTGTTATCCCTGGACCGCTTTACGGTGGTGGAGACCACTCAGCCGGTGTCAATACGCGCCAGCTACGGACCCTTTTCCACCAAGCAGACGGTGCCCGCTCGCTACATTGTGCCGGACACAATGGACAGCCAGTCAGGGGATTACATGAGCGTGAGTAGCCTCCCAATGGTGGCCAGAAACCAACTCGATTTAAATCTGGTCTCCCCAACAGAACGCCACTCTTCTGGAGCTCCAGCAGCCCAACATGCACCTGGACATCTCCGCCCATTTGGTGCGTCCCAGCGTTTCACAGGATGCTCCCGTGCTGCGCGTGCTCTTCCATGCCGGAGCCGATCCTGGTGGTCACTTGCAGCGCCAAAAGGTCTGCGTCCTTCTGCACGTGGCCATGGGCTCAGAGCAGCCGCTCAAGGGGCGCTGCATGCCGGAGGGCGAGGACGGTGTGTGTGTCGCCGAGGTGGTGGTCCCTCTTGGCTGGTGGCCACAGCTTCCGGCGCCCACCCAAGATGGTAGTGGCCAGGCGCCACCCAAAGTCCCGCAGCGCTATGCGCAGGTGTCCTACAGCGTGTTCGAACCGCCTCTACGGAATCCCGAGCAATGTGAGCCCAAGGTGCAGATTCAGCCGTTAACCACCTTCGCCCAGGTTCCCCTGCTGGCCGCCAGAACTCCCTATCGCATGCTGCGCGCCGACGATGCCGTGACCTTCCTTCTGCCCCAACACCCCTTGTATCCACTGTCCCGTCTCCATGTGCCCGTCTTTCTGCACCAGTACCCCGACCAGCGGGTGGCCGCCTTTACGGTGAGAGCTCGTGTCAAGGCGGGCCTAAGGATTCTGGGTGCCACCGCCTCCACGGATCAATGGAGCGTTTCCGTGGAGAAGGAGAACCCCAAGCACACCACTGCACGAGTGACTGCCTTCCGAAAAGAAACCGAATCTAGTCTGGAAGCGGGCGGTAACTTCACAAACGAGGTCTTCGAGGTTTTCTCTTGGCTGCTCGAGGTGGCGGAGGACTCCAATGACATTGTGGATGGTGGAAAGATCGTGTGGTCTGTGACCCATGTTTATGACACGCCCAAGGACAAGGACTCCGGGGAAATGGTAATACCCGATGACAACAAGAAGCGACTGATCGCCAAGCTGGAGATCAACAAGGACGACATTCAGGCGGTGCTGCCAATGGCCAAGATCTGGGAGGTGATGAACACGGCGGTGCTGACGGGCAGGCAAGTGGCCCAGGCCATGAAGGTTTTCATTGTTTCGCAGGCGGGCAAGGTGGCCGACGTGACGCTTCAGAGTTCCTGTCACGCCGAAGATGAAAGTGTTATCAAGGTGCGTTTAGAAAAAAAGACAACCATTGATTCCGATTGATAACCAAACAATCTCCCATAGGTTTCCTCCTCCTGCAGCTCTGTTTATGTGGACGGTTCCGAGCAGCGCGGCTCTTCCAATGCCTCCGTTATCGTCAAGTATGGAACTTACGTGGGCGTGGCCAAGTTCATAGTCTGGATGCCCGAATTTCCGCTGGAGGTCTACATATCCGATTTTCGTCTCTCCCAGATTAAAGGATGGAAAGTCACTGATGACAATCACTTTTTGTAAGTCATTACTTTTTTATATTACCCAAGCCCTATAAATTATTTATACGTATTTACTATAAATTTGTTGGCACTTAATTTGCAAATGATTTTCGGGAAATACTACATTTTTATGGTCTCGCTCAGTTAAAGTTTGAATAGATAATAGCTGGGATTATCTAATAGATTTCCTATTTATTTATTATTGTTATCTATTGTTGAATTATTTCCAAGTTTTGCTAGTGGTTAATGTACAAAGTTACTTTACCCTTTTATTGTGTTTTACTTATCCCGTTTTCGGATTTCGCAGGCATAGCAAGCAGTCGCGACGTAGAAAGAAAAGATCTTACGTTTGGGGCCAGCATGGAACCAATTATTACAACAACCTCGGGGCAGATAAGACAGTTTGCCGTGCCCGCTATCAACAAAGTCCCGTGGAGGTGTATGCCAAATTTCTGGCAGTGGATCAGGTGAGTTTCAGTTAGCGCTCGAATTCGCCATTCGGAATTATAATTTGTTTGTTACCTTAAAACAGAACTCAGGTCGCACCAGCTACTTTATATCAAGGCGTACAGGGTTGCGGGTCACGGATCTGGTACAACCGCTGCTTCGTGTGGCTGATCCCAAGATCGCCTCGCTCAAGGGTCGAATCCTGCAGGGAAAGTCTATGGGCCGCACCGATGTGCAGGTTCTGTCGCCCATTACGGGTCGAGTAATTGGAACCAAGGAAATCCGCGTGGGCAGTGACAAGGTCAACCTTTCTAAGCTCATTGTGCGGGTTATTTCCGGCCTGCAGCTCACCATCAGTCCGGACAACACAATTGAGAACGGCTACCTGGCAGAGACGTCCGTCACCCACAAGCTGACTGCTCAGTATCAGGAGGGATTGCTGGACATCGACTTAGAGTTCACGGATGGCTCCAAGACTCCCTTGCGGTAAGTTTTTATAGATTTTATATGTACTCCAAAACCTTTTAAACCAGAGAAGAAAATCAAATCAAAACAAAATATATTATTAATCTTGCAGTGACATTGCCGTGGAGGACTATTTCCTGCTGGTGGAGAGTTTGGACACAGAAGTGGTGGCCTTTGCTCCCATGCTGGCCTCCCATCATCCGCGTGTCATAGCTGTCGGCGAGGGCAATGGAAACCTGCTGCGCGTGACCCTGCTCCTTTCCGAGGAATGTCGCCAGCGACGCGGCACCTTGAGCAGCTCCAAGCAGAATAAATCGAACGCAGCACCGCTGGCTAGTGCTTTGGCGTCCATCGAGGTGGATTTCAACAATGTGGATATCGTGAGCAAGCAGGAGGCGATCCAAAATGACGGCACTGTGGGCAGGGAACGGAAGAACTACAGGCAAACGGGAGATCTTGCAGATATTATAGGTGCGTAATGGCTACTGCTTTGGCTGCAAATATTTATGTGAAATTATTTCTGACATTCTTTTTAATCTATCGCAGTTGGCATTCCCTTGCGCGACTCCAGTCAGCTGTATGAACCGACTGTTCAGGCGCGCCAACATCGGGGCAGCATTCAGGCGGTCCATAAGGGTCATCATGGCAAAGGCCTCGCAGGCACTGGCACCATGTCCAACATGGAACTGGGCGTCTACGTCCTGCTCACGGCCTTCTCCTTCGCCATAATTGTGTTTGTGATCTCCTGCGTGGTCTACGCCTCCAAGTTCCGACCTGCGATGATTGAATCCGGCTTGGATCCCCTGTCGGCGGGCAAGGGAAGCGGTTCATCCGGATCGGGAGGCTTCCGCGATGTACGCTTAAAGGAGTCGACTACGAATGCCCACGATTGGGTCTGGCTGGGGCGCTCCACCATCGATCGGCAGTCCATTGTGGCCGAAAGCAACACGCACCTGAACCCACGAGGTAGTAATTGATGAGTTTTGAGTTTCTTCGTAATAATAATGCAATGACTTCGTGATTTGAAGCAGATTCCCGCATGCGCATCACCAGCAATCCCATTGTGAACTACGACAATGGGCGACGAGTGAGCTCCTTTGACCAGCAGCCCAAGCTACAGACGCACATTGTGCCGGCCTCCAATTTGAACAAGCAGCACGCCGACCAGTGAGTATTGTGCTTGCATCTTAGCTCGCTTCGGCAAACTCTAATCCCTGAAGCATTTGCAGCTATTTGGCCAACGAGCGCAAGGATAATGCCTTGGACTACAAGCCGCCAGTGCCGCCGCATAGGAACGTGGGTGCAAGGGCCTGTCTGCCGATTCAGCCTGTTTCCGGATCCAGCTCCGTAAAGGTAATATAAGGTGTTAGAATTGAAAACAGCAGTGTCATGTATTTATTTTCAGCAGGATGCGCCCAACAAGCGGCACAGCCAGCTGTACAAGCGTGAGCACTTGCAGAGCAGCGACAACAATGCCAACCAACAGCCGGCACAGCAGCCGAACCAACAGCCACCTTTAGAACGTCCTCACCCACTGGCCCATGCCCATCCGCACCAGCATCAGCGCAGCCATAGCCACAGCCACAATTTCAGCCAGGAGCCACTTATCAAGGCGGCGCACAACAAAATCAAGCAGCAGCAACAGCAACAACAGCAGCAGCAGCACGAGGAGCTGCACAACGCTGAGAAGCTGGTGGAGTACACGAATCCGCACCAAAAGAACGCGTTTCAGTTCGATTCGCTGACACCAAAGAGAGTAACCAAAGCAGTCGCGTCCTCGCCGGCAACGCAGTCCACAGCCGTAGTCCAGGGCAAAGCTAAAGGTAGGATTGCGTCTGCCAAATAGTTTTTGTTGTATATAAGGCCTCCTAACTAACGATTCCTTGATGTCCTTTGACAGAAAACCACAGCATGGCCAGTAGCACCGGGGATGCTGCCAACTCGAATGGAACGGACGAAATCATGCGGCTGCCAGCCAGCGCCGTCAGCCAGGAGCCCACCACGAAGTCGTCGCGTGTCAAGCGCGCCACCGTGGTGGGCAATCCCATGTTCTCGGCCACCGTGGACGAGTCCGTCGCCCCCGGTGAGCGTCTCGGGCTGGACGATCTTGACATGGACTACGAGCAGATCATGCACTACTTTGACAACCTAAAGGTAAGTGAACTTAGTCGTCTTATCTGTTCTATTCTAATTGTAATGTATTTTCCATTATATGTACATTTACGTATGTACACTTAAATAAGAACTCATTTGCGTCTCGATTTATTTAACTTACACACGAATTGTATTCCATAGGAGTCAAATGCCTGAGTACAGGAGATCATTGCTAAAATTCGCGAGATATTGTCCACATTCCATCACCGCTACCAAACGGTTGCCACGCCCCTTACCTCGCCCACTCGCAAGCAAATGCAGCTGCTTGATGAGCTGGTCGCCGGAGTGACATCGGCCACGGAAATCGGCGCAACCGCAACCAAGCCAACATTGTTGCCCCTGGGAGATGTAGATGTAGAAGCTGGCGAGGCTTTCGATGCCTACGATGGAGCGTTGGACATTGAGAGCAGACAGTTCTAGACGTCGCACAGATGGCACAGATCTAAACGCAATTCTAGCAATACCCCCCCGTACTCTACAACAACAAGGAAAGCACTCTTTAAAACAATCCATGCCGAGGTCGAGAGGAGAGGAAACCGGAAACGGGAAACCGGAAACGGGAAACCGGAAACGGAAAACGGAGTACGCATATAGGCAAGGCAAGGACAGAAGGAGAAACATATTTATTGCTAGGCTAAGTTCATATTACTGCATACACCTATAGGCATATGTAAACGTGGAGATAATCCAAGTGTATCTCGAGGAGCGCGTGCCTGACACAATCGGAATCGACGGGCAACCATATATAGTATACAACTATCTTATCTCTGTAACTGTATCTGTATCTGTATCAGTATCTTCATAAGAACTATGGTGTAGTTAAGGATCAGCCATCTAAAGCATAGCTTAATCCAGACATTTTTTCCCCATTTCTTCGCTTCACACATACACACGCATTCTTGGATAATGTCGCATACCTACCTACTACTGTCTCATCCGTCTGATTCGATTCTAATCCTGATTCTCTGTATTCACACGATCTCGGCCCAAACTTGCATATCCTATATCTTCTCTCTGTTGCGTGTGCGTGTGCGAGTGTGTGTGTATGAAAGTGCTTTGTGTGTGCGTGGGTGTGCGCCAGAGAAAGTGAGATAGTGAGAGAGTGCGAGTGCGAGTGCGAATGTGAGGGAGACAGCGACAGAGAGAAATAGAGAAAAGAGGAGAGTTTCCAAAATGTGCCGGGCACCGCTCCCAAAAGTCGCTAGAACTTAAAAACTGAATAATATACATGCTATATACAAATATATATATACATACATATATATATTTATTATTATAGAGCGCGCGAAATTTAATGAAAAAAAAAAAAACAAAAACAATACAAAAAGATAACCCAAAATGCTACATTATCTTAAACGAAAACTTGAACAGAAAACGTCGCTTTATAAGTTGGTAATTGAAGCCTAATACCTAATACCAATCATAAATCTAAACTAGAAATGAACCACGCAAACACAACACAAATAATATATAGACGCTTATGAGCTTTATTTGATCGATTGCATTGAAAAGGAAGCTAAAAGCAGCTGAACAGCAGCAGAACCCTTAAGCGTAACAAACTGAACCGAACAGAATCACAAATAGTACGGGGAAATGTGTAACCAAATATTATATGATATTACCGAGCGATCCAAGCTTTAGATAACAAATTTACCATATTTATAGCATACGTGCGTATTTATTATCATTATTATTATTACGGTTATTATTATCTTGTCTTATGATTATGATTATCGTATGTATTTATTACCAACGAGAAAAGGAACAAGTGCAAAATTACTTCAAATCCAAATCCAAATTCGAATGCCGAAAGCCATACTCTACTTTGAATAGCGAAATTAGACACACTGTAAAACACGCAAGAAAAATCAAATGCCGCCAGGATACGCCAAGTCCTTCCCCGCCTAAAATGGCCAACGTATTCTTATCTATATAGAGATATATTACGATATATACGAATAGATATATATGTATATTCATTCACTTGTGTTTCACATGCGCGCTCTCTTTTTAAGCCGATCAACACGTATTTATATGTAATTGCATCTGTTCGTTTTCCTTATCGATGATATATACCCAAAAAGCTACTTCATTCCATTAGCAAATCATACTTGTAGCCACTAATTGCGTAATTTGTCTTCTTTCGTTTCTGTGTAAGTCTGTTTATTTTCGTTATTAAGATTTGTAATCACATCTATGTAGATCTACGTATAAGTGTCTAATCCGACTAGTTTATATTTTAGAGGCCATCTAAGTATTATGTTCGTTTCTCTCATTGTTTCATAATCATATGTTGTAAATTGTTCCGTCCAAAAAAAGAAATGAAAAACAAAAACAAGAACAAAGCTGAATGAAACGATAAACAAAAGCAAGAAAAACAAAGCAAACAATTGTAAAACGAAATTAAGCAATCTATATCTGTTTTTTTGTAAGGCTTGTAACAAAGTCCAGAAGGAAACGCACGAAATCAATGTTTATAAACTAAATTTGTAGTCCTTGAAGAGACTTTCGGACACTTAATATTGCACTGTACTGTACATAACGTGTTAAAGGCGCAGTACGTTTCGTTATACGGCAGACTCGCTGAATATGATCCAATATTTGTTTATCAAATCAACTAAATTGCCTGGGAACTGTTGTTGAAGTAGAAGTTATGAAAGGCAAGAGGTGAATTTCGGATCTAGGCCTGTCCCTATAGGAAACGCACTGAACCTATTATTAATCTTAAACTTGAGTTGCTCTTTCAAGCTAAGGACTGCAAAATCACACGCATACACAAAAACACATCACAATCCTATTGATTTCGACCTGGAATATCATTAGCGTATAGAACTAGATTCAATTGTTTGCCACTCCCTTCGGCTTTCTTTGTGCAATCCCAGTAACAGTATAAAACTATATACAACATATCCCCGATCCTAGTCCGCACAACAAAACATATACATACATATATGTATGTAGAACACACCAACACCAACACCCACTCTCAGTCGAGCTGCACTGCCATTGGTGAAAGTGAGATTTAGGCCTATTGAAGCTTCCAGCATTTACCAGTGCCATATTTATAACTTTATATAACTTTACCCACACACACGCCCTGAAGTACGGTGATCAATCCTGCGATTGATTTCGGCAAGCATCGAGCTTAGCACACAAGCCTTCTTCCAAGCTTGCTTGTTAGACAGACGACAGACAGTAAAAACGACAACCGCCTCCCTCCAAAAGTATCAAAGTAATCTTAGCTGATCTATAATTCAATGGAGACCCCCGACAGAAAACTAGAAAAATTTTAGATGGCGTAGGGCGAGGATCAGAATTTTAAACCTAGACAAATGCTTGGCTTCAGTTCGTGGATCGGTTTACTCCTTCTTGAATGTGTTTAACGATTCCAATGCAAAGACTTTTATATACCTTTTTTAACTAAATATTTACATATACACACACATATATATATATACATACCTATATATATATTATATTATTGTTTATCGTGTTTTCGACTGTAATTTAAGGCGAAATTTAGATATTCTCTAGTCAGTTCAAAACGATTTTTTTTTTTCGTTTTGTCACCCCCACCATACAATCACACAGACATACACACACACACTCATAGTTTTATATAGTCAAGGCAAGCTTTTACCGCCCCCTGCCACGCCCCCGCCCCATTAAACCTAAGCTGTATGTACTTGTATGTAATATCAAACCACAAAACAAAGAAAAAATGCACTTACACTTTAAAAATAATTAAAAAAAGAAAAGAGAAACTTCTGGTTTTTTTTGTCGACCCAATTGAAACTTGGAAAATCATCGATTTATATAGTTAATAATACCTATATCGTGGCAAACCAGGCGCCGGCTAAGTGTAATGCAAACAAAAAAAAAATACATATATAATATAATCGAATCGAAAAATTATATAAAAGCAAGAAAAATGAGAATCACAAAAGTTGTTTATGCTGCTTTTTGCAAGAATGGAAAATTAGGCTATACTTAAATATACATACAAATTAAATACATATATGTTTAAATTGAATATATATGAGTGTGTACGCTTGGCACAAAAAGTAAACCAAATCGATAAACAATCCAAAAAACAAAAACTAATTACGCTAAGGAGCTAAAATTACGAACGGAAAGGGTTCGAGTCAAATTGGAAAAGTACTATACGAAAAATATAATGTTTTGCCATGTAAGTTCTATGAATGTCCCACCTGCCTGATGTCCCCGCTTCGAGATAATGCCTAAATGCCCCGCCCCCCCCAAAACCCCGCTTATTTGCACCGCCCTCCAGAAAACTTCAAGCGATATAAAGCGATATTGAAATCTATATCGATCGATCCGCCGCATAATTGTTAACATTTGTATCGGTTATTAACGTAGTTGTTGTGTATGTATGTATGTAAGTATGTAAATGTGTGCTTACCCCCCCAGAAAATAACGATTAACGGTAAAGATAATGACGAAGCAGATAATACCCAATTCTTGTTGTTATTGGCAGCGCATGTCTTTTAAGAGCTAGTGATGTATGATTTATCTTCCCCCAAATCAGATTTTCTTTTAGCAAGCAAAACACACACACACACTCAGATTGATCTCCACAAAATGCTTATATTACTATAAAGTATATTCACACCCATATATAAACAGCGTATAAAGATTATAAAAAAAAAAACAAAAACAAATATATATATATATATATAAATCATACCAATTGTATACCATTTTCGAGCATTGAAATCCAATCCAGTCCCCCTTTCAACATATAGAAAAAGATCTAGGAGAAGTACACTTTTGCTTGCTGTTCAGTTCCATCAATCAGTTAAAGCTGATCCTTCCGATCGTTAGGACCTTATTTCCCCATCCAATCCAGAGCAACCAAAAACGAGACGAAACGCCGAGGAACGAATCGAAACGAAATGAAATTAAATGTTGCCATGTAAAACACTTTAGTAGTTTATTATTATTATTACTATGATTATTACAATATTATTAAGCGAAGGACACATGTATTGTTTAAACGAAAGAGGGCAAACAAAGAAGCAAACAAAAATATTATAAATATTCAAAAGTGAAAACTGACAAAATTAATTTAAATAAAATAATTTATTAATAAACCACATATTACGAATCGACTGTTCTCAACCTTTCAATGAGCGGTGGCTCTTTACAGATGATCTGGAATACTCGTAGAATTTGTTTTTCATTGATATTGAATTGAATCATAAATGTTCTTGCAGCAATTCAAACCAAATTTGGTTAACAACAGGATGACATAAACCGATGAAAGGCCACTGCCTTATACGATAGTGATATGGCCAATGATGCGTTTGCTGTCTGTGTAGGATTCTTTCAAGGTCCAGGGCCCAATTATCTCGGATACCTTTGGAGACCAAGGCTTGAATCCATGTTCGCGGCGCCCTTGATCCCGTTGGAGCTCCTTTTGCCGCCAGCTGATGCCCGGCCGACTGCCCATAAGCGATCTCCCCTATTATGTAATTCGCAATTCGGTGGGCGTGTGGCACCATTTTGGGGACAGCCGTGTTCTTGAATTTTACGCAACAGTTGGCGCCGCCGCAGCGTGATCTTGGCTATATAGCGTTCTCGATGGCGTCAACCTGCGACCCGACCGACCACCCGTCCACGAACCCATCGGCACCCCCAAGCTGATCCCATCCAATCCGATCGAATCGGATCCCATCCCATCTTCCATTCCATGAGTCGCCCACTCCACCGCGAGAGGATCAATAACAAACAATAATGTGTCGTCGTCTAATTGTAAGAACCAACTTCCAATTTGAGAGACATCCGATATGATCGCATAACCCGTGCCCACAGTGGCGGCCAAGTTTGTAGTAGAGTAACCAATCAAATTGGTTAGTAGGTGACCTTACCCACAAAAATACAAGGGCTTGCATACACAAAAAAAAAAACGTATACGCAATATTTTCAAAGGATTTTTATGTTACGTATACGACCAGGTGTCCAATGGCGAGTCTTCGTCTGACCTGCAGCCCTGACGTTTTGACCTCTGTCGTATGTGATAAAACCGGGGACCTTACCCACAAAAATATAAGGGCTTGCATACACAAAAAAAAAACGTATACGCGATATTGTCAAAGGATTTTTTTTGTTACGTATACGACCAGGTGTCCAATCACGAGTCTTCGTCTGACCTGCAGCGCTGACGTTTTGACCTCTGTCGTACGCGTGAGAGTGACTTTCATTTGGCTGATCGCGGTGCCCAAACCTAGAAGCCAAAGATGCGATACGAAGCGGGCCCAGCGGACCGTATAAAAGCGCTTCGAAATCGCGGCTACATTTCAGTTGCTTTAAAATTATCGCTCCAACCGCCTGTCGCCTGCGTGAACTGCGATCGTCGCCCTCGAACCGTCTTCGAATCGTTTACGTTCTCGAGCATAACATTTTTTTTCTGTTTCCAAACCGAGTTGCGAACACACCATGTCATTCCTGGGCAACACCTCCGACCTGGAGTGCGAAAAGAACGAGTTCCCGAGGCAGCGTCCCTCGGGCATCGTCACCAAAGTGGCGGCCCACAAGCTGTCCGCGGAGCCCAAGTGGACCGACAAGCGGGAGGAGGACTCCGACTCGGAGGTTTCGTCGCCGGATAACTTTCTGACCAAAGGTGGCCATGGTCGAGCTGCTAACCCCCATCCACCACCACTGCTGCTAACTAACCACTAACCACTGGAAGGTTGTTACCATCGTTATACCCTTGCAAAGGAAAAAAAAAAGAAGGGTATAACATGTTTGGTCCTCCCAGCAATTATCTGCTTCGCGTAGTGCATGATGACTACCAATCGAACCCGTCGAGCTAACCCATAGTAGTTGGAGCGACTAACCACGTAGCGCCTAACAGATCGCAATCGTTCTTGCAGGCGCCTTCCTGCTGACCCCCTCCTACGAGCTGTCCATGGAGCGGGCGGCCCTCATCTGCGAGAAGATGGCCTTCAAGGGATGCTTCAGCTTGACCAAAACCGCTACAGGCATTCTGTTTAAATTCTCACACCCAGATGACTATCAGGCGGTGTTCAAGAAGGGCTTCCACAAGGTCACCGGGGCGCGATTCTACCGCAAGGTGAGCCCACCCACCCACACGCACATCTCCAGTGATTGGAAGGGCATTATGGGGCACAAGGTATGTGCCACAGCAGTGAGGTCAGAGGTGCAACGCCTTCTCGATGAGGCCGGGAATGTCCCCAGATATTCTAATAAGTGTGACTAAACACGTTTCTCCCACACAGAAACCTAAATTTCCGTCTGGATACTTTGCACTTTTATATATTTTGAACAAATATTCAAATCAATTTGCGATCAATACTTGTTATTAGACCATTTGTACCTATGTATAAATTCTACCGCTTTTCAAAATTAGATCCCAGATCTTAAATCTTAGAGTTCAATGCTTCAATGCAAACTCCGAAATTATCAATTGGACATTCGTTGCACCCACCACAGCTTCCCAGAGCTTCCCATCACTGCCATCACGCCCACACCATTCCGAACCTCATCCAATCCGATCATCGATCATCGAACATCTTCTGCCAGACTAACCCAACCGACAAGTGAAAAATGCAAACTTTATTTCCCCCATTTGCAGCAAACATTTTCGCGCAGCGTGAGTATCCATCCACCCATATGTCCATATCGATTGGTGATACCCGTAATTCCCGCAAACCCCATATATCCATCGATCGATCGAATACTTAGCTTAGCTTAACCACGCGCATGCGCAGCAGTCACTCTCCGTTCTCCTTTCGTTTCCTTTGCTTGTGGCCCACAGATAGCGATTCCCTGTCGGCCGCGGAAGACCTTCACCCTGTACGTGCTCGATGTGCCGGAGGACCTGCCCGTGGAGGATATCCGGCATGCCATGTACAAGTTCGACTCGGTGGTGGAGGTGGTGCGCCTGCACATCTACTCGAGCCTCGCCAGCAACGCAGCCAACGCCTCCGCCTCCTCGGTTGCCGCCAGCTCCTCCTCCGCCGGCGGCGGCGGCGATAAGGGCGTCGAAGGTGAGCAGATCCAGCTGCTCCACACGCCGACCCAGACGCTGCGCCGAGCGGCACTGCGAAGTAAAGTACCCTCCAATTGGTAACATGCGAAAACATATTGAAATTATCCATCCCCCTGTCCCACGAAGAGATCTCTATGAAAACTAATTACTACTGCGACCCTTTCGACTTGACCCTTGACCTTCTCTAGGCGGCAAACCACTAGCCACTAACCACTTTTGCACTGCCCTGATAACCTGTTCTTTCCAGGCACCTCCAAGAGCGTGGGCTCCGTGGTGGGCGATGCCATCGAGAAGGCCGAGCGTCCCGAGCGCAGGGAACTGCCGCCGGCCGTCATCCGGATCACTCTGGCCTCCATGGACGAGTACAACATCCTGTTGCAGAACGGACTCAACTTCTACGACGCCACGTTCTTTCCCACTGAGGCCAACATCTCGCTGAAGGGCGCCAAGATCGACTACAAGCGCAGGTATTTCCAAGATTGTGGTTTCGGTTCACAAAAAGCCATCTCCAGTATACCACTTTGAATCGGATTTCAATCAGAGATTAGGATACATGTTTCATCATTCTTTATAGAAATATGTTCTAAACAAGTTCTTGATTATTTTCCGCTCCCGCAGAATGCTCGATGGCTCGATTCCCGGAAGGGTGAGGGAGCTGCTGCCCGTTTTCGATGCGGCTGGCTTCTGCAAGCTGCCACCGCCCACCAGCAAGCTAATTAAGCCGCCGAGGTCGTAGATACGTGCGATGCGATCCAAAGCGATGCGATGCCACATGACGCGAGATACGACGACAACGCGTTCCGGCCAAACTCACGGGCCCCCTTGACGACCACACTCCGGATTCGGTTCTACCTACCCATTTTATCTTACCCTGCTTCGCTGTATACTATACACACAATGCTCTTTTTTTGAACGGATGCCAACGTTTCCGCTCGATCCGCCGATCCAATCCATAATAATTCCCATTTTGGCTACCATCTCTATTCTATCTGTCTCCCCTGTGAACTCTTCAACCTTCTTTTTTTTTTTGCTAGTTTTATTATTAAAGGCCCATATACGGCGTAGCGTCTAATTTGTTTGATTGTCTAACAAAGAAAAATAAGCAAAACACAGAATTGAAATAATAAAAACGAAATAAGAAAAACAATTTTCAATGGCAAACGGAAATGGAACAGTTCACTGATGTTTGATGTGTATATTAGTGGGCAAATGGAAGAAAACCTACATATATGGGCTTCTATAATGGTGAAAAACATCCTGTTGACGACCGAAAAACATATATCTGAATAAATTGCTGATAAAGCTATGGAAAGCTATGAGTTTTCGGTAGAGGGAACATTTTGTAAGCCAAAAAGAACAAATCCAAAGACATTATCGTTTAGATTAATTAATTTTTTTTATTCATTTTGCACTTTATTTATTTTTAGTTAATTCATTTAGTTTCTTTTTAGGTATACATATATCTTGATTGATTCAACAACAGACAAATTTTTGCACAAAGCTCAACACAAAGACATAGATCGTAATATATATTCGTAAGCATATCAATTAGCATACTGTCGAATGTCTTGTATATCGTATAATAATAATAATTAATTGATTTAAAGCATATAATAGATGTATGTTGTATATGTATATATATATATATATATCTTGTATCTGTATAGTAGTGTATAGGATAGTCTGTTTAGGAAATACTCAAAGAACATGAAACGAATCAAGCGAATCGAATCGAGTTTAGTTTTTTGCTTTGTCGTTTGGAAAGAACATTAAACAGCAAAACGGAAACGGGCAAAAAAAAAAAAAACAATACCTTTATGCAAATAAAAATAGTAATAAAATATATATATATATGTATGTATATCTGTACGTGTAGGAAATTGAAATACAATTAAAAATGTTACAATAATCAACGATTAACAAAGAATACACATATTGTAGGACACGCGGAATCGATTCCGCTTCCCTTTCGCCGCGGCGCACACACAAAAACAGACGAGCAGAAACACGGACGTTGGCTGCGGCGGCAGGCGGACACCGATCCGGGCTCGGAATCCGGAATCCTGAATCCGGTATCCAGAATCCGTCCCCAGAAATGTTACGGATAGAATACAGCTTTCAATACACGGAGTGAACGATGTTGTCCTTCTCCACCAGCAGACGGACCTTCATGCAGCCATCGGAGCCGCAGGAGAAGAGTCGCCCGAAGGGATCCACGTACACCTGGCTGACACCCTGGCCGGTGTGCTTGAAGAACCCGTTCTTGGCGTGCTCGTGCGGGAACGTGTTGATCAGCATGAACTGATTCATGTCCCAAATCTGCAAGGGAAGCAGCTCTGATTACAAAACGGATCGCTCGAAGGAAGCATTCGAAACACGCACCTTGATGTCACCCTCGATGGAGCCAGTGACAAAGAACTCCTCGTGCGGATCCAGAGCTATGCACTTGATGGTGCTATCGTGGGCCTGTCAACAGATAAACGCGGATTATTAATCTCTTCCTATGGATCCTGGAATCGATATACAGCGAACCCACCTGATAGCGATGGCGCAGCGTTCGCTGTCTCACATCGAAGACGCAAACGTCGCCGCGTTTGCCGCACGAGATGAGCACCTGGTGCTGCGGCGCGAACACCAAACAGGAAGATCCCTGGTCGTGGCAGGTGAAGGCTGTAAGGGATTCGTAAGCAAAGCAATGCCTGGAAAAAGCTACTTTGGAATCTTACCCGACACACAGGACTTCTTGTGGGGCAGCAGTGTGTCCCAGATGTTGATGTTCTTGTTCTCGGAACTTTGGCCGGCTGCAAAAGCGGAATCGAATGTAAAGAGGACTCTTTGGGGCACCCAAAATGTGTGTGTTACCACATCACAACTCACCGCTAGCCAGCAGACTGCAGGAGCCCAGGAACACGAAGTCGGACAGGACCTTGTTGTGGCACTGGTAGCTCTGCGAAGAGCGGGAGGCACAAGCATAAGAAAATGGATTACAAATTACTGAGGTCAACTCACGATGAACGAGCGATTGTTCTGGGAAGCGATGCCCGCCTGCCAGAGACTGAGCTTGCCGTCGCCATCGCCGATGCCGAACTTGTTGCCCTGCTCCGAGAAGCGGCAGCGCGTCACCTTGGCAAAGGTGCCCGAGGTGCGGGGCGAGCAGACTGGCTGCTGGTGGCCCCACTCCCAGATCTGCACGGAGCCATCCTGGCCACCGGTGAGATACAGCGGCATCAGCGGATGGGCGCTCATGCGCTTCACGTTGTCCACCTTGTGGCGCAGCACCTGCAAGACAACACAACATTTGACTTAGAAAACTTGGAAAAACTAGGAATGAAAGGATCACCCACCATGGATGTGCCGCGTCCGGATTGCGAGGCACTCTGTGTGCTGGCATTGGACTCGCTGTACGCATTGCTGTTACTTCCGAACTGGTTTCTGTTCCAAATAAAACAAAGCGTCATTTAAATGATAAATTCCGAAAGGAACAAGCACTGGACTCACTGCTCCTGCGTCTGGATAATCAAGAAGGACGAGCTGTTGGTGTCCGCGTCCTTGGACAGGTTCATCATGTCGTAGTCGCACTCGTCCTCGTACCAATTCGGCGACTCCAGCAGCAGCGAGATGTCGAACTCCTGGATCTCGCGCGGATTGGCAAAGGCGATCATCGAGGAGCTGTTGTTCTTCAAGCAGAACGACAATATCGACTCGTGATCCTTGTGGATGATTCGGATTTGGTCGGTGTTCTCGTTGGTCGAATGGGATTGACCTGCATGAAGTGGTAGCAATTGAGCAAATGAGCCATCGCCTCCTGGATAAAGGACTCACCCTCATCGGTCTCGTTGTCGTTGTGGGTGTGGTGCGATCCCCGCGTGCTCGGCTCCATGTTCTTGCCAAAGATGCTCTTGATGAAGACCTCCTGGGCGGGCTCCTGGCGCACCAGGTAGTTCCACAAACGCCGGATGGGCCCGGCCGATGACCCGGAAACGAACGGCGTGTTGTCCTTGTTCAGCAGCGAGCGGTACTTGTGAATGGCCAGGCCGTTGATGCCGCTCTCCGCGTAGCAACCGGGTATAAAGTTCCTGGACGGTGGCCCGCGGGCAATGAGGTCGCTCAGGGCGAAGTCCTGCCAGCGATTGAGGGTCCTCAGCACCTCGTGCGAGAGTGGACTGATCACGGGGAGATCTGCGCGAGATTGGGGAGACAATGTAGGAGGGGATGCTTTAGAGGATGCGGGGCGAATGGATGGATGAAATGTTACTACTACCCTGCAGCTCGATGCCGGCCACCTTGACCAGCTCCTGGATCTTGTGCGTGCTGATCTTGATGAGCGCCAGCCGCAGAATGCTCCACGAGTACGACGTGGGATTGGTGTGCTCCGTGTTGTCCTTGGCCTTCAGCTGCGTTCGGCTCACGTTCACATCGTCGTCGTCCTCCTCCTCCTCCTCGTTCTCCGACTCATGTGAGTCGTCTGTGTCGTAGTCATCACACTCTGAAAGTATCAACCAAGTGAAGTAATAAGTGAATAAGTAAAGTAATAAGTGAATAAGTGAAGTAATAAGTGAATAAGTGAAGTAATAAGTGAATAAGTGAAGTAATAGGTGAATAAGTGAAGTAATAAGTGAATAGGTGAAGTAATAAGTGAATATGTGAAGTAATAAGTGAAGTAATACGTGAAGTAATATGTGAAGTAATAAGTGAAGTAATAAGTAAAGTAATAAGTAAAGTAATAAGTAAAGTAATAAGTGATGTAATAAGTGAAGTAATAAGTGCAGTACAGAATCAACTGCAAGCAAGGTCTGAAACCCACCTGTTGTGGGCGGTTTCGTTAGGAAGTAGGACAGCATGGACGTCTCTGGCGGCATGAACTGCTCCCGGTAAGTGGGCTTGTCCTCCTTCATGTTGCTGGAGGTGCTGTTCTGGCTGAAGCTGCCCAGAATCTTCATGTTCAGCTTCATGCGCTGCTTCGTTATGGAGGTGACTGTGTTCCACACACTGTTCTCATCGACCGGCTCCTCGGAGGTGGAACCAGTGCCACCTGTGGCTCCTCCGGCTGTTGCTCCAGCTCCTCCCAGTTGGTTGGGCGGCTGTGCCACGGCGGGCTTGATGAGCAGCTTCTTCATGCCGCCGCCGAAGAGAGTGGACCAGGTCTCGTTGTTGAAGCTCTGCCCGCTCAGGCGGTACAGCAGTCGACTGTCGCAGGTCGACAGCGAGTAGATGAAGAGCGCCATGTAGGTGGAGACGAAAGACTCCAGGAGCAGAACGTTCAACTTGGGCACATCCTCGTCCTTCTCGCGGGCGAGAAGAGCCCGCAGGTTGGTCACTCCCGGCCACTTTGAGGGCGTGGTGCACACGCCGGCGGGCTCGTCCGTGGAGTACTTCCGCCTACGGCCATAGGCATTACGGCTGCCCACCAGATAGCTGCACTCAAACGACGAGTTGATCTTGGCTATGTTCTCCATGCCCGGACTCGGGTAGCCGTTGAAGGCCGAGTTGTTCACCACGAAGCTCTCGGAGTCGCAGAGCGACTGGTAGATGCAGGAGGAGAGCGCTACTGCGAGGTCGCGCAGCACGAAGATCTCGCTCAAAGCACTCGGCTCGATGCCCGGGAAGGGCAGCACCTTGATGATGCTCTGCAGCATGTCCACCGTCTGCGACTGCAGGTACTTGATGGGATCGGCGATCACCGTCTTGTTGCCCGCCACACAGGCACTGAGCAGTGGGAGCGTGGTGGGGAAGGGCAGCGGGCTGAGGAGCTGCTGCTGCGTCTTCTCCTGCTGCAGTTCCTGGAGCAGCAGCACCAGCTCCATGCGCACGGATGCCAACCCGCCGCCACTGGCGCCGTGCAGGGAGCAGTAGCTCAGCAAAGTGCGGAGCAGCGTTTCATTGGCTAAAAGTGAAAAGCAATGGAATTAGTCACTCACTTGGTAACCCAACCGGGATCCTATCCTCTTACCTTTGAGCCAGCGCTTGCGCTTGGCCGCCCGCATCACCTTGGCCTCGAAGTCCTGCTTGTCCTGCATAAGGATCTCGTGCAGAGTGGGTCGCTCGTTGCTCGGATAGAAGCTGGAGTTCATCTCCTTGTCCCTGGCCTCGGCGTCCGGATCGCCGGACTCGTGCGTCGACTGCTCCGACTGGCTGCAGTAGTTGCACAGCTGCTTGAGGGCCTCCACCTCGCGCTCCAGCCACATGTACAGCTGGTAGCGCAGCTGGCCGCCATCCACCTCGAATCCGGTGGCCAGCGTCGACAGCTCCTCCATGAGGATCTTCAGGCAGGCCACGAACTTCAGCTGCTGGGCCATGATGTCCATCTTGGTGTCGCTTCCGTTGCCGCCCATCGATTTGCCTCTTCCCAGAACGGATGCCTGCGGCTGCGGAGTGGCCAGCTCCGGCTCATCGGGCTCCACCAAGTCGGGATCCTCCTCATCGTCCTCGTCGTCGTCCCACTTGATCTCGAACTTGGCCTCCGACTCACTGGACACCGGAGCGCCCCAGTCGAAGGAGTCCGCCGTGTTTTGCGTTGCTGAAGCGGCCGGAGTTGCGCCCCAGGTGTCCATGATGCCCGTGTTGATCAGCTCCTCCTTGCTCTGCTGCGCCAGCTCCTGCTGCGCCTGGCTGCCGGCCACACTGCCCCCAGAATCGTCGCTGATCTTCTGCGGCAGCTTGTTGAGCACCTCCAGCGCCAGCGCCGGGCAGCCGCTCTTGAAGTGCCCGTGGGCGGTGGTGAAGTACAGCTGCCGCTCAATGGGCGTGATCGAGTCCTCCAGCTGCAGCTGCTTGTCGCAGGCCACGGCACTGGGAGCAGCATCGCCGGCGTAATTGAATCCGGAGAGTACGACGTGGGCGATGCGCTTCTCCTGGGCGGACAAAGCGATGTTCTGGCGGATGAGCAGCGGATGGGTGCGCAAGTAGATGTAGAAGTTGAACACGTTCGGGTTGGTGGCCTGCGGCTCCGGACGCAGCAGGTCCTCCTCCCGGTAGCTGCTGTGCAGGCTGCCCACGTTGTTCAGCAGCAGGGTGTTCAGGCTCTCCTGGTACTTCTTAATGGTCCAGTAGGTCATCGAGCGCAGGAAGGGATCGGGGTGGGCGCGACTCAGGTCGCAGCGCCCGGTCTCCGCATCCGTGCCCAGGATGTGCTCGTGCAGCAGGTGGTGGTAGTAGCAGCCCTCGGCATCGCCCTCATAGAGCCGGGCAATGATGAGGGCCAGCTGGAAGTCCTCCAGCTTGTTCATGCACACCTCGATGGCGTCGTTGAGGCTGTTGGCCAGCAGGAAGAAGGCCACCGCGTGCTCGAACCGCTGCTTGCCCAGCAGCACGAAGGCGTTCTTCAGCGCCGCCTTGCGCCAGCGATCCTCGGCGAAGTTGTTCCCAAAGAAGGCGGTCATCTTCTCGTCGCGCCGCGACCGGAACAGGCCCCACACCAGGGACTTCTTCTTCATGGCCAGGTAGTAGATGGCCGCGTCGAGCGGCTCCTGCTTCTGCTGGTAGGCGCACTTGGCCAGCTTCTCCACGCACCGCCGCAGCGTGTTGATGTTCTTCAGCCAGTAGCCCACTCCCAGATCCCGCAGCGTGGCCCAGCGGAGGTCGCCCTTGGTATAGCTGGGTATGAGGTTCAGCAGCTCCTCCTCACTCTCGGAGTGGTAGGCCCACACGATGTTCGAGGTGCCGACGCCCTGACGCTGGAACTGCGCCCGCTGCTGGAGCGGCAGGCAGCGCAGCAGGTAGGTGAAGTGCTTCATGGCCAGCAGGAAGCGCAGGCCGCAGTCGTCCAAGGAGTCGGTGCTGGTGCTGCCATCCTTCCCGGCGCCTCCCTCCTTCCCAGCGCCCGCACCCGACTTGTTGCCCGACTGATCGGCGGCGAACTTGTCGGAGAAGTCCGTGTTGCAGGTGGCCACCGTGTCGGCCAGGGCCAGCAGATGCATCTGGTCCAGCGAGGAGAGCCCCGGCAGATGGGTGTGGGTCAGCAGGCGCGACAGCAGCTGTCCCTGCCGCGGGCCAAAGTGCGAGATGGAGTGCTTCTCGGGGAGGGAGAGCCGGCGCTCCTGGCGCTTCTTCTCGTCGCCCTCGCTGAGCAGCTCGTCCAGGTTGTCCTCCGAGTTGTGCATGTCGAAGAGCTCGTCGTAGTCCTTGTCGCCCTCATTATAGTTGTTGCTCTGCCCGGGCGTCTCCCGGTCCGCATTGAGGAGCACCCACAGCGGCAGCGGCGGGATCGAGTTGATCTCCGCGTAGTCGAGCATCAGCTCCTCGGGTATCTGGGTGGTGCTGCCGCGGTGCTCCGCCTGGATGTTCTGCTCGGCCGTGTAGCTGATGCTCAGGGTGCGGGAGCGCGACCAGCTGCGCTGCCTGGCGTAGCCGTCCTCGTCCTGGCCAACGGTGCTCGAGCTGTTGCCGCTCATGCAGCGCACCAAGTGCGCCAGGATGGCCTTCACCCAGCGGATCTTGCCGCAGTTGAGCAGCTCCATCAGCTGCTTGGGATGGTACTGCGGCAGCACCGGGCAGGCGATGCGCGAGGCCTGGAACAGCCCGAAGTCCGTCATGTAGTCATCGTTGCCGCCGTCGTCCTGGCCTCCGCCATAGGAACCACCAGCACCTCCTCCAGCACCGCCACCAGCTCCATTCATATTGGCCATGCTGACGTTGCCCAGACGACGCTTCTTGTCGTGCGACAGCAGCTGCAGATTGGCGGTGCTCACCTTGCTGATCAGCGGCATGGAGGCCACCGTCTTCAGACGCAGCTGCGTGGACTCGTTGGCCAACGAACGCAGATCCTCGTCGCGCAGGTTCCGCGTATCGGGCACATCCTCGCCAGCGGCCGCTGCGGCGGCGGCGGCAAAGTGGGAGGAGTAGTGCGGCTTCCACTGGGAGTAGACGTGCATCTCCGAGTCCATGGCCACCACCAGGATGCCGTCGCGCACCCACGATATCTGCATGGGCAGCGGCGGCAGTCCGTCGGCCGTCTGCAGGTCGATCTGCCGCAGCTTCATCCACCGGATCTCGTCCACGAAGTTCGGCTGGGCCAGCGAGCTGGCCTTCCGCAGGATGGGACGGTTCACCGAGCGCGACTCCTTCATCGCCTTGATGTTCGCCTGGGCGATGTCCGATGACACCGGCGTGTAGAGCAGGATCTTGCTGCCGACGGCGACGGTGAGGATGTGGGAGCCGTCCTCCTTGCTCACCCAGTCTAGCTGCACCAGGTGCTTCTGGGTCAGGGGACAGGTGTTCCCGTTCTCCGCAATGCTCTTCCGCAGCGACTGCAGCGTGCTGAAGCTGGGAACGGTCAGCAATCCGGAGGCGGCGGCCGAGGGCTGCCGGTTGACGGCCAGCTCCGGTGTGGTCTCGCCACTCCGCGGGGATCGGCTCTCCGCGTCGTGGGCGAAGGTGTGGAGCACCTGGTTGAGGCGCTGCTTCTTCGCCAGCAGGCGGCTGTCGTGCAGGTAGCTCAGATCGATGCCGTGCCCGATGTTGATCCGGGGCAGGTGGACGTTCTTCAGGTGAATGGTGTCCTCGAGCACCCACTCGCTGCCGCCGGAGCTCTCGCACTCGTAGATGGCCACGCAGAGGTTGACGTAGCGCGAGTCCGGATCGGGTCCCTTGTTCGGCCGGGTGAAGCTCTTCCCGTACTTGTAGGCACACGCTATGCGGCCGGAGTAGGCGGCACTGATGTTCAGCGGCTGGCCGGGGATCTCGATGGCCGACTGCTGGATGCGGCTGAGCATCTTCCACTCGCTCCAGTGGTAGGCGTCCCCGTCCGGCTCCTGGTCCGGATCACCCTCGCCTCCATCGCCCACCGGTTCGCACTTCCAGAAGCGCGAAATCGAATCCGAACAGGCGGTCACAATGATGTACGGGGCAAAGCAGGCCGGATAAATGCTGGAGCTGCTCAGGTGACCGGCGGCGGGGGAGGCGTGGATCACGTCCACGCCCTCGGGCAGCGGCAGCTCCTGGGTGCACACCTTCTTCGTGGTGATCGAGATGTGCGGCGCCTCCACCTGCGGCCCAAAGTGCTCGGCTCCCGTCAGCGTTTCGGCTCCCTGGGACATCCGCCTCGGATTGGAGTTCGGATTGCCGCCACCGGCCCCGTTCTGCTGCTCCTCGTCGGGCTCCTGGGTGAGGTTGCTGTCGGGCACATACATGGCCGTCTCCGAGAGGAAGGAGCTCTGCTGCTTCGAGCTGATGACGATGCGCCACATGTGAATGGTGCTGCCGCGCAGCGTCTTCTCGATGTTCACGATGTAGAAGGGCTCCTCGAAGTCGGCGTTCCGCTGCAGATCGACGATGGCGTCCATGTCCGACTCGAGCAGGGCGTTCAGGCGCGGCTCCTCCAGATCGTGCGGATCCGTCAGCGGTGTCCGCTGGCCACCGGTTATCAGTTGGGCCTGGAACACGTGCAGGAACTGGGTGTTCTGCCAGTCGTGCTTGGCCTCCGAGATGGCGTCCAGCTGGAGGATGCAGCCGGGCCGAGCCGTCGACTGCTGGGAGACCACCTTGAGCTTGTCGTGCAGCGCCGATCGCTGGGCCCGCATCGTGGACGAGGCATTGGAGATCATCGACGACAGCGAGTGCGACTTGTGCAGCGTGTTGAGGTTCTCCGAGCAGGAGATCTCCGCCAGCAGGGTGCGGGCGTCGATGACCGCCTGGTAGACGCGCAGGTTCTCCCCGTCGCTGGCCACGAAGCACGCGGACGGGGAGTTGCTGTAGCTGCCCAGCGTGGTGCTCGGCAGGAGCGTCGGGATCCAGGCCACGTTGCTGAACGCCGAGATCTCCGGCGAGTTGATCCTGGCCAGCTCGCTGACGCCGCCCGAATGGCACAGCGGACCCACCGAGTCCACGCGCCACAGTATCAGCTCCGAGCAGAAGCCCGTCGGAGTGAATACATCCTTGTCGCCGCTGGATCCTCCTCCGGAGGGCCCTGCTCCGCCGCCAACTCCTCCGGCCGACGGAAGTCCGCCGCTCAGCGGCTGCTCGAACGGCGACATCGGCGACTTGGCCTCGGAGTCGGGCAGGTTGTGGTGCGAGGTGGACACAAGCAGCGGCAGCACCGGGTGGCAGGTGATGTCGTTCACCCGGAACCGATGGCCGGAGGCACGGCTCACGTGGCCGATGCTTAATACTTGGGTGAACTTCGTCTTGAAGGCGAACGTCAGCTGCCACAGGTTGAGGGTTCCGTTCGAGTGCTTCGTGACCATGGACACCGACGGCGACACGTTCAGCGGCAGGGCACTGGCTCCTCCTGCCGCTCCGGAATCCTGCGAGCTGCTGCTGTGCTCCGCTCCTCCGCCGATGCCACTCGCGGCGGCACTGCGATCGCCGCCGGCCTCGTCCTGGTCAGCATCCCCGTCCCTATCGCGGTCGTCCTCGTCGCCGGCGTCCTCCTGCTCCTCGTCGTGCCGCTCGAAGGTCTGGCCCGAGTGCTGGTCGCTCTTCAGGGAGGAGTCGTCGGCATGGCCCTTGTGGAACTCGTCCTTGCTGCGCACGTTGTTGGCGATGTCGCGGAAGGCCAGCGGATGGGTGCCCGTGTTGAACAGGCTGACCGTGGTCGACATGGACATGGCGTCGCCCAGCGGGAAGGCCGAGGGGATGCGCGTCGAGAAGGAGACCTGCGCCTGCCTGAACGAGCCCGGATAGTAGTCGTCCAGCCACTCGATCACCCAGATCAGGTAGCTCCCGTCCACCGGATGGATGGCGAAGAGCAGATCCGGACTCTGGTGCCAGTCGCGCAGCAGGCACTCGATCTTGTTGTCCAGCGAGTCCACTAGCTGGGTAATCGGATGCGGGGGCTCGTTGTTCAGCGAGTTCTGCGACGTCGTATTGGACATGGAGTTCAGATGCAGCCCGACTCCTCCGCCGCCGGCCATGCCCGTGGTGCCGGCCGTGTGCTGCGAGTAGCGACTGTACTCCTCGCCGCTGTCGTCCACGGAGACGGACTTGGAGGAGCGCAGGTACTTCTTGTGCGCGTGCGCCTGCGAGTGCGAGTGCGAGCCGTGCGCGTCGTCCGGCAAGTCGACGCCGCCGCCGCCGCCGTTGGAGGCGTTGCCGCCGTGGCCGTTCTCCTCGTCGATCACCTTCTTGGTGAGCTCCTGGAATATGGCCTCCGCCTGCAGCGTGAAATGCATCTCCTTGTTGTTCAGCCAGTGCAGGATGAAGACGTTCTGGTTGGCCGGGTCGCTGGTCTGCATCGAGGGCACCAGCGGAATGTCCGTTTCTGCGTTGATCGACGCCGCCAGGTGGAAGTGCATCCCGGGCGTGACGCCCGACCCCTGGAATCCGTACGAGTGAAAGTCGTGGACGCTGCACGAGGATGGCAGCGACGGAATCGGTCCCAGGTAGTTGGTGTAGCTGGCCGGTGAGCTGCCCATGGCGCCCATTGCCCCGGCCGCTCCACCGCCACTGGCTGCACCCCCACCGCTGGCCGCTCCCTGGCCGGCATTCGCGCCGGCCTTCATGTGCCGGCGGATGTGGAAGCAGGTCTTCATGTGCTTCAGCCGCTGCATGAACCGGTGCTTGTGCCGGTGGGTGCGGAACTTGGGGTTCTGCGAGGCCATCGGATCGAACTGGGTCATGTTCACCATGCCGTCGTCGGGGAGCACCGTCTCGATCCAGATGCGACAGATGTTGTCCAGGCAGGAGGTGACCAGCATGTTGGCCACCGAGCCCTTCGGCATGTACTTGCTCGTCTTGCGCCACACGATATTGGACACGGCTCGCGGATGGGCGATGTACACGTACGTGAAGTTCAGATCGCCGCCAGAACCGGAGGAACCCGGGCCGTCGTCCACGCCGTGGCGACCACCAGACGACGACGAAGGTCCAGCGGACGAGGATCCCTTGGCCGGGAAGAGAACCTGCTTGTTCTCGTACCAGATCTTGACCAGCCGATCGTTGCGGCCGCAGGTGGCGAACAGGGTTCCGTCCGGACTAAATGCCATGTGGTAAATGGGTATGGCCGTCTGACAGCTCCAGATGTTCTCCCACGTGGACACATCCTCCGACTGGGCGGTGCTCGATGGCTTCGGCTCCTTGCTCTCGCCGATCTCGAACTTGACTCCTTTTAAAAGAAAACATTGTTTTTAGAAATGGGTAATCTACATATGTACATAATCTACATACATAATCTACATACATAGTCTACATATTTCAGGAATGTATTGGAAATACATACGTCCTAGAAATTTCTGATTGGAATCTGATTCTAACTGTAATCGCTGTTATCGAAGTGGACTCCTATTGCAGTGATGTAATTAAAAGTCTTACAGTCTGTAGTCTACAACCAGACTCCTTTAATTATGTAAACAATAGTTTTTATTCTTTCCCGGAAAGGAAAATCGATTACTGTGATTTAAGCTACTGCTTTACTTGGAAAACCCCGTAGGACACCTGCCAATGTTGACGTAGTTCCTAGTTTGTTATAAACACCATATTGAACCCCATTGATCCACTTTTTGTCTGTGATTCATCTCCTCCCACGCCAATCAATAGTTGGCAGGACAAACAAAGGCGGTCAGTGGAAAGTTGTGTGTGTGTGTGTGTGTGTAAAGCTCACCAGTGTGCTCCTCCTCCTGCTGGTGAGTGGGCGACTTGCTCTTCCACAACTGGATGTTGGTGCCGCCAGTGAGGAGACGGGTGCCCTCCAGATTCCAGGACAGGGTCACCACGCTCGAGTGGCTGGTGAAGGAGCCCGTTTGCACCCATCTGCGGGAGACACACAATTTAATAAGGTTAATCAAAGATACTTAACTAGGTTATAAGCAGTGCATGTGGAGTTTAAAGCATAGGCCATCATCCTTGCTGCTTTGCTGCACCGCTTGAAACCTCCTTAAAGGATAGAGGCAAACCCACCTGTAGTCTAGAAAGTGGGTGTTGTGCTTGCTGGACTCGATCACCGGCGTGGGCTCAAAAATGCAAATCTTGTTCTCATAGGCTGCAGCGATCTTTCCGGTATCGGTGCTGCAGTCCAGGGCAGATATCTTGACGTAGCCATGGTTGGCGCCCGGAATGATCTGGACGCGCTCAAAGGTGCTCGCCAGGATGACCACATTGCAGCCGGCGGCGTAGGCCTGCGGATGATTAAACGCAATTAAACACAAGGGTATAATTCATGGCGGGTTAATCTAAACGTTCTACGATCGTTATGTGCTCTTCGAGGTGTTTGTTTTCAAGTGTATATGCACGGGATGGCGGCTACATATAGGTATATATAGGTGTATATCGATAACAAAACCCTAACTGTCCAGTTAACTGGCTTATCAGGTTGGCTGACAAAGCTCTTGCCACATCATGTTTGGTTACCTGGTTAGCTAAAGTGTGTTTGATTTATTTGTTGAGTTGTCGCTGATATGCTCATTATCGTGGCCAGAAATTTGAATACCCTGCTGGGAAGGGGTATATCGTAAATTAACTTTATGAACTACGACTCACGGAAATGGTGGGGTGCATCTGTGTTGCATCATGTTGACTTATTGGTTTTTAAAGATCAGTAAAATTCATTTGCTCTAGGCAAAGTTAATATTTTACAGTGTTTTACGATTGCAATTTTTTCTTTAGGAAAAGAAAAGGTGATTCAATTTACTCTATCGAATAATACGTACGAAGGGTATCAACTAATTTATTTTGATCTATGATTATTAGCCATTAAATATATATAAATATACATTTTATGGTGGAGTTTCCGACCTTCCCGATTACTAACTCATTAGTTTCGCAGAGATAAGATACTAATAAAACCAGAATATTTATTTAGTCCCTCTTGACGAGTTTAGTTATAAGTAACTTTGAGTTTTCCTGAAAGTATGAAAGGCTGCTAAGTAAAGTGGGTGTTAAGTGTTTATTTCTAAAGAGTTGCTCCTTTTTATGGGTTGCTCTGGATACTACAGCTGCAATGGTGTCAGGGGATTGTCTTCGTGCTGACCAAACTCCTTTGTATATACAAATATTCATATGCATACACTTGAAATTAAACAAAATGAAACGATGGCAAATGATATGGCGCAAGGCGGGTGGATGAACGAGGTCTGCGAAAGGGGGACTGTGTCAACAGCGGTGCTGATTACAGAATAGAACACATATAATAGAATATAGAAAGTACACATACGCCCCGTGGGGCCTCTCATTAGAATAGCAAAATGTGCACAGTTAATTATGCTTCCTTGGGTGTGCAGGAAAACACAGACCTGGTCTCTTGATCAGATAAACATTCTGGGTAAATATACTGCGAATAGTATTTGGTAACAAGAAGTGTAGGGAACGAAAAGGCCCATTATAAATACGTGCTCATTTTTCATGGGTTGTTTATACACACAAAGGTGGAATTTGATATATTGAATATAGCAAGACAAAAACTTGGATAAACTGTTTTGGCAGAGATTCAATTTTGATTCTAGGGAAATGGATATTCTTCCGATTAGTGTATTTTGATTGTGATCATGTACATGAAGACAATACTACTTAGGGAGACCTCTCTTAGCCATCTCAACTAACTCGCAAGCGAGGGTAAATATGCAATATAACGAACTGAAAATAGTCAATGGTTCTATATAGTATAGGGATCGAAAAGGCGCATTATAAATGCGTGCTCACGTTTTTATGGCCGTTTATAATTCCAATTTGCCATTGACGTGTGACGGAGAGAGAGAGAGCGCGAGAGAGACACGGGAAAGGAGAGAAGGGTGTGTGGGAAAGTGGGAAAGCGGGCGAACCGAGGGGGACAACCTGCAAGATGCGAAATTAGGGCATCAAAGGCCACCTGACCAATCGAAGGGTACACACCGACGCACACACTCTCTCTCACCCACACAACTGGCTGCAACTTACGCATGTGTGCGTGCGGCTTGTTTACTGCCAGCATTTGACCTTAAAAATGTAATTAATTGCTGGCCAAGTATGTAAATGCAGGTGAAAACAAACATTTTTCTGCCACACACAGCCTTTTGTTGTTATCGAATTTGCACAGCACACAAAAAGTTCTCTATCTCATCATTTGCATTTGATTTTTTTAATTGACCACCAAGTGTGGCAAAAAATACATACACACACACAGATACACACACATGCAAATATGTAAATAAAAACATTAAAGACGTGCTGCGATCAGTTCTGGTTGGAATAACGATGATGATGATGCCCCGTTTCCAATTAGAATGTGTGGGGAGTTTAGGGACTGATGAGAAAACGGAGCAGAGTACTCGAACAACTAATAGGGAGGCGTGTTTGGGGGGACTCAATCGGTAATCAAATAATGCTGATGATTCCTATCCCGATTTTTCCGATTCTTCTTCGTTGCTTACTGTAAATGGTATTCCTTCCACGGAACCAATGGCGAAGCACCGGTCGCCCGCATTGCAGGCGCCGCTCAATATCTGATGACAATTCATTATTTACACACAATTGATTATCACATCACAGCGCACGGATATTGGGGACTTGGTTCTTTGGTTTCTAGCACGAATTTTCTTGCTTCTTGTAACAAACGACAACAAAGTGACATTACATAAAAAATTAGAGTTGAGTTCTCGGCCAGCACGGCCTATCGATCTATCGATAGTAGGGGTGGGATTGCCAGCGGGCATCGTTGATTTTACTGGCTTCCAAATTATATTATTTAATATAAAATTTGTATATGCTTTAATGATATAGCCCTAAATTGCAATTTTTCAAAATAAAGTTTTGTATCCCACTTTATGTCGTATATGTATTTACAAGATATGTATGAGTTTTGAAATATTGTCCACAGCTACACTTCAGAGAACTTGTGATGTGTATCTCTAAGCATTTTTAATCGAGAATTATTTAAAATTAATTGCTGTTATCTAAGAGTTTGGAAATAGTGTCCACAGCTACACTTCAGAGCCCTTGTGATGTTCATCTATAAGCAATTGTAATCGGTAACTGGGTAATTTGCACTTTATTGTTTTATTTTGAGGATGGTAAATTCTGTTACCTCTTTTCAAATCAGATACCAAAACAAAAATAAAGACAACATCGGGAAACAAACAATTGGGTGCGTTTATACATTTATTATTGTTGATTATTAGAATTAATTATAGTTATATATCGATTCTTAAAAAATAAACATTGAGTCTTCAAACTCGATGTATCGACCCACTCCTAATATTGGTTTTGCCATCACTAGCTTGCATGTTAAAAACGCCGAAAATTAATTTTTGGTTTTGTTCATAAAAATAGTTGTGAAATGGCGGCAGGTCCCATTGCTGAACGCAATCAAGGTGGGTTTTTACTTAATTTGCTGCTTAAGTTCTTCTAAATCTTCTTTTCCCTATCCTTTGGTAGATGCAACCATCTATGCCGGCGGACTGGACGACAAGGTGTCGGAAACGCTGCTTTGGGAGTTATTTGTTCAGGCGGGACCAGTGGGTGAGTAAAGTGGTTGATCTGGGATTCCTAGAATGCATACTACTCATTGACTTTTCAGTGAACGTACACATGCCCAAGGATCGGGTCACCCAAATGCACCAAGGCTACGGTTTCGTCGAGTTCCTCAGCGAGGAGGACGCCGACTATGCCATCAAGATCATGAACATGATTAAGCTATATGGCAAACCCATTCGTGTAAACAAGGCGTCGGCTCACCAAAAGAATTTGGATGTCGGCGCCAACATCTTCATCGGCAACCTGGATGTGGAGGTCGACGAAAAGCTGCTGTACGATACGTTCTCCGCCTTCGGGGTGATTCTTCAGACACCGAAGATCATGCGAGATCCAGAGACTGGCAAGTCTAAGAGCTTTGCCTTCATCAACTTCGCCAGCTTCGAGGCCAGTGATGCGGCCATGGACGCCATGAATGGTCAGTACCTGTGCAACCGTCCCATCTCGGTGTCCTACGCCTTTAAAAAGGATCACAAGGGCGAGCGGCACGGTTCGGCTGCGGAGCGTTTGCTGGCCGCCCAGAATCCCTCTGCCCATGCGGACAGGCCGCATCAACTGTTCGCTGATGCGCCGGTGCAGAATATGATGCCGCCGATGTCGGGCCAGATGATGCCGCCACCGATGATGGCTCCGCCGCCGCCTGTGGTGCCAGTTACGAATAACAATATGGGCATGATAGCGCCGCCGCCACCCGTGCCCCAGCCTGCGCCGTTCCCAGCCACGATACCGCCGCCGCCGCTGCCACCAATGGCCGGCGGACAGCCGCCCCTACCTCCGGCAATGGGCATACCACCGCCACCACGCATGATGCAACCAAATGCCTGGGCACCCCCAGGCATGCCAGCGCCGCCGCCCAGACCACCGCCCACCAATTGGCGTCCGCCGCCCGTGCCCTTTGCCCCTGCGCCCTTCGCACGGCCGTACCAACCTGATGGCTACCAGTACTAGGTCTAGGCTGTAGTGTATACCAATTTGGACGAGACGAAATAAATTTTAATAGGATTTATCTATAAAGAATGCTATGCTATATATGTGAAGACTAATAGTAACGTTATTTGGACATTAAATAGTTCTCACACACTTCATTTCGGAAATGTTCATAAATTTCATTCAAACTTCTTACACGTTTCCATTTTGAAAATGTTGAAGACTGGGCTTCAGTTCCAATTCTTTCGTGTCATGCATCTTATTGAAAAAATATTTTAAAATGTATAAAACATCAACTTGTAGCTTATAAAAGTTGAGCTGAGTCGAAACTAATTCAAATAGGTAATGTAAAATAAAAGATTTTGATAAGCAGAACTATATTTATTAGCCTTGGATCGTTCCTCAACTAGATAAGGATAGCTACATATGTGTCCTGAACCTATCCTATAAGAGAAAAGCCCTCGAATTGTTCCCATCCCGCTTCTTTTGAAACATTGCTTGGTTCTTGTAAATTGTTTTGCATAAATTTATTAATATGGGAAACATACAAGTACAATATTTACAATAGTTTTGACTACTATTTATTTTCCTTTATTGAATTCTTGTCTAAGCAAATTTGGTTTAGTCCCACTATGCTTTCTTCCATTTCGTTTGGTAAAATAACTTAGCTTTAGCTTTACGATTACTTGGTTATTTTAAACGTTACTTTCTTGTTTTTCTTTTTGGTTAAGCAAGACAAACAACAACAGAAAAACGGTGAAGCATATATATGTATATATATATATATTAATTAATAACGATGTACAAGAAAATCGTTACGCATAAATTTTCTCGCATTTATTAAAATTTCTTTTGGTTTTCGTTTAATTTTCCTTTTTTATCTTAAAAAATGAATTATATATAAAAAATAATAATTAACATAAAAACGTTCTGAACTGGTTTGGTTTTTGTATGTGTGTGTGTGTGTGTGTGTTGTATGTGTTTGGGGTGTGTGTTGATTTTGTTTGTTTGCTGTTGTTGTTGCTCCTGTCCCTCGGAAAATGTGCCGATAACGAATGGCGCTGATTTCCGCTTCCGGTGGCCACCGGCTGCCCCGTGATCCGTGCTCCATTCGTGACTCGCCCCAGTCACCAGAGTCGCAGCCTACTTGGCCGCCGTTGTCGTAGCTCCTCCTGCCACTTCGGACGCGTGGTTGTTGGCATTATTGGTCTTGCGCTGGGTGGCACCAGCGGCTCCTCCGCCGGAAGGGAGCCCGCTGTTCGACTTGTTCTTCGAGCGCGCCGATCCATTGGCCAAACGTGCGTTCTCCGAACTGTCTGTGAGATCCTCACTATCACTGGAACGAATGTCACCTGACATCTGAAAAGAAAGCACAATGAACAGGTTAGTACACGGGTGAGGAGTAAATATTACCCTATACTACCAAAGAAACCAACAAATTTTAACTTATGTTTTCTTGTTTTGAATCGAACCGAAAACTATTTCTATATAGATACAAAGCATCAATATTATACCTTATAGGTTTCAGTTAAAAGACTACGTTATGGATTTTTTAAAGGGCTAAGACACAGTTAAAAGGACTCGGGCTTGATAGCTAGATGCCGTTACACTTACCAGACCCTTCTGCAGAGAGTCGACAACAATCTTGAGAATCATATATGTCCAGATGACGTGCAGGACGAGCAGCATCAGAAGCAATGAGTTGAAGATGTAGTAGGCTGGGAACATGGGCAGAATGCGCGGTGCTTCCACAGATGAGCTGCCGGGTTAACAGGATGGTGGATTGTCAGTTTGGGATTGGGGTCACTTCAACCAGGAAGGTTGGGATGGTTCCTCCCACTCACCTGTAGATGATGCGTGGATAGAAGCCCAGGCGCGTGACAATCCAAACCACAGTGAAGATGGCAAAGATCGCGTCGCAGAGCTTCTGATAGTTGGCATACTTGGTGAGCTTGGCCGCCTCCAAAAAGATGTCGGCACAATCGTGTACGACCAGCACCAGAGAACCAACGCGATGCAAGTTGCACACCCAACTGAGCGACATCAGCAGCAGGGTGACCATGTGATGAATGAACATCTGCCAGAAGTCCTTGCGTTTCACATCAAAGAACTGGGTGCCAGTGAGGGACCAGTAGAAGGACATTGAAATCATGTAGTACCACCATATATCACTGCTGATCGACTGCGAAGAAATACGTTAATTGTTTTCGATAAGGAGGCGGCGGTTCAGCGGTCCGTACTTGATGCGGGTAGCCGTACCAGCAGCTCTTCACATCCCAGAACCAGGGCTTGTCCCACAGCACAATCACGCCGAAAATAAAGCTGTACAGGTAGTAGATGCATCGCCAAGTGTTTTCGCAGAATTTCACCAGCGTCGACGGTTTGTCTTGGGCCCTTCGTAAACGCCACCATCGCTCGATTTGACGCTCGCTCATATCCGTCTGCTTTGACAGCGGAGCCAACTGTTAAATAAACCAAGGATCAGACATCTATATCGACAATGATATTCAGTGCTAGCACTCACCCATTTGTTGTCCAATCGCGTGGATTTGGCATAGGCGGTCTCCAAAATAGGAACATTTGCTGCTTTCTTAGGTCTAGAACTTCGTATCCCCAGTGACTTGCCTATCGGCGATATCCAAAAACTGCAAGTAATTAAAAGATTTTAATTAGAAGGCGCTTATTTAACTGTTTTACGACTACGGCACAGGTTTTAAAGTTTATGATAGTCGAGACGAGTGCTTCTAGATAAAGTCTAGCACATGGTAAACTAGCTAAAGAATGTTAAGTATGAGTCTATAAATACTAACTGTATAATAGAATAGAATCTAATAGACTTTGGGAAGGTTATAGAATATAGGAACTGTTGTTATCTTGGCAGTAGAAGTGCTATCCATGACACCTGACAACAAATCCAATAAAAGTTAGATTGGGCTCGACACAACATCTCTAATTATGCATGTACGTACACCCATGGCGGAAACGTTTTTGTTTTTTCTGTTTATGATTTAATTTAATTTTATTTATGTATACATACGTGTATATTTATTTTGCCCACACACCTGTCGTCGTCTTAACGTCTGGCACGTGTGGAGCATGGCAACTGGGACCTGGCAAGGGGTTTTGGGATGGGTTTTGGGTTGCCCGCACGACCACATGCATAGGTAATTAGCCCGCCCAAAACTGGACATCGCCACGACCACGCCAGACTTACATATATCTCTTTTCGGAAGCTAATTTGCCAATGAAATCGAAAGATTTGCACATCCCGTGCCAATACGATTGGAATCCCAAGTAGTTTTGAAAAGAAACCCTCCTAATTCATAGGCAGATCACACAAAGCCCGGCCAAAAAAAATGCGGAAACCTCTGTTGAAGACTTTCTGTGGGTCATGTATAAATTTTAAAATAATTAATTTGAACTACTCCCGAATCTATGTTCAGTTCAAGTTCATGCAGTACATAATTCAATTAACACACAGAGGATTTAATTGACCCGCATTCACTTTCAGATATTGATTTATATTATCACCCCCGAATATTTTGATAAGTTACGTCTTTTCAATGCCCAGGGTTATAGGAAGTGAACCCATTAATTGGGATTTCCCAAACTTAGGGTGTGTAATAATAAATTAAACAAATTTTATTGACAATACGTACAAAATGGGTTATTAACAGTGACGCAAATTGTACGCTTAATTATCAGCGATAGAGGCTATCCATAATTACAAGTATAACATTTCTTATGGAATATTTATATCTGAGAATTTAACTTTAAACGAGGGCTATTTTAAAAAGTTGTTTTGCAACTTGAAAAATTATTATCGTCAAAATATCGATACGCACATCGGCATAAGGCAGAAATTTCGCAACGTCATCGATACTTGGTGCCAGCGCTAATGTCGTTCCATCCCTAAAGCTAGTCCTCGGAACTGCCTTAAAAGTATAAACAAAACACAATACTTTAATCTAGTGGCTTTTCCCAGCTCCCCTACGGAGCTACACATTTAAACGAACCTGTCACTCCACACGGCGCCGAAATGGAATCTTCCAGCGCTCGGACATCGGAGAACTCTTTGGGGGATTGCGGGAACACAGCCCAAGTGCAAAAGGGAATCTACCATGAACGACAGACTCGACACCTTTGTGGCCTCCACGCCCTGAACAACCTCTTCCAGGGCCCCGAAATGTTCAAAAAATCGGAGCTGGACGACTATTGCACCACGCTGACCCCGCGAAATTGGCTAAACCCCCATCGGTCGTGGATCGGATGGGGCAACTACGATGTCAATGTGATTATGTACGCCCTGCAGCAAAAAAACTGCGAAGCAGTATGGTTCGACCGCCGGCGGGATCCGCATTGCCTCAATCTCAACGCCATCTTCGGGTTCATCCTCAACGTTCCGGCGCAGATGAGCCTGGGCTACTACATCCCATTACCCTTTCAGATGCGCCACTGGCTGGCCCTCCGACGCATCGATGAAAAGTACTACAATCTAGACTCCAAGCTACGGGAGCCCAGATGTCTGGGTTCCGAAGAGGAGTTCATCCAGTTCCTGGGCAGCCAGTTGCAAATGGAGCACGAGCTAATCTTGGTTCTGAGTGAGGAGAAGGACTCCACCGAGAAGAGCGAACAACGTTGGCTGCTCCCGCAGTTTAGGGATTAAGGTTATGGTTATGCAAATAAAGTTTCCGTGATGGTATTAAAAAATTCCGGTTATTTAATCACTCATTTAGACAACCGAAGAGTGCCCTAAAATATAAGCAATTTCTTAATGATCACATTTAAAGTTTTCTTTGAGATTGCAAATGGTTTTTTAATAGTAATAAAATTCCATGGAAATCCTACCAGTAGTTATTACTTTAAAAGATTAATTTTTGTCAATAATAATTTGTATTTAAAGCTTCTATTAACCAATCATATTATATGACAGATTGTATTTTCGAAAAGAACTTAAATCCAAACGTAACCGCGCTACAGGTTCTATTGCATTCATAGAAAGTTAAGAACAACTCGCTTAAATGCAATTTTAGAAGTGCATTTTCCTCAAAACGCTAGATGTCGATTATCAAAGTGGTTTTGTTTCGTGCGAATAATGAATGTGTTTTGATGCAACTTGATGACAGTTTGCGATTAGAGCCCCACCATTATTCGGGCGTATTTATTAAATTTCACTCAGGCAATGTGCAAAGCTGGCGAACAAAGTGCAATGCACTGGCAATTATTCGGGTCTTATCAGCGGAACAACTTCAATTTTGGAGCCCCCAAACCGTCGGTCAAGTGTTCTATAGGGACCGTCCGTATGCATATTATACTACAAATGTCGGCTGTTGTTCGGCGAATTATTTGCGGTTGTCTGCGATAATACAACACGCAAGGCAACCGGCGGTTGTGAGATTAGCGCAAGTAAGTGCCACACCAGGCTATAGCTGTATTCCAGCTATATATATTCCTCGTATGTGGCCCGACTTTTGGGACTGTCGTGGTCTGACTCACTGCCGATACCCAGTTGGAATTAAGCATAAGCGCCATTAGTCAGCGACTAATAGACCGCCGAGCGATCTGTTATCTTTATAACGTACGCTTTTCCTATGAGCTTTACAAGTGGAGGACGAAACTTAAATGTTATTTTAAATATTCGAAATATTTAAATGATGAGTTGTGAAGAAATTCATATACATAAATCGGAATACGTCCCTTAAGCCTTCAAACAAAACAGTGGAAGCAGCTGAAATTTGGCTCACACTGTTTAGCAAGAAGAATGAGAGGTGCTAATTAGATATTTAACAAATTGCACTGGAAGCGAACCGCGAACCGGCTCCCCCCTAAAGTGGAGTACCACCTGACTAGGCAAAACTCCTCATTCTCATTCCTACCTGGTGCGTGAAGCACGTGCGTTTTTTCATTCTCTCTTTTTCTGTTTTATGGCATTTGCGTTTTTTCTGCTTTTTCTGCTTTTCACTGCCATTGGGCAATCGGCGCGATAAACAATTGAAATGACCGACCGCGTTTGCAAGCAGCGGGGAAAACACTATAGAAACGGGTTTACGGATCGGTTTTTGGGTTTTTGGGACTGTTGTTCCTAGAAGTTACATATTTTGTCAATCTCAGGATTCTAGCGGTGCGTAAGAAGAAGCATAAGCTTTGGGGGCGTGGAGAAGATGGAGAAATGGAGGGAGCAGAGCGGCCGGCGATTATGTACATTTCTCGATACATGTGTATGTATGTATGTATGTATCTCTCTTTGCACTTGATGTGTGCATGTGAGCCATTAAAATAATTAACCTGAAATTTTATCGCACCAGAGCGCTGAGCTCGAGGGTCGCCTCTTGGCGATTACGTATCACAATAGCTATAGCTTCAGCATAAATGCGGACGAATAGAAGAACGTGCTCTACACAGCTGCGCCCAGCAAAATAGTACTCATAAATCCCACTTGAAATAAGTCGTAATCAGCTAGCTAACCCCTCATATATAATATATCTTTAATCTAGGAAGGTTTGGAAAAACACATAGAAGTTTTAAGCAATAAATAGGCCTTATTGAATTTTAGTTGGCCATTTCCGCTTTTATGTTTCGCCTATGGCCATAAGATATAAGTATCTTATTTAATAATCAAAAATGATAAAAAGTTCTTAATAAATTTGTTCATTTAAAATTAAAATATAAATTGAGGTCTGACTTTTCAGTCAGCACCAACTGTTTAAATTGTTTTAGTAACTCTCTCTTTTGTTGTTCTTCGCGTAGTGTAACATAAACATGAACATAAACCCCAATTCAGTGCAGAAAACATTCCAAAGCGTGTTTGTATCTGGTGAAGTGCGAGTGTAGCGGCCATAAGGGAAGCGCCAATCGGGCCATAAAGTGCGCGCATATTTGGAAAAACTTCTTAAGACTATGACTCACTGGCTGGGCCAAAGAAAAACGTTTGACTAATCATGGACTTAACCCACACTTCAACGGATCAGCTAAAATATATGAAGCACACGCTATAAGACCAATATATTTAAGATAGTTGCTTATCTTTATTTAAGGCAAAAGCATACACACAAACAATATTTAGTTTTTGGTAGTCCCAAGCATTGACTGAAGTATGTACTTATCAAACCCGTTTTGGTTCATTCAAATTGTTAGTCAGCTAAATGAACATATAAAATAAATACATATGTGCATATATATTTTTAAGTCTAACAAAGATTTTCCTTGGCGTTATTGCACCCTCTTTTAACCTAAATAAATGATATGGACACACCTTCTGAAACACCCTCGGATTTCGAACCCGCTGCCCACGCCCCTGGTGTACCCACACACCCCCAATGGAAACAGTCATTCGAGAATTCAGCGTAAAACAATTGAGGCACTGGGCACTGTTATCAAGTTTTATACGTAAATCTTGGCACAAATCTTATCGGGGCAGCGCTTGTGGAGTGGCAGTATCGGCGGTGCTAGTTGGGCCCAAGGTGGTTCCATTATGGCCACCATGACTTGGGCATTGGGAACGGTTTTCAGAGAGAGAGACTCCAATTCAATCGAATTGAGACAAATCGATGACTTTTGCCATTAAATGAATATTAATAGAGAGACGCGTCCGAAATTCCAATTCGACCTTGAAGTCCAATTCTTGTTTAAGAAGCAGAAATACAAAAACAAATAAAGTGGTCTGCCATGAAACAGATTTGGTTTCTGTCGCATTTCCAAACACAGATGCAAAAGCCACCGAAAACAAAAATCAAAAGACCGCTGTTAATGTTGTGTACGTTAATTTACAATAACAGTGTAAGTCAGACATTTTAAAAACCTATAGATAACGTTTATACTTTTCAAAAGATCATCATAAAATAAATGAAAAAAATGTAAAGCCTCTCAATGTTTAATTGATAACTATTATTGAAGTTGTACTGTAGTTTTATGTGCTTGAGCTAAGCTTGTTTGACAAATGCCCTACATTTTTCGGTGGCAACGATTAGGAGCTCTCACAGCACTTCGCTTGACTGTATGTATATGCGATTTATGTAAAAGTAAGGGCATAAACATATTGCAAAAATATGAGAATAACTATTTTTTTTTTACAAATAAATGCACCTGCACGCAATCTGCACACACGAACAGCGAATATTCACATATTTACATGTTCACAACGTCGCTCAGGTTAATTGCCCTGAAAATCGGCCAAAATGCTTTTGGCCTACACTGGGACAATGGTCATCGAAATTAAATTGATTTTTTACTTTTAAGTAAATATCTTTTCGAAATTGGTCTCAGATAATTTATCGAATTTCAGACCTTGTCGTTAAATATTCAGGTGTACTTTTACCATAAGAATCATAAGAATCTAAGAAATCGAATGAAATTGAATCTTGAAATAAACTTAAGCTTAAGTAAACATTTAAAGAAACAGTAATATTGTATTGCACGTCGATTAAGGGGAAAAGTAGTTTCCGTGAAATAGTTTAATATACCAATCTCCGATTGATACATGTAGTAAGCTGAATTGTCAAAATGTTTATGTATTTGCCCCACTGTACCGGAGTTTGTTCCCATTTTCTCACTAGTGCATACATCCGTACAATACACACAATCACCGGCCATTAACAAATATACATACATATGTTTTCCCTTTAACTAAACAATTAGTATGAACTTTAATGCAAATGCCGGAGGCGGGGGGCCAATACTTGGTGGGAAATTCGTAGCCGGCTAACTGGAAACTGCAGCCGGCGTCGCTTGGAAGGGAAAACATAGAGTTGCAGCAACAACAACTTGGCGAGCGTGTGCGCCTTACACACACATACACGCTTGCAGAATGTTGGGCGTTTCCACGTGAGGTTATGTTTGTCGAAAAAAAAAAAAAACCGACGGAATTATGAATAAAGTTTACTGTACATAATGCAACAAACGTGGGCGGGTGCTCTCAATGGAAAAGAGAGTGAGAGTGAAAGAGAGGGAACCCGAATGAATGGGGATGGAACAGTGCCGGAAAGGATGCGAGATGGGGGCTAGCGGGATGCCGCAAACGGGAAACTTACCGCTCCAGCGTGTAACGGACCAGCATGACGACAGCGGCGAATGGAATGGGCCAGATGAGGTCCTTGTAGTTAGCGTGCACCACATCCTTTCGCGAACCTGGCGCTATGTCAGCCCAGGTTGTGTTCGGCGGCAGCCAAATATGCGTACTCCAGAATGCATCGCTGAACTTATTGATTAGATCCATGTTTGCTGCTCCTGCTGCTGTCCGAATTTCTCAATTATTTTCTTTCCGCTTTACAGTTTTTCCCTGGCGTTTGTTGTCACATATAGGTACGATGTTTTATGTGCTTAACCAAATATTCTTGCATGCGACCCTGCGCCTGTGTGTTTTTCTTGTGGCTTGGAAACAGCAACAACAACAGGAGCACCGGACCGCGGTTCACACGAACACACACACACAAGCACACACTGGCAAAAAATGTACCGCCGAATCGTTGTTGTCCTTTAGCACTCTGTTTAATGGGTTTATTTTAGTTTTTTTTCGCCGCTTCGGAATGAATGAGAGTTCGGGAAACGGAAACTGCCGGGCCAAAGAAATGCACTTCAGAATTTCGTGAGGGTCGAGAGCTGTGTGAAAAACACACTTGATATTTCGGATGAACGAAAAAAATACTAATAGGCACTAGCAGCTGTACGGAATCGGTATATATAGAGCCAGTTAGATGGGGAATCATCGATGGATCGATGATTTAAATTTTTTTGGAAACATCGATGTCTAACGGCGACTATCGATGTTTATCTACGTCTAATAGTGTTTTCCGGCAAAGAATCGGGATTGATGATAAATAATAGCCAATCAACGAATTGAAATGTTTAAAGGAGTACTTTAATATGCATTCGTGATAAAATGGTAGTTGAAGGGCAATCCTGATCCACAGTTTCTTTTGTCTTAATATTAGGCTAGGAGAACAACGACAAAACCCAATTTAAAAAGGTTAATAAAGGTATTTTGCAAGAAATTCCTTTTGTCTTGAACTCCGACCTTTCAGGTAGTTCAGTTAAAATAATAATTAATGAATAAACTTTAAGAACCATTTTCCTGATTGGAAATCTAGCTAGGTTGTTGACTTGGCTACGCCATGGTCAGCGTTGGCGCAAGATCACAACCAAAGGTTTTAGTCTTTGCTAAGCCAAGTCGCTAACCAACTATTGCGTTAAAACTATCGATACAATCATCGGTAAGTTCATTCCAATTTCGCGCCTTTACCAGCACTGACCACCGAGGACTCTGCTTCTTCGTCTTTGGGTTTTTTTTATTGTGACTCTGCAAGCGACGTTTTTGTGCATTACCTTTAGTTAAATTCGTTGTTAAGCCTATAGTTTAATTGTTTAATTTATTGTGATGGCCGAATTCCTGGATTCTGAGGCCGAGGAATCGGAGGTAGGTATCGTCGAATACCACGATCCGCCGATTTGCGGATTTTTTCGCGTTGCGTTTTTTCTGTTTGTAGGCGCGCGTACTATTTATATGTATATGTGCGGTGCGCGTTGCGTGTGTGTATATATATAATGCATTTTCCTTATAATTTTTCCTCGTTTTTCCCGCAGGAGGAGGAAGAATTGGACGTGAACGAGCGCAAGAAGCTGAAGAAGCTGAAAGCCGCCGTCTCCGACAGTAGCGAAGAAGAAGAAGGTGAGTGTTTCTAGCCGCCGCGCTCTGACAATAACAAAGTGTTAGTGATCCCTTCGACTGGCGGGCTTTTCCCTCTCAGGCAGGCCCACGCGTGGAAAACTTATGCTTGAATTTAGTGCTTCCTATAACCCCGTTGCACTTTCAATTTTGTTGTTGTTTACTACTTTGAGGTTAGGTCTTGTGTTTTTACCGTGCTACCGTGGCCATCTAACAGCAGCATCGACAATTAGCGTTCGTTCCAGTGTGACAAGTTGGAAGCGCGCGGCTGTTTCCAGAGAGCTGCATTTGAATGTGCACTCGAGATTGTGAATGCAGTTGTACCTTTGGCAAAACATTTTCAAGAATCACACTCAAAATGACGCGAAAGTGTCAGCAGAAGACTAAACTAACTGGATTGATAGCAGTGCTACTGACTTTCCTGTCATTTAACAAATCAAATCCACTTTCATCATGTCGGACTTTTTAGTAACTCCATTAATAAAACCTTCTGCGAAGCCAAGTATGTAGGTCACAAAAACTCATTAGTTTAAACCAAGCAGCTTGAAAATAGAGAATCCCCACTAAAGCCAATATTCAAATATAGTTTGCTGATGTCCTTTTTATTTATTTTTTTGTTCAACAGATGACGAGGAGCGTCTGCGCGAGGAACTCAAGGATCTTATCGACGACAATCCTATCGAGGAGGATGATGGCAGTGGAGATGACTCGGACACCAGAAGTGGTGGTGACACCGAAGGCGGTGGGAGTGGCAAGAAGCGCAAAAAGCACGAGGACGACGATCTTGACGATCGACTAGAGGACGACGACTACGATCTGATTGAAGAGAACTTGGGCGTCAAAGTCGAGAGACGGGTAAGTGAGATAAAATAATGAATGTGAATAGTTTATAATAATAACACCAAATTTCCCTTGCAGAAACGGTTTAAACGCCTGCGTCGCATCCACGACAACGAGAGCGATGGCGAGGAGCAGCACGTGGACGAAGGACTTGCCCGCGAACAGATTGCCGAACAGCTGTTCGACGAAAACGATGAGGTAGTAGAAACACCTGACCACTATAACATGTTAATATATATGTATTTTTTTCTAACCAATCCCCAATCCTTCAGAGCGTTGAGCATCGAAGCGAGCGCAGTCCCAGGGAGGCGGACGCATTCGACGAGGAGGACTCGGAGTCAGATGCGGACGATTTCATTGTTGACGATAACGGACGTCCTATAGCTGAAAAGAAAAAGAAGCGTCGTCCCATTTTCACAGATGCGTAAGTTGACCTAATAGCTTAAAACCTCCGAGAACCTCCGATTAATTTACCAATACAGATCACTGCAAGAGGGCCAGGACATCTTTGGCGTGGACTTTGACTACGATGACTTCTCCAAGTACGAGGAGGACGAGTACGAGGACGACTCCGAGGGGGATGAGTACGACGAGGAGCTGGGCACCGGCGATGATATGCGTGTCAAGAAGAAGAAGTCGCTGAAGAAGAAGGTGGCCAAGAAGACGATCTTCGACATTTACGAGCCGAGCGAGCTGAAGCGCGGACACTTCACCGACATGGACAACGAGATCCGCAAAACGGATATACCCGAGCGCATGCAGCTGCGCCAGGTGCCCGTGACCCCAGTGCCCGAGGGCTCTCACGAACTGGACCTCGAGGCGGACTGGATCTACAAGTTCGCCTTTTGCAAGCAAACCGTTTCCGAGCAGGAGAAGGCCGAGAACCGCGAGAAGCCGCGCAAGCCGCCGACGGCCGTGAACAAGATCAAACAGACCCTGGAGTTTATCCGCAACCAGCAGCTGGAGGTGCCCTTCATCGCCTTCTATCGCAAGGAGTACGTCAAGCCGGAGCTGAACATCGACGATCTGTGGAAGGTGTACTACTACGACGAGCGCTGGTGCCAGCTGAACGAGCGGAAGCGCAAGCTAAAGGTGCTCTTCGAGAAGATGCGCCAGTTTCAGTTGGACACGCTCTGCGCCGACCCAGAGAAACCCGTTCCGGACGACGTGCGCCTGATGCTGGACAGCGACTTCGAACGCCTGGCCGATGTGCAGTCCATGGAGGAGCTGAAGGACGTGCACATGTACTTCCTGCTCAACTACTCGCACGAGTTGCCGCGCATGCAGGCGGAGCAGCGGCGCAAGGTGATCCAGGAGCGACGCGAGGCCAAGGCCCGTCGACAGGCGGCAGCCGCCGAGAACGGCGACGATGCGGCCGAGGGCGCTGCGATTGTAATTCCCGAGCCCGAAGACGACGACGACCCCGAGTTGATAGACGACCAGCTGAAGCAGGCGCCAAACAGCAGTCCATACGCGGTGTTCCGCAAGGCGGGCATCTGCGGCTTCGCCAAGCGCTTCGGCCTCACGCCGGAGCAGTTTGCCGAGAACCTGCGCGACAACTACCAGCGCAACGAGGTCACCCAGGAGAGCCTCGGGCCCACGGAGCTGGCCAAGCAGTATCTGTCGCCGCGCTTCATGACCACCGACGAGGTGCTTCGCGCAGCCAAATACGTTGTGGCCCGCCAGCTGGCGCAGGAGCCCCTGCTGCGCAAAACGATGCGAGAGGTGTACTTCGACAGGGCCCGGATAAATATACGGCCCACCAAGAATGGTATGGTGCTCATCGACGAGAACTCGCCGGTGTACTCGATGAAGTACGTGGCCAAGAAGCCGGTGGGCGATCTCTTCGGCGATCAGTTCATCAAGCTGATGATGGCCGAGGAGGAGAAGCTGCTGGAGATCACCTTCCTCGAGGAGTTCGAGGGCAATGCGAACGCCAACGGACCCCCGGGCGACTATGTGGAGGAGTCGAAGGCCCTGTACCATCTGGATCAGTTCTCGAAGCATGTGCTCGAGTGGAATACGCTGCGGGCGGAGTGCGTGAAGCTGGCGATGCAGAAGTGGGTTATCCCCGATCTGATCAAGGAGCTGCGCTCCACCCTGCACGAGGAGGCGCAGCAGTACGTGCTCCGAGCCTGCACCGGCAAGCTCTACAAGTGGCTGAAGGTGGCGCCCTACAAGCCGGAGCTGACCAACGACTATAACTACGAGGATTGGAGCACGCTGCGCGGAATACGGGTGCTGGCTTTGGCCTATGATCCCGACCAGTCGGTGGCCGCTTTCTGCGCGGTGACCACCGTGGAGGGCGAAATCTCCGACTACCTGCGGCTGCCGAACATCCTGAAGCGCAAGAACTCGCACAACGCCGAGGAGAAGGCCCAGAAGCTGGCCGACCTGCGAAAGCTGAGCGACTTCATTAAGATGAAGAAGCCGCACATCGTGGTCATCGGAGCGGAGTCGCGCGACGCCCAGAACATCCAGACGGACATCAAGGAGATACTCAAGGAGCTCAACGAGAACTCGTCGGAGCAGTTTCCGCCCATCGAGGTGGAGATCATCGACAACGAGCTGGCCAAGATCTACGCCAACTCGAAGAAGGGCGAGTCGGACTTCAAGGAGTACCCGGCGCTGCTGAAGCAGGCGGTTTCGCTGGCACGCAAGATGCAGGACCCGCTGGTGGAGTACTCGCAGCTGTGCGATGCCGACGACGAGATCCTCTGCCTGCGCTATCATCCGCTGCAGGAGCGAGTGCCGCGCGAGCAGCTGCTGGAGCAGCTCAGCCTGCAGTTCATCAACCGGACCAGCGAGGTGGGACTGGACATCAACCTGATGGTGCAGAACTCGCGGACCGTCAACCTGCTGCAGTACACCTGCGGTTTGGGTCCGCGCAAGGGTCAGGCGCTGCTGAAGCTGCTCAAGCAGAGCAACCAGCGGCTGGAGAACCGCACGCAACTGGTCACCGTGTGCCATCTGGGGCCGAAGGTCTTCATCAACTGCAGCGGGTTCATCAAGATCGATACCTCGTCCCTGGGCGACAGCACGGAGGCGTACGTGGAGGTGCTGGACGGGTCGCGTGTCCATCCGGAGACGTACGAGTGGGCCCGCAAGATGGCCATCGATGCCATGGAGTACGACGACGAGGAGACCAATCCGGCCGGCGCTCTCGAGGAGATCCTCGAGTCGCCGGAGCGCCTAAAGGACCTCGATCTGGACGCCTTCGCCGTGGAGCTGGAGCGCCAGGGCTTCGGGAGCAAGAGCATCACCCTGTACGACATCCGTAACGAGCTGAGCTGCCTGTACAAGGACTACCGCCAGCCGTACACCAAGCCCAGTGCCGAGGAGCTCTTCGACATGCTGACCAAGGAGACACCCGACTCCTTCTACGTGGGCAAGTGCGTCACGGCCATGGTCACCGGCTTCACCTACCGCCGGCCGCAGGGCGAGCAGCTGGACAACGCGAACCCGGTGCGCATCGAGTCCAGCGACAGCTGGCAGTGTCCCTTCTGTCACAAGGACGACTTTCCCGAGCTGTCCGAGGTGTGGAACCACTTCGACGCGAACGCCTGCCCGGGCCAGGCGTCCGGAGTGCGGGTGCGCCTGGAGAACGGCCTGCCGGGCTTCATACACATCAAGAACCTGTCCGACAAGCAGGTGCGCAATCCGGAGGAGCGCGTCCGCGTCTCCCAGATGATCCATGTGCGCATCATCAAGATCGACATCGATCGCTTCTCGGTGGACTGTTCCTCGAAGTCGGCCGATCTGAAGGACGTGAACAACGAGTGGCGGCCGCGACGGGACAACTTCTACGACTTCGTCACCGAGGAGCTGGACAACCGGAAGGCCAGCGAAGCCAAGGCGAAGGCGCTGAAGCGCAAGACCTACGCCCGCCGCGTCATCGCCCATCCGAGCTTCTTCAACAAGTCGTACGCGGAGGTGGTGTCCATGCTGGCGGAGGCCGACCAGGGCGAGGTGGCCCTGCGGCCGAGCAGTAAGTCGAAGGACCATCTGACTGCCACCTGGAAGGTGGCCGACGGCATCTTCCAGCACATCGATGTGCGCGAGGAGGGCAAGGAGAACGAGTACAGCCTGGGCAGGAGTCTGTGGATCGGCACCGAGGAGTTCGAGGACCTGGACGAGATCATCGCTCGCCACATCACGCCGATGGCGTTGGCTGCCCGCGAACTGATTCACTACAAGTACTACAAGCCCAACACGGCGGCGACGGGCAACGACAAGGAGCGCGAGTTTATGGAGCAGGTGCTGCGCGACGAGAAGACCAAGGACCCCAAGAAGATCCACTACTTCTTTACGGCCTCGCGCAGCATGCCGGGCAAGTTCCTGCTCTCCTATCTGCCCAAGACGAAGGTGCGCCACGAGTACGTGACGGTGATGCCGGAGGGCTATCGTTTCCGCGGCCAGATCTTCGACTCTGTCAACAGTTTGTTGCGCTGGTTCAAGGAGCACTGGCTCGATCCGACCGCCTCGCCGGCCGCCGCCTCCTTGGCTTCCAACTCGACGCCCATGCACTCGATGCGACCGCCGCCGACAATGTCCACCGGCCCGTCGTCGCTGGGCTCCCAGGCGCCGTACAGCATCACGGGCAGCGTGACGGGCGGAACGCCTCGGAGCGGCATCAGCAGTTCCGGTGGCGGTGGCGGCGGCTCCAGCGCCTACTCCGTATCGCATTCCATTGTCGGCTACAGCTCCTCGTCGGGTGGCTCGGCCGCTGCGGCTGCTGCTGCGGCGGCTGCCTCGCACTACGGCAGCTCGTCGACGCCGTCGTTCGGAGCCATCATTAATACGCCGTACACGCCCAGCGGCCAGACGCCGTTCATGACGCCCTACACGCCGCACGCCTCGCAGACACCCCGCTACGGCCACAACGTGCCGAGTCCCAGCTCACAGTCGTCGAGCAGCCAGCGGCACCACTACGGCGGAAGCTCCGGAACGGGCAGCACGCCCAGGTATTATGACATGGGTGGAGGAGGAGGCGGAGGCGGTGGCGGTGGCGGCTCGAATGCCTACAATATGGGTGGCGGCAACATGCCGCCGCATCACCAGCAACGTGCCAAAGAGAACCTCGACTGGCAGCTGGCCAACGATGCCTGGGCCAGACGCAGGCCGCAGCAGCAGCAGCAGCAGTCGTCGCATCATCCGCAGCAGCAGCACCACCAACAGCAGCAAATGGGGATGGGCATGAGCATGAGCATGGGCTTGGGAATGGGTCCCGGAGGAGGAGGAGGAGGCGGAGGCGGGGGCTATGGGTCGACACCTGGCAACGATTACAATAGCGGCGGTGGACACAGTCGGGGAATGGGCGTTAACCACGGAGCCGTATCGTCCATGTCCTCGAAGGCGTCCGTGCGCAGCACTCCACGCACCAACACCTCACCCCACTCCATGAATCTGGGCGACGCCACGCCCCTCTACGACGAGAACTAGGCCGTCGGACTAAACCACCACAAACTGGAAGCAAAAACCTTTCCTAAAAACAATACTAAACGAGAAGTGTTATTTTTAGCATCGAGTTTTTGTATTTGGAAGGAGAAGAAGCTGCATTAATCTTAGAAAGTGCGAGCGCGATTTCGCATTGATCCTCAACGATATTTACCTTTAAGAGGAAGTCGCTAACTGATTCGCGGTACACGCAAAAAAGAAAATTATATATATATATATATAACTACCTTAAACAAAGATCGAGGGGCGCCTGCCGATTAAGTCAACCGAGGAGTCATCCGGGGAGCGAAAACGGCTTGGCTGGTGCAAGGATGGAAGGAGGAGCAATCAGGTTTATGACGACGGAAAGACGAAAAATAAATTTGAATTTTTTCTGACCAGAATTACGAGTGTGAAGTGTTGTTATTTTCGAACCACAATAGAAATGTAAATAATATTGTGGAGCCCAACAATCCTTGTAGTTTCGTTTTATTTTGTGGAAACTGCATTATTAGTTTATACTTTACTTTTCGAGTCTATTTTTTGATTTACATTAAATATTGTATTTGAGTGATTTGTACAGTTTATTTAATATCAAATGCTTGGAAAATGTTCACTTCAGTTGGAGAATATCTCTGGAATCAAGGAATGGAGCCGAAGCAGGCTAGTTTCTCGCCACTCCGCGTCGGATCACGTAGACCAGGGTGATCGCGATGAAGGCTGCGCCGAGGCCCACTGCGATATGACGGCAGCTAATTGGAAACGGTATAAATATAAGGTGATTGTTCATTTATGAGGCATAAAAACCAAAAGGCATTCAAAATATGTGGGTTCCATTGACCAAACTAAAGATACTTTGGTTATCTAGCGGTGTTACAGGGTTTAGAGGGGTTAATTTAGGACGCAGCATTGCTTGGGGGCGGCGGCGGAATCATTGCGCGCTTCAGTGGGCTTTGCACTACAGTGGCCGATGCACAATACCAAGAATCAAAATAAAATCGCAATTCAAAATATATATACTACTATTCGCAAACGGTGAAAAATTACAGCGTGCATAGTTAGTTTCCACGATGGATAGGTTTTATCCGAGTGCCTTGTGTGATATGTTTATATACATGCATATATTACAAAATGGAATAATATTAAATTAGTCAGATAGGACTTACAAATTCAACTAGCTTTTGTAGAACCTTATTTTCGTGCTAGTGAACGACTTAAATCTTGATAAATGGAAGCGTTTTATTAGAAAATTCTTACACATATTATTGAGTATATGGGGATTAAGGAAAAATATTTGGAAAAATGTATATTCGGTGTTCTTTATCGGTGCCTAAAGTAAAGTAAGCTTCTAAGCCGCCACTTATAAGCAAGAACTTGTATTTGTTAATCAAATTATATATAAGTATCAATTTCCATAAAAAATCCTCACTTATTTTCAGAGATGATTGCATATTCAAGGAATGATAACTGCATATCCAAATTTGTAGATAAAATACATTTCAATGGAAATATATACATATATATCTTTCTGACAACAAAAGGCGAGTACATAAGAGCGTAACACATCTGGGGCTTCGAGGCAATTAATGGATTACATAAGAGTTGGCTAAGTGTCCAATGTTTAATTGACTATTGATTACAGCCCAAAACGACCAGAAGCTCATGCGAAACCGGTTTTGGTCGAAAAACAAGTCATGCAAAGGAAAAGTGGTACGATTTCAGGGCGAGATGGAAGAATCTTAGCAAGAGCACAATTTTGCTGGAATATAATGAGATCAGTCCGAAAGCAGGAGTTTTTATTTACAGGCGACAATCGGCAAATAGATGAATTGGTAGGTTGTGTTTACATGCGGATAATTCTTGGTGAAATCTTAAAGCTAGACGGGATTCTCACCTAATTGGACTTTTCTTGGCAACATCGGCAGCATCCAGGTCGCCAATGTAGTACTTTTTCAGCATCTCTCTGGAAGGGACAAAGGAACAAGTGAGCAAGCCTGGAGGGAAAATGGGTAAAGTGGAGTTTCGGACCTCGCCTCTGAGCTGTGACCCACATCATTAAAGTCCTTGGTGGCATCGCGTCCGGCCACATCAACCAGGGAGTCCTCGCCACCGGGATGCTGCAATGGTTTGGATGTAATGGCTCCCGAATCCCTAAACCTTTAACGACTTGCCTCAAGCCTAAACTTAGTCACATCGTACACCTTGTTGTCGATGACCACCCATAGGTCCTGGGCCTTGTTGTGTTCCTTGACGACGGCCAAACGGATTCCCTTGCTCATTTTGAATGTCCTATAATTTAGCTGCGAACCTGTTGTTTCGTTTTACGGCTGACTTTTCCAGTGTGGCCCTTCACTGATTTCATATGCCAGCTGGTCCCACAAAACACACTAATTAATACCACTATGAATGTGGTATACTAAATTTTCAAAATGATAATGTACCTATTTTGCAAATCAATTAGGAACTATTATTCATATTTTAAAAGCCAATAAAAAATAACTGCGTACAATAAGTTCTTGATCATCATTCAACCTTTTTTTAAGATATATCGAAAAACACAGCTGGTTCTTCAAAGATCATTGCACCCAAAAATAAAGCACACCCACCAAAAAAACTAATTTACATATATAAGTTTTAAACAAATAAATTTAAAATGTATTTTTTGTTGTAATACACAAATATAATTTCCGATTAAGATTATTGTTCACGCAAATTAACTAAAAGTTTACTTTGAATACTTCTACTGCCTTGGCAAGATTAAATTTTAGATTATAATTGCGGAAAAAATCTAGAGAGCGCCACCACGTAGACGCAGGACCAAATGCAAAGTAGACTCCTTTTGGATGTTGTAGTCGGACAGAGTGCGTCCGTCCTCAAGCTGCTTGCCAGCAAAGATCAATCGCTGCTGGTCTGGGGGAATACCCTCCTTGTCCTGGATCTTGGCCTTGACATTCTCAATGGTATCGGAGGGCTCGACCTCCAAGGTGATGGTCTTGCCGGTCAAAGTCTTGACAAAGATCTGCATACCACCACGCAGACGCAGGACCAAATGCAAAGTAGACTCCTTTTGGATGTTGTAGTCCGACAGAGTGCGTCCGTCCTCAAGCTGCTTGCCAGCAAAGATCAAACGCTGCTGGTCTGGGGGAATACCCTCCTTGTCCTGGATCTTGGCCTTGACATTCTCGATGGTATCGGATGGCTCGACCTCCAAGGTGATGGTCTTGCCGGTCAAAGTCTTGACAAAGATCTGCATACCACCACGCAGACGGAGAACTAAATGAAGAGTCGACTCCTTCTGAATGTTGTAGTCCGACAGAGTGCGTCCGTCCTCAAGCTGCTTGCCAGCAAAGATCAATCGCTGCTGGTCTGGGGGGAATACCCTCCTTGTCCTGGATCTTGGCCTTGACATTCTCAATGGTATCGGAGGGCTCGACCTCCAAGGTGATGGTCTTGCCGGTCAAAGTCTTGACAAAGATCTGCATACCACCACGCAGACGCAGGACCAAATGCAAAGTAGACTCCTTTTGGATGTTGTAGTCGGACAGAGTGCGTCCGTCCTCAAGCTGCTTGCCAGCAAAGATCAATCGCTGCTGGTCTGGGGGAATACCCTCCTTGTCCTGGATCTTGGCCTTGACATTCTCAATGGTATCGGAGGGCTCGACCTCCAAGGTGATGGTCTTGCCGGTCAAAGTCTTGACAAAGATCTGCATACCACCACGCAGACGCAGGACCAAATGCAAAGTAGACTCCTTCTGAATGTTGTAGTCCGACAGAGTGCGTCCGTCCTCAAGCTGCTTGCCAGCAAAGATCAATCGCTGCTGGTCTGGGGGAATACCCTCCTTGTCCTGGATCTTGGCCTTGACATTTTCAATGGTATCGGAGGGCTCGACCTCCAAGGTGATGGTCTTGCCGGTCAAAGTCTTGACAAAGATCTGCATACCACCACGCAGACGCAGGACCAAATGCAAAGTAGACTCCTTTTGGATGTTGTAGTCCGACAGAGTGCGTCCGTCCTCAAGCTGCTTGCCAGCAAAGATCAATCGCTGCTGGTCTGGGGGAATACCCTCCTTGTCCTGGATCTTGGCCTTGACATTCTCAATGGTATCGGAGGGCTCGACCTCCAAGGTGATGGTCTTGCCGGTCAAAGTCTTGACAAAGATCTGCATACCACCACGCAGACGCAGGACCAAATGCAAAGTAGACTCCTTTTGGATGTTGTAGTCGGACAGAGTGCGTCCGTCCTCAAGCTGCTTGCCAGCAAAGATCAATCGCTGCTGGTCTGGGGGAATACCCTCCTTGTCCTGGATCTTGGCCTTGACATTCTCAATGGTATCGGAGGGCTCGACCTCCAAGGTGATGGTCTTGCCGGTCAAAGTCTTGACAAAGATCTGCATACCACCACGCAGACGCAGGACCAAATGCAAAGTAGACTCCTTTTGGATGTTGTAGTCCGACAGAGTGCGTCCGTCCTCAAGCTGCTTGCCAGCAAAGATCAATCGCTGCTGGTCTGGGGGAATACCCTCCTTGTCCTGGATCTTGGCCTTGACATTCTCAATGGTATCGGAGGGCTCGACCTCCAAGGTGATGGTCTTGCCGGTCAAAGTCTTGACAAAGATCTGCATACCACCACGCAGGCGGAGAACTAAGTGAAGAGTCGACTCCTTCTGAATGTTGTAGTCGGACAGAGTGCGTCCGTCCTCAAGCTGCTTGCCAGCAAAGATCAATCGCTGCTGGTCTGGGGGAATACCCTCCTTGTCCTGGATCTTGGCCTTGACGTTCTCAATGGTATCGGAGGGTTCGACCTCCAAGGTGATGGTCTTGCCGGTTAAAGTCTTGACAAAGATCTGCATATTGCCTATGTGCGAAAAAAAATTAATTGGTTTTTGCATGAAAAGAAGGAGGAAAGTGCGCAATTGATTTTTCTGCGTAGTGACCCAGTTCCCGTGACCCACAAAAAAAGTGTGGCATACACACGTAAATGGATAGAATTTTTTTTTCTTCAAAATGTTTACACAACTGAAACAATTTCACAATGAAACAACTAGTCAAGTATAAATGACTAATCTTCGATATAGAAAAAAAATGGAGCAAAAAAAATTGTATGCGTATGTATATGTGCATTCATTTTACATGTACACAATTTTTTTTTCTTTTTGCTGCACTTCTGTTTTTGCGTCACTACTTTAAATGGAGGAAAAGAAATTATACAAAATCTTTCCCACTCACCTTATTTGCTTGTTTCGCACAATGTGAACTATAACTTCTTTTAATTTGTTTTTTTTTTTCTTCCTTTTTTTTCTATTACTGCACTTTTTGAATCGACACTTATTGTCCAAAAACCTGCTTGTTCTCTCGGTCCGTTCTCCACTATTTTTTCACAGCTATGCGACTGCGGCCCCGTATTTATAGGCGTTTTGACTGGAATGTCGCCGCCTGCTGTCCTGCTCTTTCTCAGGCAATATTTCAACTTGGCCTGCTTCGCTCCCCACTTAATTGTGCTTTATTCTTTGCCTAAGTGTTCCACGCTAAAAATCTACATTGCCAAAATGGTGTATGAGGTTAAAGCTAGTAAATTGGCTCGCAAAAATCTGCAAAATATGTTATTGAGAGAATATGCGTTGTGCATTAGAGAAATGCATTCGTCTCGCTCACTCCAATGGAAATCAAGGCGCAGTTATCGATATAATCACTGTTGTGTTTTCCAACACTGACCCAGCTCTTCGGTGGGGTTGCATGTGTGTGTTCTATCCTGGAAGGGTATTTTTATATTCAATTATGAGAATTATAAATTGTACAACATTTGAATGCCTAAGGGATAGGGGTGAAAAGAAAAGCCATGGCTCTGCTTTCCCCTACTTTACTTTTCTCTACTACATTTCTTCCAGGGGTGGTGTGTGTGTGTTTGGGTTGGGTGACGCTCTTTGTTTGGCGAGTTAAATGACCTTTGTTTGTTTTGACGTCGCTCCCAAGATTTGTCTTCGCTTTGGTCAACAGCCTTTAGACAAGAGACCCCCACGCACACGGAACAGCTGTATTCCGGCAGACATCCAATTTTCCGCAACCGTGGAAATGTATTGTACATAAATGTGCACTTGCATATGACTAACAGCATCTGGAAAGTTCCTAAACGATTAAGGCTGATGAAATCGTATACAGCCTAATGTCAGCCAATTAACCATTAATGCAACCCCATAAAAAAAAACTTAATAAATTTACAAATGCATTTTGAATTTGTATTCCAATTTTTTGTCCTAGCAGAAACAAAAACGAGTCATACATTTCCAAATACGCACTGTCTAAAAGCCTTTATACATTCATATGCACATACATACATATGTACAAAAATATTTTTTTTATTGAAATGGCTTCAGAAAAGAACTGTTTTCAATAAAAAATAAGTTTTTAAAATTACGAATGTTCCCAGAAAAATGCAGGTAAACTTTTTAATAGTGAACTTTCGAATAATTTTTGGGCTGACTGTATGTACATAATATAAACACCGTCAATTATTACTATATAAAATGCATGATGAGTCATCTAATGTCTGTATACATCCATACATATGTATGTGTGGTTAGACAACCCTTAATACTAACTCTTGAAAATATGTAAATGCGGACCTTATTGTATAATTTATAAAGCTTTTAATAAATGAAAGATAAACACATACATATGTATGTACATATGTGTTTTTTTTGCCCTTGAACCAAGAAAACAATATTTTCTTTATAAAAAATTCGTTTATTTTCTTCGGTTTTTGTGTTTTTGTTTTGTTATTTGTTGTAAATGCAATCCAGAGTCCTCAAACAAAATATGCCGCCAACTGGGCCATTTTATCTTTGGGCTGTCGGCCGCCGCGTCCGCCACGACCTCCGCCACCAGGACCAGATCCGACACCAGATGCAGTCGCTCCACCAGCGGCTCCAGCTGGTCCACCGACTCCCACGCCGCCACGTCCCACTTTTCCGCCCCTGGATCCGCCGCCACTGCGAACAGGTCGCGAAGCGACCGCCCGATGCTTTTCCACCAGGTGGGAAAAATCACTGGAGCAGAAGATGCAGCCACTCTTCTCCTCGCTGCCGTCCTTGAACTTGCTCTTGTCGGATTTGTAGACCACGTTAACCTGCTGGGCGCCACACTCCTGGCACTTGGCCTCTACAAACGAGAATACGAATCGTTAGTGCATCTAATCCATTGTTTTCAGCTAGATACCCACCTTCGACTGTGATCTTGGTGGCTCCCTTGAAACAGTTGATGATTACATCGCAGCGGTTGCAGCCCAGCTTCCAGGTGGGTGCCAGCGTGCAGTCAAGCACCAGAACGCCGGTGGGGCACTCCACACAGCCGGAGATGCCCAAAGTGTTTAGCGAGTGCGGGCAGGTGGAGTGCGTGCAAGTGTTGCAGCCCCCCAAATGAGGCATGTCGCTGAACGGCGGATGGTTGTAGCAGTACGGGCAGAACGGATACGACCGACCCTTGACGCCTGTGGAGAAGGCCAGCAGATCGAAGTCGTCCAGTGGACACTTGAACTCCCGATACACCTTGACATTTCCAATAGGCAGGGCGTACGTCTCGTCGCAATGGGAGCAGTGCAACCTCGCTGGCTTCGTCTGAAATTCGAAAAACTTAGACTGGATAAGCAGGTGAAGAGATTTACTTTACTTACCTGAATGTATTTCATGTAGCGCCTGCATTTCCCGCAGCGCGAATGCGCCTTGCCTGACTCGGCCAGTGGCGAGAAGGAGACCTCGAATAGCGCGTCCATACTGGTGATGTTCTTAACAAAGTACATGAACTTCAACTTAAAGATCTGGATGGCGTGGCGCAGAACATCCTGAAAGTCAGCAGATCCCTGCGCAATCAGCGTCAACATACGCTCCACCTCCGTTCGCATGGTGGGCAGCACCAGCTCCGGATCGATCTTCTGATAGCCGTGCACCAGCACAATGCCCAGTGTTGTGGGAATTAGTTTTCGGCCATTTTCAATGTGCACGTAGTTGCGCTGGCAGATGTTGTTGATGTGCACCGGTATCGAGGCATCCGTGCCGATCCCGTGCTGCTCCATCAGTGTAATCAGCTCCGATTCGGTAAGGTAGTCGGGCGGACCCGTCTGACTTTCGGCCAGCCGCACATCGTTGATGGCCACCTGAGTGCCCTGGACAAAAGGCGGCATCGCCTCATCCCGTCCGAAGGCCTGCCAGGTCATTACCTTTGTGAATCCGGCATCGATCAACACATTGGCCGTACAGCTAAAGGTTTCCTGGCCTACGCGCAGCTTGGCCGTCGTCACGCGATACTTCAGATCCCGCGACACGGTGCCCATAAAGTGCCGGCAGATGAACTCGTAAACGCGCCATGTGTCGCGATCGAAGTCACTGCGGTTACCCAGTTTCATGGGCGTAATCGGTGGATGGTCTCCGGCATCCTTGCCATTTCGCGGCGTCTGCATTTCACCCAGAATGGCACGAGCCTCCTCACCAAAGTCCCCTGATGGCTTCAGCACATGGAGCACGGCTGGCAAGTCGAAGTTAGCCGGATACTGATTGGTCTCCGTTCGCGGATAGCTGATGTAGCCCTGCGTGTACAGGCGCTCTGCTATCTGCATCGCCTGGAACGGGCCGATGCCCAGCCCGGAGCTGCAGATCCTCATCAGCTCCACGGTATTTAAAGCCTGCGGTTTGCTCTTGTAAGCTTCCTTGCTGCCTACACTCTCTACGCTGAAAGCAAAAAGTGGAAATCGTTACCATATGGTTAGCAAACATAAGTTATTAGCCAGATTTTAAGCGGATTGTAAAGTGTATCCCCCTTATTGACAGTACCCTCACTAATAGAGTATCTTACGTGGCCTCCTTGTGCTCCTTGGCGCGATTCAGCAGCATTATAGCGATGTCTTTCTTAAACACCCGACCTCGCGCCCAATCCAGCGTGAATTCCGGCTGGCCGGCGAGTAGTTGTAGGTACCAGAAAGTTTCCGGCTTGAAAGTCTGGATGTCGTCGTGCCGCTTCACGCAGAACCCAAGCGTTGGCGTCTGGCAGGGACCGTAGGAAATAAGCGAAGAGTCCAGGTCACCGTAGCGGTCCTGAAAAAACTTTGTTTGGAAGCGGGTAAAGGCGCAGCCAATCCGCAGATCTAACTCTTGTCGCGCATCCACCGATTTCGCCTCGTTCTCGTTGGGATGCCCCAGCGTCTCCATCGCTGCTTTGATATCCTTGTCCGTGATAGCCGAGAAGTGGGCACGGTACGTCACCTGCCTGCTGTACACATTGTGAATGACATGCTGCACGGCGTCCATTACCTCAAAGCAAATATTTTCGCCCTCCTTGTCGCAATCCAGCCAAAGAACCAAATAATCGCAACCGCGTGCCTCGTTCGCCAGGAAGGTGCGCATGTGCTGCTTGGGATTTGTTTCCTTCTTTTCAGTGGGACAGCCAAAAAGCTGCACGGGATCCACTTTGTTCCACGAGTTGTACTTGCTAATGAAATCCAGTGACATTACATGTCCGCAAACGGAGGTCATCCGGAAGTGGACACTGCCTTCGTTTCGAAAGTTTCCCGTCCACTCATGCGTGGAGCAGCCGTTGCCGGTGCCTGGAGAGAATTCGGTTTGGTTATTACTGGTTCCGCGGGGTTTTTTTTTTTTTTTTGCGGACTCACCTCTTTTAACCGTGCACCGGCCGTTGGACAGAATCCCCGCCAGCGAGGCCGCCAGTGAGGGCTTCTCGGCCACCATCAACACGCTCTTCATGGCTCCAAAAAACAGTGGCCTATATAATTGATGACTTTTTCGTAGTGGTTCCTGCCCACTCGTTCTCTCGCATGGAATTGGCTCACTGGGGAGCTGCGCCTCGCCGGTTTTTGGTTCTTCGGATCCGCCGTGGGCTCCTTACCTGCTAGTCGGGTCAAATTCGTATATACAGTTTCTATATATTGCAATTTAGAGTCAGTTACCTTTAGTTTTGTGCTAAAAAAAAAACTGATGCAATTAGTGTGGTTGATTGTCTTTCCAGTTGACATACCAAAAGTCCCGTTAAAGACAAGTGGTCACACTATACTGGCGGAGAATCAGTTTTACTGAGTAACTTTTTCTATACCCTTACAAAAGGTATTATAATTGCAATTCATCAGCTCAAACAACTCTCGGTTACTGTATGTGAGCTGATAGTCTCTTTAAATATATTTTTATTATTTGCATAGATTTTTAACTATTATGAACACGCTAGAGGGTGGCAACGTTGTTTTCATTTCTGTTTAAAGAATGCTTCTAATAAATATTTAATAAGGAAAACTTATATAGGTAAACTTCTCAGACGATAAAGTGGGGTTAAAAGTTTTCTTAGCTATCTAGAAAATGATTCCAATTAAATTATAAGTCCAGAAAGTGATAGAATTAATTTGATACCCGATTAATGGCATATGTTGGATTATTCAGAGGTATAAACTATCCTCACATTATTTAGATCGCACAGTCTGGTCACATTGATTCGCTCTTATTTTCCCGACGTGCACGGTGGACTTTTCATGGCAACGATTTTCTTCACGGAGCCCGAACTAGTGGTCGGTCATGGCCGTAGGGTGCTGTTCGTGAATCCCAACGACCTGCAGATATTCAAGGAGATCGAGCTCCCTCCCGACCTCGGCCTGAAGGCGCCCCCTCTTCTGCCGAGCAGGAATCTTGTCCTTCGAGCGGACAAGGTCCGGGAAAGGAGCAACAGCTTGCTGCTGCGGGTGCCAAGCAGCCGGAAGCCACTGCCTCCGGATCGGGAGCAGCCAAAGTTGAGGTTCCAACCGTCGTGCAGAATGTAGCCTACTCACCAGACAGACAGCTGTTGGCTGTGACCACCAATGGAACCCAAAAAGCGTTATTGCTGTACCGCGCGCGGCCGGAGAACGCACGCCTGCTCTCGGCCCGACCACTAGCCCGAGCAGCCAGTGCCCTGCGCTTTTGCAGCGACAGCAGCTCCGTTTTGGTCACGGACAAGACGGGCGATTGCTACCAGTACGACTGTGTGGAGGTGGAGGCCACTCCGCGTCTGCTGCTCGGCCACCTGAGCGTGGTGTACGATATCCTGTGGTCGGAGGACCAGCAGCACATCATCACCTGCGATCGGGATGACAAGATACGGGTGACCAACTATCCCGCAACCTTTGACATCCACAGCTATTGTCTGGGTCACAAAGAGTTTGTATCAGGGCTGGCATTGCTCACCGATCAGCACATAGCCTCCGCCTCGGGGGACAAGACGCTGCGCGTTTGGAACTACATACAGGGCAAGGAGGTTCTGCGGCACGAACTGCCGGCTCCGGCGGTTCGACTGCTGGTGCGGCAACTGGAGCCGGAGCGTATATACCAGGCGGCAGTGCTCTTCTACGACCACGTGGATGCCCTGGGACTGTATCGCTTGGAGCGTAGCTCAGACGAGACCTGGAGTGTCACGGGCGCGCAAATGGTGCGTGCCGAGGCGGGCTCCTGGAATATCAGCAACTTTACTTTAACAGCCGACAGAATTTACGTCACCGGCGCGGAGAACGATCGATTGAGCCTGAGGGTCTACGACATTGCCACAGGCCAGCGGGCGACCAACGGAGTTCCCGAAGGATGGCTGGAAATGGTGCTGGAGGGGCTGGGCGCCTCAGGGGAGGAGGGACTTCCATTCGTTCCCGAGGACCTATCAGTTTGGTTCAAGAAGCGCTTTGACAACGTCAGCGACTATCTCGAGCGCAAGAAAAGGCGCATCGAGGAGCAGCAGCAGCAAAAGTGTGGATAATCCCAAAAAGAAGCCCGATAAGAAAATTACATAAAGTTTATCTTTACATAGCATTTAATTAGCGTATGGAGAAAAGAAACGGACTTTGTGTGACAGGTCTGTTTGTTGGACATAATATATATATCTGTATATGTGTGTAAATGGGTAATGGTTAACTCTATGGGCGAGGCAGTGGCTCCTAGACGGGCTTGTAGTCCAGCTTGCTCTCCAGCTTCTTGTTGTCCGACACCTTGCGCACCGCCTTCATGAAGTCCTCCTGAATAACATACTCGCGCTCGGCTCTGGAAAAGAAACCCAAAAACGTTTTAGATGAGAGAGGCGAATGCAAGACCATAACACTCACCGGATTGCGAACAATCCCGCCTCCGTGCACACATTGCGCAGATCCGCGCCGTTGAAGTTGTCCGAAAGCTTCACAATGGCCTCGTAGTCAATTTCGCCGTGTTTGGCAATCGTTAGAGCGTGAATTTTAAGGATCTCCAATCTAAAAAAAAAAGGAAAAGATAAAGTTTAAGGTTCTTATTTTTAATGTTGGTTTAATGGTTTAACTAACCTGGCTTGCTCGTTGGGCAGCGGAATCTCGATTTTTCTGTCCAAGCGACCCGGACGCAGCAGGGCGGGATCCAGGGTGTCCGGGCGATTGGTGGCCATGATCATCTTAACTTGGCCGAGCGAATCGAAACCGTCCATTTGGTTGAGGAGCTCCATCAGCGTGCGCTGAATCTCGCGATCGGCGGATGTGCCCTCGGAGAAGCGTCGACCGCCGATGGCGTCGATTTCGTCCATGAAAATAATGCAAGGCTGATGGTCGCGGGCATAGTTGAACATCTCGCGAATGAGGCGCGCACTCTCGCCGATGTACTTGTCCACAATCGCAGAGGACACGACCTTTAGGAAGTTGGCGTCTAGCTGGGAGGCCACAGCACGGGCCAGGAGGGTCTTTCCGGTGCCAGGAGGTCCGTACAACAGACAACCCTTTGGCGGTGTAATGCCGACGCGCAAGAACAGCTCAGGATTGAGGAGAGGCAGCTCAATAACCTCGCGCAGTTCGCGAATTTGCTCCGTAAGACCTCCAATGGCAGAGTAGGTGACATCACCGGGGTCTTCGTGGGACATGTTGTACACCAGAGGGTCCACCTCACGTGGCAGGTACCTCATGATGGTCAGCGTTGTCATGTCAAGAGCAACACGGGTTCCAGACTTCAGCTTTGCCTTGTCCAGCTGCCGCCGGCATCCGACCACGTATCGAGGTCCATTGGTTGCCTTAACAATGACTGGAAACCAGACGATTAATAAGAACCCAGGGATTTTCCTAAGCAAGCTGCAATCTCACATTTATCCTCGGTCAACTGCTTCAGTACCTCGCCCACGATTTGACCCACGCTTTGCAGAGCCTTTAAGTCATTCTCAGATTTGTCATACAGCTTGGTTAACTCCTTGATCTCCTCGCGCTCTGAAAATAATCCTTCATTAAGGACTTGCTGGATAAAATCGGCGGACGAACATACTTTCTTTGAGACGCCCCTCGATCTCCTTATGCTCCAGCAGTTTCTTTCTGTAGTCGGAGAAGGCTTTCACCCGCAGATTGTCGGGGATCGGCGTGGCTGTCACAGTCATCTTTCCGGAAGATTTACGTTTTACTTTTCGCTGGATACAATTAAATTCCGAATTATATTTTGAGTGAGTTGCAGTTTTGCTTTTTCAGAGTGACCAGCAATATGTTATTCTTAAAGATACTAAAAGTTTACATATTTAGGCACAGCTATCGATTGCTTGTAAATAAATCGAATAGATCCAGGGAGTGGTAAAACATAAATTTATGTTTTTTCTTATGCTTAATTTAATTATTTTGATTTTAGTAATACTTTGATAAAAATTAATTATAAGTTGTCATATCTTTTGCGTTTCAGAAATAGTCACATTCATTCTTTTAGTCACAAGACAAGTATCTTGATGAGACAACGACTACAGGGTGTATTAAATATTTAGTTCAATTTTATATAATGTTGATTCTAATGAATTATTTTCCCTTGCTAAATTTATAATATTCCAATTCGCAAAATAAATATAGTTATTTTTGTGGTTAATTTTCCAAAGCTTCCTATGCTTATACATTCTTAAGCTGCACACTGGTTTTTCTCTCGTCAATTTTGTATCATTAAATTAAAGTATTAAATATTTAGTTCAATTTTATATAATGTTGATTCTAATGAATTATATTCCCTTCCTAAATTTATAATATTCAAATTCGCAAAATAAATAAAGTTATTTTTGTGGTTAATTTTCCTAAGCTTCCTATGCTTATACATTCTTTAGCTGCACACTGTGTTTTTTCCCTCGTCAATTTTGTATCATAAAAATTTAAAAAAATTAAGAAAGTTTTGTGTTTAATTAATCCGAAGCTTCTTATATACATTCTTTAGGTAAACACTGTGTCCAAATTTTTTCTCTCGGCAATTTTATAATATTTTAACTCGCTTAATAAATAATATTAAGTCTTAAGTTTCCTGATACGCACTCAAACTGGTCACACTAAGAACCGGCAAAAATTCTTATTAGAATATTATTACCTAAAACTCGCCGGTTATGTATAATTTGCGACTGCTGCTCCAGCATGTTCTCCCTCGGGGTGGCTGTCACTCCCACCTGCGATGGATGGCCAGCCAGCACAAGCGACGGCCTCAGCTCGGCAGTCTGCCGCCGGATCGCTTGGAGCAGCTGCGCCGCGATCTCTTCGAGCGTCGTCAGGAACTCAGCGGGGAGGAGTGGATGGAGGTGCGGCAATCGCTGGTGGACAACTACAAGCACATCAACGTGAAAAACGTGGACGCTGTGATCCTAGGCGTGTGTAGTGGTCCGCAACAACTGCCGCTGGCCAAGAACTATGTGAAGTTTCTGCAGAGTCGGGGATCCCAGCCCAATCCGGCGACATTAGGTCGCCTACTAAGGGTCTACAATGCCGCCTACCACGACCGACCGCTCAGCGAGGCGGAACAAGCCGAGATCCTGCAAATCTGCCAGACACTTCGAGCGGAGCATGAAACCCTGGACGCCAGCAGCTGCGAGCACCTGATCCACGGATTGGTGGCCACCAGCGAGCATTGGCAAAGTGCGCTGCCCCTGCTCGAAATGATGAAGGTCACCAGCGCACCCAGCGTGACCGCCTATAGTGCTCTGGCAGAAAAGGCCTTCTCAGTTGGTTCCGCGGAGCAAGAGCTCGCCTGGCATCTGATGGAGGAGATGGCCCTGGCCCGCAAGCCGCCCAAATGCGAGGTCTACCTGGCGCTGATCAATCGACTGTCCAGCGAAACCGCGGAGGTGCCTGCCCAGATCCAGCGTCTGCTGCAATTTCTCGAGCGCCACGAGATTCTAGTCAGTCAGCGAGTTGCGGAGCGCTTGCAGAAGCTCGCTCAGAAAGTACCCCACCATCTAAAGGCGAAGGCCACGCATTTGGGACCTCTGGGTAAATGCCAGGCCTGCCAGCAGCACCTCCAGCCGGTGGCCATCAGCGACGAACAGTTTTCGCAGCTCAGCGAGTGTTTCCTGGAGCGCGTGCTCATCCGACGCGATGTCTTTCAGCGCTCCACACCCGAGGAGGTGGCCAGATTCAAAAAGTACGTGGAGAAAACGGCGCCCTACGACTGTGTGATCGACGGCCTTAATGTGGCCTACTCCACAGGCACCAAAAAATCGCCCCAGCAGCTGGCCAAGCTGGTGGCAACTGTGGTGCGGCATTTTCGGGAGCAGGACAAGCGAGTCCTGGTTTTGGGACGCGAGCATATGCGCAACTGGTCCAAGCAGGCCATGCACTACGTCCACAGTAACGCCAGCGTCTTCCTCACCAGCAATCTGTAAGTGGTCATCGCGCCAAGGAGAAAGCGAGATGAATAATAACTGGTTTGTCCTTGCAGGTCCCACGACGATCCCTTCCTGCTTTACGCCACGCTGCGCAGCGGACAGGACACGGACTTCTTCTCCCGCGACCTGATGCGCAGCCATGCCTTCCATCTGGGCCCCGAACTGAAGACCGTCTTCCGTCGCTGGCAGCAGCAGCACCAGTTCTCCCTGGTCACCCAGACGCAAACGGGTCGGATTATAGTTAAGGAGCCCCTTCGCCACCGACTGTGTGCCCACGAGGTGGCGGGCAGCTGGCATGTGCCCTACTGCGAGGCGTACACTCCGCATCCCACGGAGAGCTTTGAGGTGCCTGCGAACTGGCTGTGCCTCAGTCTAGGGGATCAAACCCCCTCCACTGGAAAGGCGCGGCGGCGGTGACCAAGCGAGTGTGTGTGTGTAGAGATTAACTACATATATTAGCCAAAGGTTAACAACAAAAAATATACTGGAGAAGCCATCCGAAACCCATCCGAATCCTAGTCGCAATCGTAGCGGGTGCACTTCTCGAACGCTCCGAGGCCCTGCGGCTGCTGCGGCTTCTTGCGGCGGCGCTCGTACATCAGCTTCTTTTCGGCGGCGCACATGAGCCGCCGCTTGATGTGGTTGTCCATCTCGAAGTCCATGTCCGCCGGCTTGGCCAGTTCGTTGGGATCCCGGGTGGCGGCCGAGTCCAGCGCCTTGATGATCAGACTGAGCAGAGCGTGGGCGAGCCGATGGCACACATCGTACTCGATGGCATCCTGGCTGGTGTAGTAGATGGCCGACTGCGAGGTGGGCTGCACCCCGATGGCCAGCAGGATGTTGCAGAAGATGCCGCGCTGCATGCGCGCATACGGATCGACCAGCTGCGGCGGGATGCGCATCGTGGTAGCCAGATGGGCGATGAACTTGGCGAACTTCTTGATGAGCACGTTCAGGTACTGTGTGCGGCACTGCCGCTCCAACTTGGTCAGCATGTTGTAGTACAGTTCCTGCTTGCGCTTCAGGAAGTCCTCCTTCTTCCGCTCCTTCGTCTTGTTGCTCTTGAGGATCTCCTCCAGCTGTCTGTTGGAAGCGGAAGAGACGTGCGTGTTATCCAGCAGCAAACTACCGCCACCTCTGGATGGATGCACTTACTCGGTTGTTATGGCATTGTACTTGCCCAGCATGCGCTTGATCCGCTTGGCCCGCAGCTTCGGATCGTAGACGTCCTTGAACTGTTCGTAGTTGTCGATGAGCGTGTGCATCTTGGGCTTGGACAGGGCCACATCGTAGGGCTTCGCCTTGGGCGGCATGGCCGGCTGGTAGGCCATGCGACGCACATAGGACTGCAGCTTGGCCAGGTTCTCTTCCTGGCGCCGCTTTACGTTCTCCTCGGCGCACGGATCCGGATCCTCCTCCTCGGGCAGCGAGTCCGTTGACGTGGGCAGCGGCTCATCCCAATCCGAGACATTTTCGCTCGCCATGACAGAGAATTGGTGGGCAGAACGGACCAATCAATTTGAACGGATTGAAAATTTAGCAAGCACCAACAATTTTCTGAACTTTTTTCTTTTAACGAACGGATAGTTTCGAAAAACGAGAGCACTAACAATTTTATGTATTTGCGTTGGGAAAACTGAACACCTTATGAGAGCTCCCAGTGAAAACGGATTCAAAGGAAATCCACCAGGCTGCTTGATCGGAAATTTGATATTATAATAGACTTTAAATCTACAACTTTTTTCAAAAATTTATTATTACAAATTGGGTTAAAAAAAAATAGTTGTGCTCGTAATCCTTACAAGTTTATTTCATTTTTGCAATTTATACAACTTTTATACAATTAGAAATAAAATTAATGGAGGCAAAGAATCATCCGAAACACAATGATTAAATCCGTAAACACGGAGCTCGGGGTCTGAAAGGTGCTCCAACCAAAGGCGGCCAGCTACCGGTAGCATTGGATCCCCAGATGGCTCACCCTTTCGACGACATAATCCGCTTTCTTGTAATAATCATATGGCGAATGTACTTAACTTTAAAATGGGAGGATTTGAGTGTGTTTTAAAATGTGAGACATGTGAAGTCGAAGTGTAATATTGCGATGATGATTGAGATGATTTCACTTGAATGCTATCCCTAACCTGGCTACTGGCTACTAGCTGCCCCACTGAGATTGGCGCTGCTCCACTGGAGTTGATTTGTGTCTGTGTGTGTGTATGCTTAAACTAAGTTCAGCTGCTGCCTTCCGATGCCTGATCCTACGATCGCTTGCTGCGCGCCTGCGCCTGCAGCAGGTCCATCGACGGCACCGAGAACACGAACGACAGGCAGCCGAAGCGCAGCAGGCTGCCGTGGGCCAGCACAGCCGATCCCTCCCAGGCGCCGGGTACCATGGGCACGGGTCCGGCGTTCGTGCACCGGCAGGCGGGCTTTACAATGGGCGCCAATCTAAAGGGAGACAAGTGAGTGAGTAAGAGATACTTTACCTCGAAGGGAAACTACTAGCATGACTTACCTGTCCTCGCCGCTCCTCTGCGTCTTGAACTGGCGATGGATGTGCCGCCGCTTGTCGAGCAGGTCGTCGACTCGCCTCTTCAGCTCCGTATCGTCCGGCCGCATCCGCTTGCCGGCGTGTGTGGGCATCCTGTCGGTCAGGTCGCAGGCGTACAGCTGGCCATTGACCTCCGTTCCGAACTCCGAGTAGTTGATCAGCTCGTACGACTTGGAGAACTCGTCGTAGAAGATGATGGCGTGCTGCGGCGAGATGCGGCAGCAGTAACCGATCGCCGACAGGTCCACAGTCTCCGTTTGCCCCAGCGTCGTCGACGGCGAGTAGTGGCCGCCGTAGCCGACGTACAGCGTTCGGTAGCGCATGAAGATCGAGTGGTCCAGCCCCAGGGAGCTGAACCAACGGCTGTCCTCGAGCATGTCGCCCAGGGGCGTGATCACCGCCCGTGCCTGCACCTTGCACTGCAGGAGTTTGAGCTCCAGCCGCGAGGCAAGCTCGTAGGCCTTCTCCGTGTCGCTGCGGGCACGCGGCACGTAGCTCTCGGCAGCCGCGTCCGCTGCTGCAATCGCCGCCGCCGTAGCCAAGGCCGGATGCAGAGCCATGGCGGGATCCTCGTCGGCTGCATTGCCGTTCTTCTGCGCCAAAATCGAGGACGTTTCGCTGGTGAAGAGCAGCGAGAAGCGGTTCATGTCCTCCGGTGCCAGTTGGCTCTGGAGTCCAGTTGTTTCTCCGGCCACATCCGATCCCTCGCAAGATGCCAGCTGCCGCAGTCGACGGGCGGCCGTGCGATTCTTGTACTGCGTCACAATCTCGGGGTGCTCTTCGACCAGCTGCTGCAGCCGTTGGTGGGCCAGCTTCTTGATGATGTCCACGTCCAGATGGGAGAGGTCCGCATCTATGATGCCCGCCTTGTTGTCCTCCTCTTCCTCCTCGAAGCTGACCTCCAGCTCCAGACTGGCCTTGGACTCCTGCTTAATAACCGAAGGCTGATCTTTGGCCTGTGCATCCGCTTCCGTTTTTGTAGTCTCTGGATCTGCGCCACCACCATTCACCTTTTCGCCAGGAGAGTTTGTTTCGAGCTCGGGATCCTCTGGACTGGGGTCTGTGTCACTATCCTCCTCCAACGCCGTTTCCACGCTGCCATATTCCCGTTGAATCTCCCGGAACTTGGCGTGAGCTGTGCGCAATGCCTCCAGATCCTTGAGCAGTGATTCGGTGACCGACTCCCGGGAGATCTCCTCGACTTCAGTGGGCAGGTTCTTGCGACGCTTCACCCAATCGTAGCGCAGGGTTTGGCGCATGGAGGGCAGCAGCGCCGGCGGATGCTCGTAGTGGTAGCGCACGATGGCCGGCACCTCGATGTGGGCGCGGGCACGCATGTTCGTCTTGGTGCGGAAGGGCGGATTGCGAGTGTTGACCCGCCGGAAGAACTCCAGCTTGACGTTTTCGTGGTCCAGCGGCTGGTGGAAGCGATTCCACAGGCGCACCCGCTCCGTGGCCGAAATGCTGTTGGTCATGTTGGCATCCTTTATAGGGATATCCCCATTAAAATCGAAAACAAAAAGCTGTACTTGTGCAATTGACTTACTATAAAGTTCTCGGCGTGATTGGGGCACATCCACAATCCAGCTGGCAGTGCCGTTAATGGGGGATCTAGGCAATCCTGGTGATAGTACAGCGGACAGTAGTCGCAGGAGATTAGGGGCGCCCGCTTGCAGGAGCGCGTGCAATAAAAGCAGGTCTTGGCGGGCAGCGGCACCAGCCCCTGTGCGTCCAGTTCAAAGGGCTTGGAGTTGCGGCGCTGATTGCCCGCACACTTGCGGTGCCCGCCATTGCCGCTCGGCGGATGAGTCTGCTGGATGGGCTGCACCTTGCCGTTTCCCGGGAACTGGGTGTGCAGTTCCAGTTCCGGTGGCAGGGAAAATTGCTGCGGATTTAGCATGCTGGCCGCCCGGATGACATCGTCCAGCGGCGTCGGCTTCTTGTTGGGATCGAGGGCCCGCTGTATGGCCAACGGCATCTTGGCCAGCAGCTTCTCAGTGCTGTTGCGTTCGCTGTTACTGCGTTTGCGCAGGTTGCGGATCTTTAGCGGTATGGACTCCAAATCGCCGGAGGAAGGCGTATTTGCCCGCGATCCACTGCCCGCCGACGGGACGCGCTCCACAGAGCTGGCCTTGGAGGATGTAGCCGGCGGCTGGGAGACCTTGGCCATGCGACAGCTGTGGCACAGCCACTGGCCACTGGGAATGTCCTCCTCACTCAGCGGAGGATCACTGGGAGGCAACAAAGGATTACGAGTGAGAATAAGCACTGGAAACCGCAGCAGCTACCGATACTTACTGGCACTGCAGGTGGAAGCTCGAGGGACAGCGGTCGCAGCACAGCAGATTGCCGCCCTCCTCGCAGGCGTCGCAGTAGTCGTGGTTGTGGCCCCTTCCCGGTCGCCTGTAGTACGGATGCTTCGTGTTACTATTCCGCTGCACCAGCTTCTCGTCTTCGTTGGGCGGCGGCCGGATTAGCTGCTTGATTTGCTGCGGCGGATAGGAGCGTTAAATGAGACACATGCGTTAATGTGGCATCTTGAGCAATCCCCGCCAATTGGAATGTTGACCAGGGAATTGCAGCAGCTGCGGCTTGACCCAAGCGGCCTTGGGGCGAACTCACCTCCATGATGCTCAACGAGGCGTTGGGGTCCTGGTCCACTTTTGACATCTTTTTCGCTGGCTCCTCTTATCCGGTGTACACAATCAATCTCTTGGAGCAAAGCAAAGCAGAACTTCACTGGTAGGCGGGCGGGCGACGGTATTCGGTATGCAGCCCTGCGCATCCGCCCACTGCCTGGCCTCACTGGGCGTCTATCGATAAACTGTTAACGGTTCGGCAGTGCTGACCACACTTCACTTCAGACTAAAGTTGTTTTTGATAAGTTTTAAACAAACAGAACAATTTTTTGTTGGTTTAATATGTTGTATGTTTTTTGTTTTTGGGGCTAATCCCATCAACAAAAACAAAAAGCCAGAACATACTTTTTAATTGAAAAAAATTGGTATACAACATTAAATACAAAAAACAAAGATACCTGGGTGATACATATAAGTCCTCAAATAAGCTCAGTTAACAATACAAAAATTATTACATATATTTTAAAGTAGAAACCTAATTAAAAAATTGTCATCTTCTGACTTATATCATGTAAACTTCCATATACAAAAGAATACGAAATTTGCAAATAGCATATATCTATTTTTGGCTAGAAAATCCCACCAAACAATCAGCGCTGCTAAAAGTCGCGCATCTCAGCTGGCAGACGACGCAATTCGCCAATTTACCAAACAATAGACTAAACTAGTGCAATGTTCTCCATTTTTGGAAAGCGTAAGCCGGCAGAGACGCCCACAGAGGACCAGCCCATTCAGGGTCCAGCAGAGGGAATCCGTCCTGGCACAAGCAGCGATGATTTTGTGTTTATAGAACGAAAACCAGGACCGGATGCTCCTCCGGGTGCTTCCTCCGGCCCCATGTACCCGCCAATGCCGCCGGCGGGTTATCTGCCCTATCCGCCAATGCCAGGACCCAGGGGCGGATCCGGACAGGTGAAACAGCCCAGTGCCCAAGGACCCGTCAACTATTTGCAGGACATTCCCTTCGAGCTGGCCCCCGGGTTGGCCACCAAGGACCGCTACGCAAGCACCCAAATGCAGGTGGACAGTATCCTGGCCCTCCTTACGCGGCAAATGTCCGTGGATGAACTGGCCGAGGAGTACACCTTTTCCTTGGAAAGGTCCGTTCAGAACGAGTGTTACTAGCACAACTTACACATTCACCGGTTATTTTAATAAAACGTTGATTATTTAATTGTAAACGAGCGGAAGGTTGTTTACGTTTTGCACTTTACCTGAATCCTCGAATTTGAATCCCCAACCAACAATAAGTAATACGAATACGACTATGTTGAAATTAATGTTTACTTTATAACCAGATCCAATCCAACTGGTTAAGGCAATATAGAGAACGAGAGGAGTATACACAATAGGTGCCAGGCGATGAGACGCCGGGGCTTTGTGGAGTACACGAGACTTTCGGATAAGTACATTCGGTATTCGCTATGGCTAATATGCAAAAAATATGTATGTGTATAATTGTAAAGTGCTAAGACTACAGATGCACTGCCTCAGGAATCCTGGCTTTCTTAAACAGCTGCAGGTCCTGACTGCGCCTGAGGCGCACCGGCGTGCTGCACCTGCTCCTGTACGCCCGCCTTGGCCGCTGAGCGAGTAGCCCGCGACCGCTCCCATTCCGCTTTGTGTTTGCGCTTGGTGTGGTGGTACATATTCGACTTGGACCGGAACTCCGTGGGACAAAAGGCGCAGGTGTGCAGCTTGACGCCCGTGTGGGTGGCAAAGTGCTCCTGAAAGAGAACACACTGTTAATTGCATTTGAGGGTTGAGAGCGTAAACTGACCTCCAAATACCGCTTCATTTTGAAGCATTTGCCGCACACATCGCAGGCGTATTTGGGCTTGCTCAGGCAGCGATGATTCTGACCGGGAAGCTCGCCGCAGTTGGGGCAAATGACTGAGACGGGTGCAGCATTGATGGCGGCATTTAGCGGAACCGGTGAACGCTTCTCTGTCTCTGCAGGCGGGTTGCTGTGGGAGATTCTTTAATAGCACGTATTCATAATAAAGCAACCTACTCACCTGTAAGGATGAGCTAGCATTGCCCCACTGGTTGTCGTTGTGCTGGCACTACTTGTGCCCACCGCCGCAGCTGCTGCTGCTGTGGCCGACATAACGGCAAACAATTGTTCCTGTTGCTGCTGCTGGAGGAGACTCACGCACAAGCGCTGCTGCAGACTGTCGGCTTGATTTGGGGGGCTGCCCGTTAGCGAAGCGGCTGCCACAACTGCCGCCGCCACTGCATTATAATTGGCCAGCATGAGCTCGTTCTCCTTGAGCCTCTTCTGGGGCGAGTCCTCATCGCTGGCATCGCTGCCCTCCGTGTGCTGGACCTTTTTGGGCGAGTGCGTCTTACGGCGACTGGCCCGATTGCGCGAGCCCCGGCTGGCGGACGGCGGAGTCTTGGTTATGGTGAGGTTGATGGCCTCGCTCGGCTGGCTCTTGATTACGGACAGGGGCAGCTGTTGAAGGGTGGGTGGTGATTGTAGGGGAGTTGCTGCAGGAGTGGTAGTGGGATTGAGTGTAGCAGGACCAGGTTGTCCGGGAATATGTGAGTTTGTTGCGGAAACAAGAGGAGCGCTAAGAGAAGGCGGAGCAGAAACTTGAACCGAGGGAGCAGGCTCCTCCGGGGCTGAGTGGTTTTGCCCTGACTTGGCCGCATCCCGTTCCTCACGCGCCTTTAGCCACTGGGTGGTGTGCTTGCTCTTTACGTGGGTGTACATATTCGAGCGGCAGCGAAAGGCCATTTCGCAGTAGGGACAAGGAATCGGTCGGTCGCCCGTATGCGTGGCTATGTGCTCCTCTAGGTAGCGACGCATCTTGAAGGACTTCTCGCAGAACATGCAGGGGAACTTATTGGCCGTTGTGGGTGTCACAGCTTTGGGCTCCTCCGCCGGCTCCAGAAACAGCTGGGGCTGCGACTCTGGCTGCATCTCGGTGCTCTCCTCCGACCAGTTAACATCGCAATCGATGGCCAGGAATTGGCTGCACAGAGTTGTCTGCTTGAGCTCCACCAGTTTCCAGAAGTTGTGGAAGCTCTCCAGTTGCGAACAGCACTCGGTGCAGATGCAGGTGGAGATAGCATCGTCGCGGGAGAGCTGGTGAAGATTGGATACACTTATTAGCAGAGGGCGGAGGGCAGGAGAAGAACCGTTGAGTACTCACGCAGAGGTACAAGTGAATCGAGATCAGTTGGACCAAGTAGCTTTCCGGCATCGCCTTTGCATCGTCCTCGTCCTCCGCAGCGGACACACTGTCTCCGCTAGCGCCGCCGAACAGCACCACCGCGCTCTGCTCGTCCAGCGCGTTTAGACACAGGCGGCAGATCATTTTATTCTGTAATTTTACTTTATTCGATTTGCTCCAACATTAGTTTGTGTTCTCCACACACGCACGGTCACACTTTCGCCTAAGGATGGCACGCCGCCCACACAACGTCTATCAGTCCGTTGGCCTGCCTATCGTTTTGTTGCGTTACGTGTGCTTACGTAACGTTACGAAAAACGTTACTAAAAAACGTTGATTTAATTCAAATAAAGCTGCAATTTCAGTTACAAATTGAATACACAGAAATACTTTTTATATTTTTGTTGTATTATTTTACACTATAAATAAAAAACGACCTCTTAAACAACGAACTATAATATACAATTTCCGATACTATTATTTTATATACTCGATACTATTAATTTTAAATCAGATTGCAGTAAACTTTCAAAAAAAAATTTATAGAAAACGGAGACTCACGATTCCAATGTTGTGTAAGGGAGCTGAAAATTAAAAATTATGAAACAAACAATTGACGCTGAATAACCAACACTCCAAAATATTACAGTTACATTATTTGGCTACAATTCGGAGGGCAAAAAAACTTTTTTTAAAAACGTGAAAAGTTACACCATGTTCAATGATATTTAATTTTCAATGATATCAAACTTTGTTGGCGTCTAAGGGATTTCACAAACGACTACAGAGAGTGGAGCTTTTAAATCTTATCTGAATATGCATATATCATTGCTCACTTTGCCGAAATGCAAGTGATTTGCATGACTTGTAACCGCCAATTTGCTTTGACCGCTTCCATGACGATGCTGCAACCGCAGTTGGCTTAAAGTGCGAATATTCTAGCTAATTGATTTGCCCAATGATGCAAACACTGTTGGCAAATGACAAGTGCATTTCGCTATATGCATTTGCCGTGACTGCCCAATCTGAACTTAAATTTTTCACTCTAAACTTTGACTTCATGTTTGAAATCGGTACTTTTAAATAATGTTGGTATTTTATTTAACAATTTGAAAATAAAAGCAATTAAGGTTTCTGTAAAATGGGCATAAAATGTTTATTTTCGGCTTACTGGCAATGCAAAGGTCGGTAAAAACGACAAGAACGATGGCCACCATTCACATGTCCATAATTCACATAGTTTGACCATTTGAATTTGGCAGTTAGCACTTTTTTCAAAGTCTGAGATAGGCTTTGTTTTAAAGCATTTATGGGCCGGCTAGGTTCCATTTTCAAGGCCACTCAGCTGTCTTCAAGCTGTTCAAACGTGAACTTGTGCGTGTTTTTGCTGCGTTTGCTTTAAGCTTTATAAGTTTACAGCTGCATTAAATTTGCTGCCGAATGATACAGTCGGTATTCCATAACTTGAACAGTTATTTGGTCTTTTTTACTTGTAACAAAATCGAATGTTTAAATGTTTTAAAAATAACGTTTAATGTAAGTAACCAACGTGTCGTATGATTAATTTTTTCTTTCCAAATCCAAAGTGTAACTCACAAGTGTATTAACTTGCACCATTTGTTAATCAACCTTGCTAATAACAAATAATAGTAATCAATAAGTAGTTCTTAAACTTGGAAAAAATTCTATACTTACAGTGTCCAACATGTCGTATAAATAATTTTGAAAATGTACTTTTGAAATAGAGAAGTTAGACTGTATGGCTCGCATTGTAATACGACCGTCGATTGTTGGTCGAGTCAGGTAAATTTAAATTTTTGGTGGTGTTCTGTGGGCCAACAACAAAAATGCGACCGAATTCGCTTTCGCCGCTGCTGCTTCTTTTTGACAGTTTTGTTTTAATTCATGTTCATGCTTTGTTGTCGCCGTTTTGGCTTGGGCTTAACTTGCGAAACACGTCCGACAGACCCGAAGCCAAGCCAGTTCAGTTGGCCAGCTCAGCCGGGAGCAGAGCAGCATAGCAAGTGGAGCGCGACTTCGCCTTGCCGAAAATTGTTTGCCAATGTCGCGATAAAGCGTAAAAACTCAAAACCAAACGAAGAAAACAGAAAGAAAAAACCGCCAAACTTGGCATGGCGACAATGGCCTACACCAAAAGATGGAAAGCCGGAAAAACCACGCAGCACCCACGCAATACGCTCACGCAAAACAGGAGGCGGTTTTCGACCTTATGACACAGAAAAGCCAACAACGAAATTGCTCCATACGGCTGAGCGTGGAGTTATTTGGAGATGTTCATCTTTATTATTTTAATGAATACTATACTTAAAAAATTGCTAACGACAACTCAAAAAATTTAAAACTTCACATAAAACAATAATTAAATATTTATTATGATTCTATATAGAGGGTCTTGATTTCTTTGTGTGTAGAAAAATTAGCATATGTGTTAAACTGAAACTAAATTAATGAAAGGTAATTTAGACCATTGTTTTGGGTCAGCAAAAAAATACAAAGCGAAAGAAAGTAGAGTATATAATATAAAAGTGATGATCTTGGTTATAATATTCGCGTGGATCGCAAAGTCAGAAATTGGCGCATTACATGGGCTTTTATGGTGATGTTTTCGTTTTGTTTTATGTGCAAAATTGCTTCTTTGAATCCCTTGTACAGCCATATGGCAACGCCAAATGGCCAATGCTTTACACGATCGCATAGCAAGTTGCCAGAGTTATCCCCCATGTCCTCTCCTCTTTTCGCCGTTATCCAAGCATTTATTATTTGCGGTTGGAGCACCGCCGCCGGCTGGAGCAGCGACGCCAGCTGAGGCTGCGACTCGACGAAAAGCCAAAAAAACAAAGTTCCAATCAGTTGCAGTCGCGAATTAGCGTCGCACAGACGCGCTTCCCAGCTCAGAATTCCCTCTCGCTCTCACTCTCGCTGTCGCTCCTTTTGGCATCTTGGGCCCTCGCGGAAGTCCGATAGTTCCGAGATATCTTGTGGGTGTAACGGTGAAGCCAACTCTGCAGGATGGTGCACATGAACGACAAAAACGAGGATCACCTGCTGGAGAAACGGATTTCGGATCTGCAGGAGTGGCTTAAGTCGCAGCCGCAACTGCCGCAGAATATATGTATGTTCGTACAGCCAAGTGGGTCAAATCGCAATAGCCAGCTTTCATCTTCCCCCCAAAGAACACATAAAGAAATTGCAATCGGTTCGGATAGTCGGCTTTCTTCTTTTTTTGTTACTTCGCGCATTTTTTAGTTCTCTATTCGGAATTTGAAACGATCTAAGCTTGGTTTCTCAACTCATTTTGGGATACGATATGCTCCCCAATATATTCCCAATATAAACATTATTTAGATTTTATTTGAAAAATGGTTATAGTTAAAGATGGTTAAAGATTTTTCTCGGTGTGATTATTGCTGTTGCGGTTTGTCCAACTGTGACTGTGGGTCAATTGCCTGTTGCGTAACCACCGCACCGCACCCCACCGCATCGCACCGCAGTGACTTATGAATGCACCTGAATCTGAATCTGTGTTCCTCCGCAGCTCGCTTGCTGCTCCGCCGCTTTCTGCACTCCACACGCTGCGATCCGTCGGCTGCCCAGCGGCTCTTGGAGCTCAACTACGGACTCCGCAACAAGCACGCGAACATCTTCATCGACAGGGATCCCCTGGACGCCAGCTCCCAGCAGTTGTTGCAAGTAGCGTGAGTACCTGAGCAGTTGGGATCGGGGAAATAGGGGAGCCCAAGGACCCAAGAACCGGAACTACTAGTTAAAACTAGCGTCTTTAAAAGTTGGCTATACAAAAAACCGAAACAAAACAATTTTGTACAAGTAATTGTTTATGCGATTTAGTTAACTACCTAAAAAAGAAATAAAGATCTCTTTACGGTAATAAATTGAAGACATTAGGGAGTTTATTACCAAGTTAGACGGGTTTATCCATTTAGCATTAAAAATGCAATTTTAAATTTCAAACAAAAAATCCGTAATTGTTAAAAATAACCTGAACCGTATATGTTTTTATTTACCCAGTCAAGTTTACAACACACTTTAATTTGTGGTATGTCTATAATTCAGAAAAGCTATAGGAAACACCTATTGAGAGATAAACTGTTTTATACCGACTAAACCTCGGACTGTGATTTTAGTGCACTCGGCGTTTAATTAGCCGAAACTCCCGTAAAATTGGAAGTACCGTCTGAATTTCCTTACGTGCCACCTGAAAGGCTGATATTAGCTTAGATCTCGCAGGCCTGCTGAATTCACAGGCTTTCAGTGTTCACTTGCTGCTTTTTGTACCCAGAGTTTCTGTACGCAGAGTGCAATGGCTTGAAACCGGTTTGGTTTGGCTGGATAATGGGGTACCCAGAATTAAGTTGCCCGTTTCCCTGACGTTTCCATTTCCACTCGCAGAGACCTGGTGCCGTTGCCCGGCTTGACCCCCGAGAATAACAAGTTGCTCTTTTATCGCCTGATCGATTTCGATGCGGAAAAGGTAAGGAAGCATATATCATGTCATATATTTTCAACTATTTCTGAATTAAATGTAATGTATGTTTTCTTCTATTTGATAGTTCAACTTCACGGCGGCGATCAAGGTGTTCTTTATGGTCGCCGACTGCCGCTTCGCCACGGAAGATGAGGAGCGTTTGTCAGAGGGGGAAATCCCCATCTTCGACATGGCTGGATACACGCTGCGTCACCTGACCAAAACCGCCTTGGGCGCCCTGCGGGTGTACATGAAGTTCGTCCAGGAGGCGCATCCGGTGCGGCTCAAGGAGATCCACGTGCTGAACTGCCCCCTGTTTGTGGATAAGGTAACCGAGGAATAATACCTACATGCTCCCAACAGAATTCACAACTATTTCATTTCATCCCAAGGTCATGGCTGTGGTCAAGCCTTTCATCAAGAGCGAAGTCTTCAAGCTGATCCACTTCCACTTGCCCGATTCGGAGACCCCGTATGGCCACTTTCCGCGCTCCATGTTGCCGGAGGAGTACGGCGGGGAGGCGGGCAAAATGTCGGACTTGAAGCAGCAGTGGATGCAGCTGCTCAAGGAGCAAAGGTGAGTGCTCCCTCCTGCTCTCCTCCATAGATCTCCAGTTAATTTCCTTGAATTCCTTTCTTTTTGCAGGGACTATTTGATGGACTCGAAAAACTGGCAGATAAACAAGGTCAAAAAGAGCGGTCAGCGAAAGTCCGCGGACGCTGGAGTTACACAAAGTCTTCGGGCGCTTGAAATTGATTAGTCGTCGCGTGCACAACTGTACCTTAATCTATGGTGTTTTTTTTTGTGGTGGTTTTCGCCTTCTTCAGGATTTTGTATAAGCGAACACTGTTTGCTTTTTATAATTCGGACATTTTGGACTTAATAACCAGCAAAGCAATAGGTTTCTTATTTCAAGAGGTTTCCTCTGAGCTAAGAAATCGAAGCGACAGAACGCAATTTAATAATGCCAAAGGCACTTTTGCAGAATCCTGTTGAACGTGAAAATCGGATTAGACCCCACCATCTATTGTTTTTTGTTCTGTTCTCGTTTCAACCTCCCAACTGGGCTTGGGTCTATGTAAATACATGCTATGCTCAAAGAGAAGGCTCCTCTTGTTCCACATGGCCATGTTCATTCATTATCACAACCGCCGCTAACGGCCACATTTTGTGTAATTGAATACTCTGGTGTGGAAAATGAATGACCGGGAATCAGGAGACGCGCCCGGGATTTCCATTTTTGATGCAATGGCATAATTCCAATCACTGCCGGTGCATTCGATGCCTGCGACTGAGGCAAAAAACCCGCTACAAAAAGGAGTGCAAATTTCGATCACTGAGAAATCATTTTCGAAGTTCTGGCAAGGCAACCAAGCATTACATAATTCACTAAAAGCAGGTAAAGGTCATAAACAGTTAAACCATTGTCTGTTTTAATACATTTATTTTGGAATTTGGAATCAAAGCAATGTAGACAATTATCTACCAGTTTTGATGAGTGCAAAAGAGTGTCCTACAAATCGGAGCACGTATGTGTGTATGGCATATGTGTGCGTGTGTGCGTGTCTGTATGTGATCAAAATGAGTGTGTGTGGCAGTGGCAGGAGAAGGGGAGCAACAGCAGAGGCAACGGCTTTGCAACAGCAGCAGTGTGGCACCGAAAGTGGAGGCCGAAGGACCCTTGAGGCGTAGTGTGCTCGTCGACACATCCGTTCGACTGGGCAACCAACCAACCTGGCCAATGGCTCGTCCGCAATACCCAGTTTGCGGTCCACAATCCGCACTTCACAATTCGCAATCCGCATTCCCGCATTCCCGCAATCCGCAATACGACTTCGGAAACCCGGACACCCACAATTCGCAATTCGGCCAGTGACACTTGGAATATGTCTACGAGTCGTGTGGCTGACATATTAAAGTGTGGTTTGGTGGAAAGTGTGCTCAGATCCAGTGCTGCATCGCCTCTGTTTAGCCACTGGTGTCCACTCCCATGAGTTGGTCAAGCTACATACATGGTTGCACTGAGAGAATTGCCTTGCAAAATAATGGGGAGAAATGGTTTAAGGTATACAAGAAATAAAAGGAAACATGTTTGCTCTCAGTTGAATAGTTAGGAAGTAATTGATAGGTAAGTTCATTATATTGATATCATAATCGACTTTACTTTCAATCACACTTTTCGCGCGGTGTACTGGTGGCCCAATGGTCTCCCTGCTCCAAATTCCCGGATTTAACGCCACTTAGCGCTGCAACTCATCCATCAGTGTGCTACGTGCCACTCCCACCCCTGGGAGGTGGGCAGTGGGCGGTGGGTGGTACGTGGTCTGGGTGGACTGTTGGGGGACTTACACTTTCATCCGAAACCAGATGTGCAATGCATGCGATTGCATGCATGGTAATCGAATTATGTGGCAACCCTGCCTTTCTGAAGGGTGGTTTTGCGGGGGAGGATGCCTGTTTGAAGGGACAATGCAAGTGGATCCTTTGGTGGGTGCGTTTTTGTGACTCCCCTTGCCAATCGATACCCTTTGTTTCAGTTGATTTTTAAGGATATTTCAACAGCCAAACTAAATCAAATTCCTTCTCAAAGAGTAAACAAAATAATAACATGTATACCAAGTTTGTTAGCTTATTATAGGTGATAATACTTTTCCTAGAACTTGGAAACAGTATATATATGTGGTGTTGGTTGAAAATCTAGTTGATAAAAAGCCTTGCCAGATTTAAAGCGATTTCAAATCCTTAGAGACTTCAGCGGCACCTTTGAGCTTCAGTCGGAAGGACCCACGACCCGAACCACTCGACTCACCCGACCAACCCAACCCACACCTACTGCAACTCCCCCTCGATGGCCAGCAGTCAACCCTTCAATTGCATTATGACTACCAACACAATTAGGGCGTTAGCCGAAACCTCGTCCCTGGGGCTTCGAGTCCCCGAGAAGTGGGCATAAATTATACATATTTGCACATGATGGGCAGAAAGAATATCCGAGTGTGAGGATGAAATTGGATGGAATGGGCTTTCGAATTGGGTTTGCGTTTGTGACAGAGAGCGAGAGTCTCCGGCAGACGTGACGCCCAAATTGATCAATTTTGCATTCTGCCACAACAATCGCAGCTGTAAAAGGGGGCGGTGTGGGTGGGCGTGGTGACCCCATTAGCATGCCCAAGCCCGAAAAGCTTACGCTGCACTCTATATACGAGTGCAGTTGGCCGACGACTTCCCCTACTTCCTCCGTAGGTTCCTTCGGCTTTCTCCGCTCTTCGCTCTCCGCTCTCCGTTCTCTGCTCCCCGCTCTCTGCTCCCCGCTCTCTGCTCCCCGCTCTCTGCTCTCTGGTCTCCCGTTCTTGCCTGCACTTCCCCTCCTTTCGCCGGAAGAGAAAGACACTCAACCTGGGGGCGTGGGGCGTGGGCGGGGCTGGGGCAAAAACAGAGGCAGAAGCAATAAACGAAATGTGCAGTCAACAATAGTCCTCCAGTTCGTTGTGTTCGACTCTGTAGTGCAGTGGATCCCCCATAAGATGAACCCGTCGCAATTTGAACCTTTTTACTTTTTTGCATTTATCATTGTTTTATGGCGGAAATAGATTCCCTCTCATTCTAGATATTTACGAGCCAATTATGTTTGGCAGAAATGATACCTTTAGAGCTTATAAAATAAACAGTTTTAACAGTTCGGCGAACCTCTAAAAGTTTGTAGTATAATTCTCTAAAAAACTGCATCATTAGTTTTTTTTTTATTTTTCTGTGAGCTGTGCCAATTTTGGTTAATTTCTGAAAAAATATTGAGCTTGGCCAGCGACTACTGTGCTCGCTCGGTTGTGTGCGTGAGGTCCAACATGTTGTTGTTGCACGCTCGTTGTCGTCGCAACACCAACACACCCACACAGACACACACCGGCGCAGGCCGCGTCTCTACACGGAGTTGCTTGCAGCTGTAGTTGTTGGCCGGGTCGCTGTTCAGTTGAGTGACTGATAAGTTCAGTCGGCGTTCGTTTGGCGCCGAGAACGGTTATCGCGTCTAATCGAAGTGGGCTTAAGCTCCTCGCCAACAGACAGACGGAAAAGTGCTGGGAAAGCCAACCGCGAAAAGCGTCAATAACTACACACACCGAATGATGTTCGCTTTCGTTGATTTTTTTTCGAGTGTAGCACCCGGCAAGTGAACAACTCCTGCGGATTTTCATCTCCGGACTCCGGGAGGTATGCAATGAATTTCGCCTGCAGTCGGTGAGCGAGTTCTAGCTGTTGCTTTTGTGCATACAGCTGTGTGTCTGTGTGTGTGTGTGTATATGTCTGTGTGCGCTCTGCATGTGTGTCCTGCCAGTTGAATCCTTGTTTCGGCGAATGCTTGTTCAATTATGTAAGGTGGAATTCATGGCGGCGCAGCCTGTTACCAGGCGACGGCGATAAAAACCAAAGGACCTGCCTGCCATTTACGGGGCGAGTCCTGGCGACAGTAATGAATTTGAGTTCTGAGAAGGCTCTAGCCCAGCTAGAGTTGAGCCCTAAGTACATGTGTTAAATGGTTCCAACCGCCGGGATCCTAGCAACTGAACTACGTTATGATAACTAACCTGAATGTGGTTTTGTAATTCGATAGAGGAAGGTGGCTCATTATTTTTGCAAGCCTTGTGATATTGAGCCAAGTACCACTGGGTAAATGCATTGAAATGATTTCCAATTAGTCCTTGATTAACATCGCACTCTTTGGCTTATCCCATACATGCTGTGGTTGTGGCAGCCCCCGACAATTGGCGACCTCAGCGAATAACCCTAATGCCTCATGGCCGAGTGTGTGCGAGTGTGTGCGCCATTACTTAACACCTACAAGCTGCCGCCAGTCGGCACGCCATTACACTATTACACTATTACAGCAACAAACGCTATTACAGAACTACGAATGCGAGGGAAAGCGCTGGGGGAAAGCGCTCAGGGAAAGCGGGACCGACGGCTTTGAACTACCCCCAAAAGACTTTAACCTCGCCGAAGAACGTGGGGCGAGGGACCCATATTAGTCATGCCCGGATCGACGAACCCACGCCCCCTTTTTGGTGACCCCAACCAGTCCACCTACACCTACACCTCCACCTCCACCCCCCACTTTCCCCCATCCTCCCCTGATTGTTATTGCATGCTAATTCTCTTCTCTTTCAGTGCCCCCCACTCGAATTCTCGTTCCTTTCACAGTATTGCTTTCGGCTTTTGCCTTCCAAGAAGTCATTTTCCTGCGACTAATCGCATTTTCCACACGCAGGGAAAACAACTGAACAACTGCTTACTCGAAAAGTATCTCTAGAAATGGGTAGCTTTCATATGCCTTAATCAGTACACCAAATACCTTTTGCCAATTCTCCCTCAAAAGTTGATCCTTCACTCCCGAAAGAAGTCATCGAAAAGCCACTGCGTTTCGCCGAGTGTAGAGTGTACATCACATAGTAGTAGGCAGGGGCGGATTGGGGTTGCCTGGTCAGCATCGTCGGTGGCCCACTTTTGCGGCTAGACAAAGAACAGTCACCTGTTTCACCTGCAAACAGAACAGAACAGAACAGAGAAGCGAATGCCGCCCCCTTGGCAGATGGCAGATAGCAGATGGCCCAAATTCCCGGCGAGCGGTTTGAATGAGTCAGCCCAACTTGGTTACAATGCACAATGCATAATGCATAATGAGAGAGAGTGGCGAGATCTGATTCACTGCCAACAGCAGCAGCAGCAGCAGCAAAGGAAGGTCCTTTCCCCCCAACACCCACCCACCCCCTCGTATCCTTTGCACACCGCCTGTGTCATTGACGCTTATCAAAAGCCAGCGATCAAAGCCAGGGCTTTGTTTCCATTTTGCTGTTTCAGCTTCTCGCCTCCGCCTGACTCCCCCACCCCCCATTTCCCATCCCCCTAGCCCTCCCCGGTTTTCCACCGCCGATAAGCATCGGGGAAAAGCTCATGGAACCGCACAGTGGGCAGTGCACAGTATCGGTCATTACTTTTTACTCCACTTTTTTGTCTCCTGGAATCTCTGGGGATCCGAAAGCAATCAAAGTGAACCCGAGAAGGATACCAACTTCCAGGATTTTATTTGTGTTTTTTTAAAACCCACTGTCCACTGTCCACTGTCCAGTGCCCACTGTCCACTATCCACTGTCACCTGTCTGACTTCAGGCAGACTGTTTGCCCGTCTCTCACCTTTCTTTGCCAGCCTCCTCGTCCTTCTCGTCCTTCTTTGTCTGGCTTTCCCTTACCAAAGCACCCACATCCACACATCCTTGCATGCATATATAGTATGGTATGCATGCCTATTGAACATCCTCATTGAATTTATTCTCGTCGGCGTCTGGTTTTCGTCCAGTTCTGTTAATCTCCTCCAGCCACCCACTACTTTACCATTTTACTAACCAAACTAACCAAACCACCCTCGCCCCAATGACAAACAGTTTTTAGCTGGGGACGATGAGCAACGAGCAGGCATTAATAACTTATTTGTTGTTGTATTTTTAGTTTGCTTCATCACACAGCTAAAAATTAAGCACTTTTGTTCAGAAAAGCATTATTTATTTACGAATTTTTTAACTAAAACCTTGAACTTTGAATGGGTTTTCTAACTAGCAAACTGTTGGTAATTTATTTAAAGGAATTTGTTTAACATGGAAATATTTTTTTCTGTGTAAGCCTTACTAAACGGCCGCCGCCGCCTTTTTGATGCCATTTTTTGGGGCTTGCGGTGCCGCCAATCCCCTCTTTTTTTTTTTTGTGCGCCCCTTCTTGGACAATTTATGAGGTCAATGAAATGCCTTGCCGCTCGTTGAGCGCCTCCCGCCGCTCGCAGTGGGAATTCTGACGGCGGCGACGTCGCCCGGCGTCTCCAGCCCCCCCCCTAATTCCACCCCCTTTTGCTTCCCCCCTTCCCCTTTCACCAACCAAACTAAGAAGCCCACCCCCCTGGCCCAGCAATGTCATTGGGGGCAATGTGTCTAAAGGCTTTTGCCTCCATTGCCTATTGCCTATTGCCTTTGGCCGCGGGCCATGAGCCATTTTCAGCCGGAGTTGCCAATTCGCAGAGGGCGACGAAAATAGCAGAAAATAGTGGAAGAAGAAAGGAAAATGGAAAAAGGAAAAAGGAGCACGTAACGTAACAAGGGAGCCTTGCAACTGGTGATTAAAACATTATCGGGCATAGATGACATACAAAAAATGCCGAATGGGAATGGTTACGTTTCGATCCATACAATATGCCTTTTCAAAGGACCTTGCCTTTAAATCGAAGAGCCAGAAAAAGGAGGAGATATCTCCAGTTAAGCTATTAAAGTTGTTCCATGCTGCTCAGATTTGTAAATGTTTATTTAATGCCCGGCCAGACAAAGTTCTGGGCTCTTACTCCAATTTTTCTTTCATAGTTTAGTCCGGGCAGCAAAGTTTTCTTCAATGAGAGGGGAAAATGGGGATGGAAGTGCTATATATATATATATATATATCATCACCAGGGAACGGTTCTTTAAGCTGTTTGCCAAAGTCCTGCGCTTATGCCGACATCCTTGTCGCCTTTGCGACTCTTTGTGACTCCACCTCCGCGTCCAGGCGCTGATTCCATCGATTGTCGATGCTCCATCTGGAGAAGAAGGTCTGCGTTAAAGGCCACAAAGTAGTTTAAGGCGGCTGGAAGACCAGAACGGGGGTTCCCCAAAAATGATCAAAAAGTTTCGCCTTCTTTTTGCCCAATTGCCGTCTGGCCAAAGTCACTTTTATTCAAAATGAAAGGTGAGTGCTTTACCATCAACACATTTGATACTTTTTGATACAGTTGATACTATTTGTTTAAACCCTTGCAGGGGGTATTATAATTTCAAAGTGGTTTCTTGCCTAAACAACAAATATCTTACCATTGAAAAATGTTTGTTTTTGCCCAAAACTACATAAAATGGCTCAAATACCCTCTTTTTTTTTGCAATATCTCAGGATGTACTCTTCCAAATGTGGAATCAGTTTATATGAACTAATTAGGGGATAAGATAAATGACAATTAAATTGCATTCGGTGACTTAGATAGTTGGGCTGATAACTACACACCTTTTGGGAAAGTTTCAGCAAGATAGCTTTCAAACTAAGAGACTAGTTTGAAGATAAACGGATTCTGATCAAGAATATATGTACTTAATGGGGTCTGAGGTGTTTCCTTCACTTCACAAACTTCTGATTGAAATTATAATACCCTTTTGCTCTGCAAGGGTATACAAAAATTATTCATGGATACAAAGTACTCGGCTTTAGGTTTTCGGCTTTTCAGCTCTTCATCACAACTTGACACCGATAAGTGCACTCATTTGTATTCATTGCCCCTGGATCTATGGGAAAATTACGAAAAATTGCTGCTAAACGGTTTAAATTTAGAACTACGCTGGCAGAAGGTCGACTGCGGCGGTGGGTGGCGGGGTCAAGGTTATCGCAGGTGGTGGTGCTGGTGGGCTGACTTGGCCGATTGCGGAAAAGGGCGCTGACAAGTTTATTAAAAACTACGTCAACTTTGGAATGGGAATGTGTGTGTTTTCTTCGAGCTTCGAGGTTCGGAAATGGCTTTCAGTGGCATTGCGCATTGCCAAACCGACGACAACCACTAACTATAAATATCGAAGCGATCCATCGGTGGTTGGGTATGGGATGTGTTAAATAGCACTTCCTTTTTGGGGCCCAAATCAAAGTTGTATCGCTGCGTTTATTAAGTGAGTGACTAAAACCTGAAAACTGAATAATTCAGGGAGTGTGTGTGAACAAGGACCTATCGATTGAAGCCGTTCAAACTTTTGCTTTTGCTTAGACAAACATCGAACACAATTCCCTTTGATTCGCTGCTCACTCCCCTGGATATTGTGCAATACATGGTCCTATACCATATATAGTATATATAGTACACGCAGGCCGATGAATAAAGCACCGAATTCATTTCGACTCGCAACTCCCCAATCAATATGCATCCCCTGCAGGACCTCCTATGCGAGCAGAACAAACTGCAGGATAAAAGTTCCCGTACCCCGGCCGAAAAATAAAGGCAAAAAAAAAAAAAAACTTTATGACAGCCAGCTGCAATAATCATGTTTGCGTCAGGATGTGTGTGTGTGTGTGTGCGAGTGTGTGTGCGTGTGCACACACATATATGTGGTTCAAGGATGCTCGAGTTTTATGTCCTATTTCTTTCTTGCTATTTTATACTCAGAAAATCGAGAGAGAAAATAAAATATTGTCTTTTGTCTATTAAAATGTAAGGTAGCAGTTGTTGTGAAAACCCTGTGCCCTGGAAAATCTGAAAAAACAAACTGTTCAGTTACCTAAAATCACAAAATATTGTGCAACTTACTGGTTATAAACTCCTAATGGTCGTATTGCTGGTTATTTCTGCCTTTAGAGATTTGATGAAGTCATAGAGCCAGTCAATCTGGATCACAAAATATAGTTACTTTTGTCCTGCGTCATTCGAACTGATATTAAGATTACAATAAACCATAAAATATGAGCGCGTTATGCTCGTATGTAAACCTAAACGTTATAGTTCCATGCTGTACAAATATTTATGTTGTTTTAGTCGAGATTGGCCAAAAGTGGGAAGTGTAAAAATTCCCCTTGTCCAGCGTAACGGTAATAATAGCGCTGCATTTTTAATGGCGAATTTTCTTGAATAACATGACAACCTGGCCGGGCCGGGCCTTTAAATATTCATCAATTGTTGATGTTATTATTTCACTTCCGGTTCGTTTGCGGCTGCCAACCGGTTCAATGAACCTGTGACACGGAATAACCCCCTTTCATCTCCACTCTCTGCCCCTCCTCCTCCTCCTCCTCCTTCTTCTTCTTCTTCTTCCCTGTCTCTTTCCATTTCTCTTTCTCTTACTCTGCATCCGTCTCGCTCGCTCGCTGGCGAATTATTCGCTGGCAGTGCAGACACGTTGTGCCGTTATGTATATATATTTAGTTTGGCTTATTTTTTCCAAATGATTCCCCAATGATTGATGGGGCCCAGCGCGAGCAACAGTAAAAGCCAAGTGATATGTGATTGCGACCGATTTGCCATACTTGCTACTGCACTGCGCGAAATTAGCTGGTATTCTCGTAAGAAGTGTTCTTTATATACGTATTGAGAGGTTGAGTTTCCTCCGATAACTACCATAATAGGAGTGATTTCTGCCAGTGCGTTATTGTTGCCACTGGCAATTATGAAAAGCCACGCCGAGAGAGAAATCGTGCCAATGGCCTTCTAATGTGTGTGTCTCTCCCGTTTTCCTCTTCCTTAGCCGGTGGGTGCTCCACTTTAGGGATATTCCATGCCCATGCCGATGCCGATGCCGTGCTGCTGGCTGGCTGGCTGAATAAATAGGATCGAGGAGCACTGGGGGCACTGGGCACTGGGAAAACGGTTACGGAATGGATGCTCGCCGGCAGAAACGACTTGGCCCAGCGCCAATTGCATCCTTCGAAAAGTCATTCGAGGACAATGCCACGACAAATGCACAGCAGCCAAGCCAACAGCAGCAGCCACAGCAACAGCAACAGCAACACCAGCAGCAACACCAGCAGCAACACCAGCAGGAGCAACAGCATCAGCAGCACCATGCGGCGGTAAGTCCTCTAGCCTATTTTCCAAGCACATCACAGCAGTGTACAGCACGTTCAACAAAAATATATATAGAGTATAGTTCTTGATATGCCGGAATTGAAAACTGCTTAGAAAATCCCCAGCGAACTAACTCGAGCGATCATAACTTTGCCTTAGCTCTGCATTTTTTAAGCGACCTTCTTATCGAGCAACCACCGTAGCTGTTACGGGCTGATGTCGCATGCACATAATGCAGGGCTTAAATTAATTAACCAAACACGAAATAAACTTAAGCGTTCCTGGGCGCTGTAAGCTTGCCAAAGCTTTCCGTTCTCCAAAAAACGGGTGTATAAATTTGGGGTGGCAGCCAGCGAAAGGTTCGGGGGGAGTGGGGGCGGTTGTTCAAAGGTCGGGGATATATGCCGCAATCATGCAAATGGCCACTTAAAAGCCAGGCTGGCAGGCCAAGCGGTTGTGCCTAATAAAAAAATTAACCTTAAACGCCAAAACAGCAGAAGCAGCAAAGGCAACAGTGAAAACTGGTAAGCTAAATCCGGAGTCACGCGTCGCAGATCGGCGACTGAAGAGCCGTGAGTTTGGCATCCGTTGGAAAATACTTTGGCACGCATCCGCCACGAATGTGAAGTGCTTCAAATAATGTCATTTAGCCAGCGGCAGAAAGGGACCAAGGACGAAATGTAATAAGGCATTGGGCCGGGGAAAAGAATAACAGTGCGGGGAAAGGGGATAGGACAAGGCGACAAAGCGATATTTTAGTATAGCGAATCTTTATTCATAACATACTCAACTTGATACATAAAAATATGATTTTTATTGAATACTTTGGGGTTTCCTATATAAAATATTAGGTTTTTATTTATTGACCCTGTTTGTTAAGCCATCCGATTTTAGCTTTGGCGTTAATCACCGATGTGGCGTTATTTATTCGCCCGCCGCTGTATTCCCCATCGCAGTCGCACCCACACGCATACATGACAAGTTGACTCTTAAAGCTCAGCAGGCTCCACAGCTGAGTCCTCGGAGCTTTCCGGCCTCTCTCTCTGCCGTTCCCACTCTTTTCCTTTCCTTCCGGCGAAGCTTTCGGCCATACAAAGCGAATTGAAGTGAAGAGAGAGAGGCATGGGAGAAAGGAAAAGCGGAACAGAGGAGCTTTCGTCGCATTCCCATTCACACTTAACGGTAGCATGCTTTTCGGGGCAGTTCGACGCTGGCGCTGCGTGCGTGCGGTCTTACGACAAACGGTGCTCCTTAGAGTGAGAGAGAAAGGAACGGAGAGCGCGCGGTGTGTGTGTGTGTGTGCCAGCCAGACGCCAGACAGAGACAGCAAATATCAGTTAGCTAAAGTGAGCAGCCAAACAGATAAATCAAAAAATTGAACAGGGAAGAAAGCAATCGCAAAAAAGGAGCAGAAATCACACTCGCTGGTATTTACCGTTCGACTTTTTTTGTTGTGCAAATTGATGCAAAATTAATAAGGACAAGTAATACACACACACGCGCACGTGGAGAGGACTTTTTGGGACCGCGGTGAGTGTGTGAACAATAAACAGAAAGCAAAGCATGCGGCTCTCTCTTCTCCTCCTTTTCCACCTCGGCTCTTTCTTCCTCGTTGCCTCTCTTTCTTAGGCTGCTTTTTATTTAAATTGTAATTAATTTAATCATGCACATGTGTGACAGCTTCTCTGCTGTCTCCTCTCTTTTTTCCGTTCTCTCTCTTCTGCCTTTGCATTTGCCTTTGCCTGCTTCTTGTCCCCCCGTTTCATTTGCCTAGAATTATGTTACGATTTCTCCCAAAACACTTGCCCACATTTCCTTGCTTCCCTTTGCTTCAAAAAAAAAAAAAAAAAAAATATACGTTATTTTCTTTTCTGTACACCACAAAAACAAAGGCCGACATTTTCGGGGATGGGTGTTCACGTTTTTTTCGGGGGTTTCTCAGTTGTGGGGAGTGTTATAATGTTGGTTTGAGGGAGTTACAAGGCTCGTAGGAGCTACCATGACTCTCTCACTAAATTTCATCGGAACATGATTTTAGATAAAAATATTTCGGAGCTCCTTGCGTTTGCGGCTTACAGGTTTTCACAATCTTTTCTTAGGGGCTCCTCGAATCGTTTAGCCTTACAAGGCGATAAGTGGCTTAGCAGTCCTTATTGGAGCTTAAAGATTTAAGGATGTGTCGGTGTGCCTTTGAGCAATGAGAGCCCCCGCTTTTCGGGGAGAGTTTAACCTTATTCTGTCTCACAGAAGGCGCAGCTTCAGATTGGGGAATCTAAATTAATTTGTGTCCCAAGGTCCCGCAGAGACAATAAACGATAGGACCCCCTAGTATTCCGGCGCCATGTGTCAATCATCGCATCCACAACATGTGCGTGTATATCCTCTATATATCCATCTGCCCCTCAGCAGTTGCACCGCCTTTTATCACCGTGCCCATCCGCACATTTTGCGTGTGAAAGGATTTCTCCTTGAGCGCTTTGATGCGAGTGCAGCATCCATCGCAGTTGCGAAAGTCCCCTCGTCTGTTGCGCCAGTTGAGCTTAGGGCCCCGCATTTCCATAGCTTCCACACCCCCCACCCCCCACACCACATCCCCCAACCCCGCAGCAGCTTGAAAACTTTAAGCCCGCTAATGGTGTTAGCCAAAGACTTTGGGCCCCAGACCAGAAAGGGGGACAAACGGAGTCGCACGGTTGCCTTAAGTTATTATCTCAGCCTCCGATTTGGAGTCATTTAATAGAATTTAAGGACGAAAAGGATGCTTTAAAGGTAACAAGGAGGAAACTGTCAAATTCAAGGGAACAACAACCATCAATATGTTCTAAACAAACCAACTGATAGTCAAGATAACAGAATAAACTACGAAAAGGAAAGCATCCCGAAGGCATTTGGGTTATTTGTTTATTTTCCCCCCAGGCGAGAACCCTTTAATAGTAATCGCTGCTAAAAGGAAAGCGTCACTAAAACAACTGCGCTCATCAACCCACGGAGACAAATCAAATCATCGTTTCACTTAAAAAATCGCACGGGGGAATAAGCCAGAATGGAAATCCGTAGGGAAAACTAGCTCCACATGCACAATATATACAAACGTATATAAAGGGAAACTGTGTCAAAAGCGCCTGATTTCAATTTGCGAAATGAAATCAGAGGGGAAATGATAGTGGCTCAGTTAACCCCTGATCGGAATGAGCCATGGGTTTTCCATGCCCCTTAGTTTTCCCCAGGGATGCCCCCCATTTTAATAGGTAGGTTCCCTTGCCATTTCTGCCAATTTGTTTGTGGCTTAACTGTCTTCGATTGCTTGCTCCATTTCTTGCTGAATACTTCCATAAAACTTTTATGGAATTTCCGATGAAGGACAAACTGGGAAAGACATTGAACTGAGTTGCAAAATGTGTCTTCTTTTTATGCCACCAAAAGTTGCAGCGACTGATCTTTGCGCTCAGCAGCTGTGTTGCACACTTTTGGTCCAAATTGTGGTCTGCAAAATAGTTGCAAAACCCAAACAAACTGGCAACTAAAGTCTGAGCGAAATGTGTAAGCTGTCAATTGGTTTTGCAACATTTGTGGACGACTTGAAGTGCAACTATTTTGCTATTAAGCGTCAATAGAAATTCTTAAAGGCCAGGTGGATAGTATAGTTCAATTAATTCTGTGAATGTATTTCCTTATAATTCCATATTAATTATTTGTTTTTCAGATGATGGAGCAAAGTGTTAGGAATCAGACAACGATGTCGACGACGACGAATCGGAATAGGATGGCCGGCGGCATAGAAGCGCCCAGCATAGCCACACAATCCGCAACCGGAAATGCAACTGCAAGTGCAACCACCTCCGCGTATGCATCCGCATCCGCAGTATCCGCAGTATCCGCAGCATCCGCATCCTCCTCGTCGTCGTCCTCGGTTTCATCGGCCACCTGCTCGGCGACCATCGTCCAGGCGAAACAGCGGCCTCCTCCCCTGAAAACGGCGACGACAACGGTGACCACCACTTTGGTGAGCAGCAGCGAGGGCGGCCAGCCCCTGCCGCCCCCCGCCCACTCGGTGGGTGCGGCGGCAGGGGGAGGAGCTGGAGCGGGAGGGGGGAGCTACCGCGGCACCGCCACCCTGACCACACCCTCCACGCCCCGCATCGAGCTGAGTCGCGCCTCCAGTTCGTCGCACCACGAGGAGGACAGTCGGGAGAGCAGCCCGGAGAACGTGTTCGAGCAGGTGAGTCGGGGCGGAGTCCACCTTCCACCTCCCACTCCCCAGATGGAGTATAAGGCACCATATACCAGATACCCTTGGCAGTACCTATAGTTCGAGGGAGTAATGGGGATGATTCTGAAAGGCTAGCTATTATATTCTTAAAGTATTTTAAAGTATTCAAGTTGCAAAGCTGAAATCTTTCAAAGGAGTAACTACCATACTATGGAATATATCATACTAACCTGCCAAGGTAATCAGGTAATGCCTTATACCCCATTTAGGTGGACAGATTAGCTAAAATATACCTCTCCATTGGCAGTGGTTGGGTTAGGTTTTCGAAGGCGAGAAATCATCTGGTGCTAATTATTTTGTGCTTACTCTTGTTTGCTTCCTTTGGACTCATGTACATGTATGTGTTTTTATTTCGCCTACTCAACACACCAATCAATCTGTCTTTGCCATTCATCGTATATATATATACATATATGTGTGTTCATCTGTCTCTTTCTCTGTCTGAAACACTCTGTGATGCGCTCGCTACCCCTTGCACACACACTCCCCCTCGAAAAACACGCCCCTCTGGAAACCCTCAACCCCTCAACCCCTCAACCCCTTAACCCCTGACCTGTAACACCAACATCCAAAAAATCCAAAAAAAAAAAAAAAAAAACCCCAATCTAACGAAAAAACAAAACAAAAACATCCCGTACGAACCACAAAACGAATCCTGCACACAAATTGGCTGTTGATTTGTTGATTTCGTTTCTGTTTTCGACTTTTTGCTCCACCTGGCTCCCTCGAACACCGAGCATGCTTCTTAACCCCCAACCACATCCTCTCGCCTCACCTAACCTCACCTCACCTCTACTGAACCGAACTGTACTGAACTGACCTCCGCCTAATCCCCAAACGAATACAACAAATCGAAAAAAAAATCGAAAAAATCGAAAAAAAAACAAAATCAAAACTATCGCTCGGACAAAACGACGAACGGCTCAAACGACCTTTGGACGACTCTCTTTTGGACTCGATGTGTGTGTGTACTGGCTGGTTTATGTGGTTGAACTAATGCTCTGAAGGTCGGCACTGGCACCCTACAGGAAACGATTGGCCTTGGCTTTCGGGAGGAGGGAGCCCTCGAGCTGCGCAGCTCCACCGAGGAGCTCTACTTCATGGATCCCGAGCAGAAGAAGGAGGAGCAGGAGCGGATCCAGCAGCAGCAGCAGGTGAGCGGCAGTCGCGATGCGATGCGAAGCCATCAAAAGTGCGGCGTCGATAAACAATCGCAACTTACACGATACACACAAACGATTCGATAGGCAAACTAGTGCGAGATGTAAACGTTTGAGTAGTTAACAGAATAAGCCACGAATTGGCATCATCAGTTATCAGCTTGTATCAGATTTTATTGGGCTGGAAAGTTAGAAAAATATCCCCCTTGTTTTTATTCCCCTTGCAGACTCTCGGTTATCAACTCAAGATATTTCGCTTTCGATGGCCCCTTGACTCCTCAATATCAACACGCTTCTCTTAAACACATCGCGTTCGGGGAACTCGTTATTTTTTCAAGCTGCATCGACATTTCCCATTAAAAAGCGGATGGGCATGACATTGACGGGGTCGCAAAGGCTCAAAGGAAAGGAATGGGGAAATGTGGAAATGGGCGAGGGGGTAGGGGGTATGGGGAGCCGGATGGGAGACAGTAACCGCATCACAAGTTGAATTAATAATGCAAAATTGTATTCGAGTGGCTGGGAAGTGCAGCAGCAGCAGCAGCAACAGTAGTGCCATCGACGAAAGCGGGCGGCGGATGGACGAGTGAGCACCGAGTGACAGCTGACAAGTGCAGCCAGCCAACAAGAGCCACCCTGCAGCACCCAACAAGAGCCACCCTGCAGCACCCAACAAGAGCCACCCTGCAGCACCCCAACCCCCAACCACCAACCTCCATTCCCCACTGCAGCCCCAATTTCCGCCGGGGTGATTGTTTGGCGAAAGTTTATTCCAGCACTTGGGCGAAAGTTTGTGGAAATTATTTACCCCGCAGTTAGCTTCTTTTCCAGGAGAAATGAGGAGCTCCCTCAGCTTGGGGCAATTGGTTTCGGCGAAACGGGAGCGCTGGCAGCACGGCACCTGGTTAATTGCCAGAAAGTGGCAATTGATTAGCTGGATGCGTGACTGCGTTAATTTGCCCCAAGAAAAGCCGCAATTATCCCAAGGTTGTTGCCAAAGGGCTTCGACATTAACCTTCAATCACTTCAAAACGTATCTCATATAGGATAGAGAATTAAATTCTTTAGAAATAAAAGAGGAGCTGCTTGCACGGGAAATGCTAATTAACTAGAGAGCCAGAAACCGAAATCCCTTCTACGGAAATACCAGCTATACGAATTCCCCAATGGCAACCGAAATGCAATTCCATCTCCATTTCGAGTGAAGTTTTTCCACACTTTCCGCTGGCGCTGCTTTTTTCCTTTGTGCTCTCGCTTTGTTTGCCTTGGTTGATTGGTAGCCGCGGGTTGCGAGTCCAGATTGAAGAGCCGCGATTGACGGGGAGCCGAATCGTGGGATGCCATGATTGCCAGCGGACCGCCTAATGGAAACGGAGGAAAGAGGAGGGCGGTCCGACATCAGGAATTCGATTTCACATTTTCCGCCATTAAGTGCACCCTCCTTTAGATCTTCTGTTGGGCCCAAGCCAACTTCTCTCCTGGATGTTCTGTTCCCGATCTTGTTTTAATTTAAGTTGTCTTACTATACTTCAAACTTTGACTTCGATTCGTAGTTTTCCTCCTTCACTCTATATAATTCATTAAGTAGTAGCCTCAAGTAGATCTACTAGACGTTTCTTCATTACCTTCTGTTCTCACAACCCCCCAGATTCTGTAGTACATCTGAGGTTAATCCACTCCTCTACTCCTTCAACCCACTTAAGTTCCAGACCGGGACCTCCTGGGTTTCGATTTATAAACGAGTATCTCCCCCATAACGTAGTGTCCCACTGCCCTCGGTTATTGCCCACTTCAGCGTTTCAGCGTTTGAAATTTCACTTGGGATAGTAAATCACGAAACACAACACACCAGGTATTTCATTAAGGTGACATGTTGGAGGGGCCACTCCTTCTTGTTCCTTTCCCTGCTCGCCCTGCGCAAGTGCATCATCCCTTGACAGACTTCTCCGGTTCTCCGGTTCGCTGTCTTTTCTCCTTGCAGGCCAAGCGCTCGTCGCCGCACATCTTCAAGTTCGACGAGCACCAGAGCTACCTGCAGCAGCACCAGCGGAAGGACTCGGCCAGCTCGGAGGTGGCCGCCCTGCTCTGCATCTCGGGTCGCACCAGCCGCATCTCCAGCGTGGGCAGCCAGGGCTCGGCGGTGAGCCGCCTCTCCGCGATATCGGGTGTCTCGCGCTCGCCCTCGCCGCACCGCATGCTCCTCGAGACCTCCTTCTGCGGCCCCAAGCCCGTCGAGCTGGCGGGGAGTGGCGCAGCCAGCGGAGCCTCCACCGCGGCCAGCTCCTCGCACAGCCAGGCGGAGGGGATGCCCGGCGCGGGCACGGTGGCCGCCAATGCGGCGCTTCTGGAGCAGCTGCTCCTGGCCAGGAAACACGACCCCACCCAGGCGGTGCTGGCCGAGGGCATCAAGGTGCTGCCCCCCGCTCCGTCGGGCTCCGCCGCGGGCGCCTCCACCTCGAGTCGCAGCCGGAGCGGCAGACCAACCGCCGGCGTCCTGGCGAACGGGGAGCGAGCGGAGAAGGAGCCGAGCAAGCTGGGCAAGCAGACAATTGGCGCCCAGCGCAGGAGCACCAAGAGCCCCGGACAAATGGTCGTGGGCAAGACGGCCAGCGGCACGGAGTACATTCGGATCAACCTGCGCCCGGACCACATGTACAGCGACAAGGGTATCGCCTCCAACGAGCGCGTCGTGGAGGCGCCCAACCAGCTGGCCCCGGTCTACTCCAAGCCCGCCTCGCTGAGCCTCCAGGGCGGCAGCCTGATCGAGGAGCACCGGCTGACCCCCACGGCGAGTCCCAAGCCTGGCCGGCGGTTCACCAGCCGCTCACCCTCGCCCGCCACTGGAGCAGGAGGTGGAGGAGGAGGAGGAGGATCCGTGTCCCGCAAGAGCTCCTTCAGCTCGCTGTTCCGCCTGGGCAAGGACTCGCCGGATTCGCCGCGGGAAGCGGCTCGCTCGCGCAGCAAAAGCAAGGAGCGACCTGCCACAGCCTCCGGTGGACTGGGAGGAGACCGCAGTGGTGGTGGGGGAGGAGGAGGAGGAGGAGGTGGCTCCCAGAACGTGACGCCCAGCAAGCAGAAGTCCGTGCTGGCCATCTTCAAGCCGGGCAAGCGAGGCAGCCAGAGCAGCAAGAGCTCCTCCCCGATCGAGTCCACCGTGGAGCCCACTCCCCCACCACCCCCACCTGTCCCCGGATCGGGATCGGGATCAGGGAATCGCAGCCGAACGCCGGCAGGATCGCGTCCCGGGAGTCGGCTGCGCTACTACGACGAACCCGTTGAGGGGGTCATCCACATACCGCTGCACACGCCGCCGGAGGAGCGGGAGGCCCGCACCCTGCTCCAGGGCATCCAGCAGCTGGCCCACGCGGCCCAGGCCAGCATGGACCCCTCGCCCCTGCCCACCCACCGTGCTCCGCCCGCTTCCGCCCAGCCGGTCTGCCCGGCGGCGGGCACCCAGATCACGGCCACCCAGCTGGCGGCGGCGGCGGCCGCTCTGCGTCCGGTGGCCCAGCGGCGGGTGGCCCAGCGTCCGGATCTGGACGCCATCCAATCGCTGCCCAGCCAGGAGGAGCCGCCGGCGGCGGCGCTCGGGGAGGAGCAGGGCCAGCCGATGGCGGAGCCAGCCAACTGGAGCCTGGAGGTGCAGCGGCACAGCTCGCAGGACTCGCAGGAGACGACGGCCGAGTCGGTGGGCTCCGTGATGAGTGCCCGGGCAGCGAATCTCGCCCAGCAGCGGGAACAGCGGGAGCAGGCGGCCATACAGCGACTGCCCTCCGTGGAGAGCACCCAGAGCGCCTGCGAGCCGCGCCTGGTGCACACGGTGGCCACCGTGAATGCTCCGCATCCGCAGGATTCCGCCGGGGACTCCGCCGCCGCCAAGGAGCGGAGGCGCCTGCTGTTCGCCACGCGGCTGGGATCCGGCAGTCAGGAGCAGCTCTTCTCCACCCAGTTCAGCATCTCGAAGACGGAGAGCCAGTCCAGCCAGCTGTCCGAGCAGGTGGAGCACTCCGGCTCCGAGGGCGCTTCGGAGGGACTGCAGCGCCAGGGAACGGTGATCCGGCGGGTGGAGTCCGGCCCTCCGCCACCGCCGCCTCGAGGCGTTTGCAGCTCGGAGGAGGAGCAGGGATCGGGAGGAGGAGCGGTGGTGATGCGCTCCAAGCACAAGTCGCGTCCGGCCAGCTCCGAGGACGAGGCTGCTCCTGGGCCGGCAGCGGATTTCCGGCACTCGCGCTACTTGGAGAACTTCGACGTGCGCCGCAAGCTGCACGAGAACCTCACGGAGGCGCAGGTGGAGTCGCCCAGTGGCGGCCAGGCGACCATTCCCCGGAAGCCAAAGCGCCAGAGTGTCCCGGAGAGCAGACGTAAGTGGTAGAGCCACTCAGCCAATCCAGCTGGGCCATTCTAAAACGCTTTTGCCTAATTTCAGGTGAAACAGCAGCCAGCTACAGTTCCGGCACTGCCACGCCCACCACTCCTACTCCCACTCCGACGCCCACGCCCACACCTGCGACTCCAGTGGGACAGGTGGGACCAGTGGAGCAGGCCAGGCAGCCACTGACTTCCTCCAGCACCACTCCCATTCCCACTCCCACTCCAACCACGGCAGCTCCAGTTGCAGTTGGAGTTCCAGTGGTCACTCCACCCGCCGGCCAGGCCCCCACTTCCACTTTCGCATCCACTTCCGCTGGGGGTCCTCCGGCCACGAACTCCTACCGGGATCTCTCCAGCACTCCGCAGAGGAGCCAGGAACCCGTTGGCGCCTGCTACAGGGATCCTCCGCTCACCTCCGCCACCGCCACTCCGCCGGTGGATCCTTTGTTGACCTCCCCGCCGCCGGAGCGCCGTCACTCGCTGTCGACGGATGAGCACGAGCCCGTGGAGTCCTCGGAGAGCGAGCGGGACTCGGACATGGCCGGCAGCTCCTCGGTGACCACGGCGGTTCCGGCGGGCGGAGAAGCCTCTGCTCGAAGGCACCACAACTTCCCGCGCAACGTGTGCGTGATCGAGGAGCACGAGAGCACCGGCCTGGTGTCGCAGGAGTCCTTCGAGGACGAGCTGCCCTACATACCCACCACGCTGCCCGAGGAGCGGGCCCAGGGCGTGCCCATCATCCCGATGCGGGAGCGGGCCAACATGGAGCTGAAGACGTGCCCGGTGGACAGGCCGCGCTCCACCACGCCGCTGAATCCCTCGCACCTCGAGGAGTACTGCTCGGGGATCATGACGCCGCAGGAGGGAGCCCCTGGCGTTGGGGGACACCAGGAGATCGATGGCGCAGGAGCAGGAGGAGTTGGAGGAACCGGAGGAGGTGGTGCCTCCTCGATGGGTGGAGCTCCGGTGCGCGGGGAGAAGCTGCGGATCAGCCTTCCCCGCAAGGAGTCCATCGGCAAGGAGCGCATCCAGAACTCGAAGTCGCCGCGACGAGTGTCCAACACCAGCGGCAAGTCCTGGTTCGAGTTCGCCGAGGAGGGCTTAAGGGCCAACAACCTGGAGCGCAAGGACTCGGCCAAGCAGCTGCTCCCGGTGGTCACACCACCTGCTCCCGCTCCTACTCCATCGAACCTGGAGGAGCCGAAGCCAAAGGCCTCCACGCAGCGGAAGCTCTCCGGCCACTGGATCGACTTTGAGAACATTCCCGAGAAGCGGAAGCCGGCCAAGCGGATCACCACGCTGCCCAAGGAGACCTTGGCGAGCAGTGCGATCGCCGCGGCGACCACCAGCTCCTCCTCCGCCTGCGGCAGCGGCCACCGATCCGGAGGAGGAGTAGGAGGAGGCCACCACCATCAGCATCAGCACCACCACCACCACCATCACCACCAGCAGCAGCAGCAGGGATCGAAGGGAGGTGGCGAGCACTACAACTACGTGAAGCCGGAGGACTGCCAGTGCGAGTGCCACGAGGCGGAGCGCGGCGAATCCTCGACAGCCACGGCCGGAGCCGGGGATACCAGCACGGAGACGGGAACGGGAACGGGAACGGGCAGCGAGTCGCTGGCCTCCGTGGAGCTTCTGCAGCAGGGCGAGGACATGTTGCCGCTTCTGGATCCAGACACCTCGGCGGAGGGCAGGTAAGCTGTTTGGTTTAGTGGGTATGAGTTCCCCTGAGTCACAATCCTCCTTTGATCTCTACAGGATTTACGGGGACGAAGAGCAGGCTCCCCTAATGCGGCACTCCGGCAAAGGAGTCTCCCATCCACGGGTGAGTCCAAACCCCAAATAAGTTAATAAAGGTAATAGGAGAAATGGAGGTGATGAATGATTTCCAGAGCCAACTCGAGGAGTTTCCACGACGGGACGATGGATCGAGTCCCCGCAACCGCAAGTTTCCCGACAGAAAGTAAGCAGAGCAGCCGGAAAAACCCAACTCCTCATTATTTGCCGGATCGGATCGATGTTTTGTCAGTAGATCTTCAGGGTAGCAAAACCATTAATCTATCTCTATGTAAGTCGAGTCGAGTCAAACTGAACTAAAGGCCAGCGCCAGGAGGACCCTGGCCAATATCCTCAATGTACCTCAAGCAGAGTGGTTGTTACATATTCGAGCAGGAGCCGAGGGACGATCCGATGATGATCGCTAGACAATGATGCGCATTAGCTTTCGATTCCAAAACGATGGCTAAGCGAAACCCCCAATAAAAAACACACCCAAAAGATACGATACGATGATATGCATACGATAGATACTCCGTACTAAATAGCTCATGAATGTACATGTTAGGCTAATTTTTTTGATAGCAACAATTACAACAACAACACTCACTCTATATGGCAATGGACGATCGATCGGTCGATCGGTGGGTCGGTTGGTCGGTCGGTCATTCCCCCTAGAAACTTTTCGCTGGCAATTTACTATATGTGATCTCAGACAAAGTATATATGTGTGGTCGACCGGATTCTCTAGCTGTAAGTCGGTGTATCTGCGTGTAGTTTGTTACCTAGCTCAGACAAATCCTGAATCCTGAATCCGGAATCCGGAATCCAGAATCCAGAATCCAGAATACAGACTCCAAAATCCGAAATCCCTAGGCTTAGTCTCTAATCTGTGTCTGTGTCTGTGTCTGTGTCCGTTTCTATATACCTGTGTGTGCGTGTGTGTGTGTGTTGTGGAGATCTCCATATCTCTGAGAGCACTACCCTACCGATTTCGGGCCATATCTCTAGGATTCTCACAATGGGACACAGCAAGCGATTTAAGAACGAGTTGTAATCGTTTACTAGTATGTCAAAAAACCGAAAGAAAAGTAGCCTGATTCATAGCCTTTAGTTGAGTTCGAAGCGTTAGTTAGTTAGTCTGCCCGACTAAGCGGGTATTTTGTAAATAAGTCTAAACTAGATTACAGTATTCGATGCAAATTGATTTTGAGAAACACTCTTTTTTTGTTTTTGCGGGACAGAAGAGGCGATCTTCTTTGAATGAGTTGAATCAATGTACTTGAATAAATTTATATAGCCAACAAACTGCCAGCACACACACACTTGCCATAAGAGAAGTTCCTCCTTTGTTTTTGTGTTTCGTGGGTAACCGGTTTGGTGTGGTGACCCCGATTGGTTTATGCGCCCCCAAACATTGCGATACAAAGACGATCCTTATATGTACTACTACTGCTTCAAAGAAACACTTAAGTCCCTAAAGGAATCTCTTACGAAAGAAAAAACACAACTCCTAGCTAGCCTTTAAAATTCCTAAATACTTTATTACAATACTTTAGCGGACAACGGACATTCATTGAATTGAAGCAAAACCAAGCGAATAAAACTTAAATATAGTATTTAAACAACTTAAAGAAAACTTATAGGTAAATTATACAATACATAAACAACATTAAAAATGTGCGAAGCGGGGGCGAAATAAATGGGAGCTTAGATCAGAGAATTGAACGAGTTTTTCGAAAGAATTTCAGAGCCCCAATTAAACCCAAAAATGAGTAACGTAATAGAAATCGTTTTTGTATTTTTTTTTTTTTTTGGTAGCAGAAGTGGTAAAGCACAAATTGCACTCGAAACATATATGATATATAGACGTAATGGCGAATCCAAGCAAGATCTTAACAAATTGTACAATAATTTCCATAATACATTTATGTGAGGATAAATACATATATATTAATATATACATACAAGTCTAAATGTATATGCATTTACACATAAGTTGCGTTCCAGTTTCCGAATCTTGTTCTCAATACTTTTTTAATCGTTTTTGAATAAACTTTTTTTGTATAACTTAGTCAAGCCACGAAAAATGTTGTTAAAAATGCATTTACATTACGAAAAGAAGACAAGTTGAACGTTTAAATAAGCAAAGGAATATGAAAAATTGTTACCAAAATTTATGCATTCATACAAAACAAAACAAAAAAAAAACAGCTGGGTTGAGCTAAAAGAAATAAATTAATAAATATATATGTATGCACTTTCTTTATTTTACGATTTCATCTAGACGAAGAAGATGATTTTGATGAAGAGCAGGCAGAAAATTAATTGAAAACTATTCATTAAAGTGACAAAAACATATTTAAACCAATTGTGTGTCGTTTTACTCGGGTCTTGTTTCGGATATCGTCGGGGTTTATCGATTCGCGGCCCTAAGCATGCGACTTGGACATGAGAATTGGACTCTTATCGCAATCTGAGGCTTTAACAGCCCACCGTTGGCAATCGATCATGATTACGGCTATTTAACATGCATATAGGGCTTAGCCTTAAAGCTGCTTACAGATAGCGACTCCGGGTGACACCGTCAAATTCTGACGAACTCCCTTAAATAATTCGTACCCCCCTGAGAATATTTATTGTTAACATGTGAATAATCAGGTAAGATGCAAATTAAAGTAACTATAATTCGCGTTTTGTTGCCTTTGTTAATTTCCCGCTTTTTGTGTTCTTTCGCCGCGTGTAAACGTGTTGCACTGAGCGCTTCTCTTACTGCGCAAGCGCGCTCTTTTTTCTCGTCGAGGGTGTGAGCGCCTCTCTTACCATTTATACACAAAGAACAATTTTTACGAATATGGGTCAATTACAGCAAAGTTTATCGGAAGCCTGTGGATCCCGAGCTACATATATGCAATTTATACGATCAGGGGCAACATTGCGTATGAGTGATATTTTTCTAACCTTTTCGAAATTCCCAGCGAAATAAAATTACACTTGCAGCTTGTAAATAAATTTGAATTATTTTCTAGAGAGTGAGAGAGAGAGGGAGAGAACGTGCAGTTCTCTCAGTGTACTCTCCCTCCAGCTGCTCAGTGTATAAGTAGAGGCGGCCAAAACGATACGGCCTCAAAACGAACAGAGCCATCGAACGGTGAAGGTGCGCGCAGCGAAAGTCTCCCCCATAAACCAACATAAAAAAAAGAGAAGAACGAAATATAAAAGGAAAAGAAGAAAATCAAAACAAAACGACAAGAACAACAGCAAGACGTTTTACTTTTTTTGTTTGTGTTTTTTTTGACCCAGAGAGAAAAGAGAGAGCAGAAAGTGATCGAGATGGCGTTCATGATGCCCGTGATGAAGAACAACTACGATATCTACAAGGACACGCGTTCCCGCAAAACGTCGGAATGTTCGAATGCTAGTAGTAACGGTACAACGGCTTTGGCCACCGCACTTGGAACGCCCGCTCAGGGACAACAGCAGAACCAGCGCCGTCGCAAGGTGTCGGAATGCAAATCGGAGAGTTTCGCCACCTCCCCATCGCATGGACAACTGGGCGTGTCCTCCGCCCACCAGCGGATGCAAATGCAGCGGTGTCACAGTTCGCGCGCTTTTCCGCGCAACGCATCACGCAGCTCGCACGGTTCCATGCAACAAATTGTGTCGCCCACGCGCAGTAGTCCGCCCAGCCGCTCGCATACTGCTTCCGCTCTGGAACGACAAGCGGCCGCCCAGGCCGCCGCTCTTAATCAAAAGCAACAACAATCGGCAGTGGAGTCCTCGAACGACTACACGAAGTTCCACTTGCGGTTGGTTGACAAGCTGCGCAAGTCCTTTCGCAAGGATAGCGGTAAACGGTCATGAGAGTATCGCAATCAAAATAACAATCCCAGCAACAACAACCACTACGACAACAACAATGCCAGCTGCAGCAGCGCTTCGTTGCTATTTATTAACAACAACAACAGCAGAGAATGGGAGCGACAGGAGCAAGAGGGTGTAAGCGAGACAGACGATGCCAACGGAAGATCGCTACCTGGTCAGGACTTGGGAGAGCACAGTGCAGCTAGTGCCTCTACCTGGACAAAAGATGCCACCTGCCTAGAAGGAAGCAGGACAAAGAGTATCTCGGAAAGGAGGAGAGCAGCGAATTCTTCCAAGGAGCGGGGAGCAGCACGACGACCCCCCCGGGAGCGAGAGAAAGGCATGGTCAGTCGTTTGGGGCGACACTTCAGGCGTTATTGTAAATTGCTGGCAGTCTCCAACGGCAGCGCTACGGCCGAGGACGAGACAGAGGTATCGGCAGAGGTGAGCTCCATGGAGCAGTTAACCCACAGCAGAGACAACAGTCGCAGTCGGCGTCGGCGCAGCAGCAGCATTGGAAGCGCTAGCAGCCGGCTGAAGATGCGACTGCGACGCTGCACTTCGTCGCCAGGATAAGAGGGAAACGGCTTATTATCAACTAGGTCGGAGCAAGAGAGAGAGGAGAGACTGGAAGTGAAAAGAGCGGGCAGCGGCGAAGCCGAAGGGGGCTGCGAGGAGTCACTTAACCTAGTTTTGTGTTAACCGTAAAAAAGTAACGATGCCCCCCAAGAAAAGCAGGAAACACAAAAGTAAGTTGGCGTACAGTTGTTGGTGCAAATTTGTTTCAAACATAATCTACAAAATATAATATATAAATCAATTTCGGTGTACATATACAAACTATTTAAACATACATATATATTAAACACTATCAATACAAAAAACAAAGTCCCAAATGTATAATTACATTAATTATATGTATTTATGTATGCCAGGCTTCCAAATAGAACATAGAACCTATCCCGGAACCAAAATCCTCTCCCATTTTTTTGTAACTGCGGTTTCGCAACTAGATGAAAACAGAAATTGCAACTGCCAATTGCATTGTATAACGAAAACCACATCAGCAACAACCCAAAAACAAGACAAAACACTTGAGAAAATAACAAACACACTAGAGAACCACAGATTTTTACTTTTTCATTTTGTAATTGCATAATTACGATGCGCAATCGACAATATATAACTTTAAAAGCATTGCGAACAAAATAAAAATAAAAAACGAAGCAGCTGAAAACAGACTTAATATTAATAATAACGTATAAATTATACACATATGTACTTGTACTAAAAAATATATATATATACAAAAATGTACCTAGACGACAGCTACTTTTAAGCAAAAATAAATGTTATTCGTTTTTTTTTCCTAGCTAGTAATTTTGTAATTACACAAACAAACACGGCAAACGAAAATGAAAAACTCTAAAAAAAACCAAATAAATAAAAAGTAACAAAAAACTATATGAAACGAAAACTTGAAGACTATGTAATTTTATTTGCACGCGAAACATTTAAATGTCAGCAGAGGAAGAGAGCAAAAGAGAGTGAGCGAGAGAAATGGCAATTGCAGCTGCAGCCAAGTGCGCAGAAAATGCGTTTCGTGGGGGAGGGGCAGCCCCCAATTTCAGCCGCAATTAGACCCACTCTCCCTCTCGCCGTCCCTCGCACACACTACTCTTCATGGGGAAACGGTATGCGGAAGCAGAAAAACAACGCGAAGAGAGGAAAAATCAGAAGAAGTGAAGAGACAAGAAGAGTGATCCCCCAATAACAGTGCCAACGGTAAATATCTATTTATATGTGTAGTTAGTGTAGTTAGTAGGTAGTAAAACAAAGTCGAAAGGAGAACCTTTAAAAAGTTAGCCAACTACAAAAGATACGATAGAAGCCCCATTACTACTACTACTACCCCCAAAACGAACGGTTGTGAGGCGCAGTTGCAAAGACACAAAGTATCCGACATATCTTGCAGCGACTCACATATACCCGAATTAAGAGCGTCACGGCAGTATAGCAACCTTGACCTTTGGACGCAGCAGCGTCGAATTGAATTGCCTGTAGCTATTTGGAGTGTGTCATATAGCTGAAATCGTTTCGGGAACTGAGGGGGGCTTGTGGGGACCCGTGGGGATGCTCTCTGGGCGACACTGTGGCACACATTTCGAGTCTCGGCTAGAAACAATTCTATAAACGTTCTTCGATTCAATTTCAATTAAAGAATAAATCAAATGGCGATCGAGTGGTGGTCCAAAATAGAAACAAAGTGAACTTTTCATATGAATATAAATATTTCTTTAACACATATGTATGTACATATATGTATGTATATGCCTACCCAGTTGAGTCAGCGGATCTGTTTCAATATCAAACAGTTGAAGATTTGTTAATTTTAATTTGCTGTGATTCGCGCATGCAGCAAATAAGCGGAAACAAAACGAAATTATAGCGTGGATAACTGGGCATACATATACAAACTTATGTACATATGTATGTATGTAGTTTAAAGTCAACAGCTGTTCTGTATATAACTATAATTAAAATCGCGATAGTGCCAAATCAATGCATATATAGTCGCACTTGTTTCAATATTATTATGATCAATCAAGCGATATTAATTTAAGGACTCTATGAGTCGAGGAACTATGAAATCATATCAGTACGATTCCATCTCCGATCTTCTTTCATGTTTATTTATCCCCCGCAGTTTGCAGAGTCAACTGTTATCTTTTGGATATTCTGGTGTTTTCTGGAACCGGTTCGAGTTGGTTAGCTGGCAGATTCTCAACTTCACACGGCTGTAAAAGCTGATACGCAGATAGCCGTGTTTTACCCTCGTAAATATCGCAGATAGGCTAATGTTATGCACTCATAAATGTCAACTAAATGATTTAACCGCCTTCAATTCGCTTTCGGGAACAAATAGCAATTTGTGTGTTCCTCAGATGCTTTTATTTTGAGGCAGTGTAATGCGAGACGTCCTCTGCGTCCCCATTGTTGTTATGGGTTATGCAATTCCTTTTGCTAATGCCAGTGGAACCCTGGTATACATAGATATATAAGTCATCTCCCCATTGCACTTCCAAGATGTTTTCTTTTTTCCTCGATTGTCAGCATAAACAGCCCACTCGATATGCAGTTAAGGCATCAACAACTTTACAGTGGCATAGACTTGGTCTTGTTTTTGATTATAAATCTTAATACTCAATTTTTGATGTGGCATTTCTCAAAACATTTGCGGTCAAATTCCCAAAGAAACTGCATTACTACTTTATTTTTAATTTTTGGTTTATTAGACATTGTTTTTATTTCATTTGAGATTTCTTCTATCCAATTGCAATTTGTTTTAGTTTCAGTTACAAGGCTCCCACATCAATTTAGCTACCTATGTTCTTGTTATTTTTTCCCCTGTTCTTATTAGTTTTTATTTATTGTTTATTGTCATTTTTCCCTGCCCCCAGTTTTTGTTTTCATTTTTTATTTGCTAATTTGCGAACCACTTAAAGACGAGTGACAGGCGGTGAAATAAGGGGGACCAAAGGGGGGGCAAGCTATTGTGTTTTCTATGCTTATGCGAGGCAACAGGTTTTCATTGGAAAAAACCACCCGCTGCCCCCCTCGCCATGTTGTGTTTCTTTAATTTTTGTTTTTCGCGTTTTTGTGCTTTGCGCGTGCCGCATTCAACGTGATGCTGAATTGAACACTTATTGAACAATTTCCAGTTTTATCCTCTTATGGACGCGATACAATGACGCCAACACTGAAATGTGTTGTTGTTGTTGTTGTATCTAACCCCCTTTTACCCCTTTCCCTTTCTTGAACCATGTATGTTACATATGATAATTCGATTACGTGGATTGCATTTTTGCGGTTGGTCAGTTCGGTGATTATTTAATTACGAAGTCGTTTCTCGATGTCAACACATTTTCCTATTCGATGTCCACACACACAAAAATGTTTGTTCTTAAATATAAATTTGTTTTTGGAAGCCTCGAAAATGTAAATTATTTTTGTTTAGTTTGTTGTTCTAAAAAACATATGTATTGGTACAGTTTTCCCTTGTGTTGTTAGTCGTTGTTTACGTGTCGTGTGCTAATCTTTTGGCAGCCCCATTGTTTACCCCGATCTGTTGTTTAGCCCAAGATCAAGGTGAGATTGTATAACCCGAATTCCGCTGACGTCACATCAATTCGCTGGGGCGGCGATGGCCAAGTTAGGGGCTTATTATCCTGCTGCCAGGGTTCACAGGGGTGAGTTGAGAAGTGTCGCTGTGGGGGAATTAGCGACAAGCCGACGACAACACAACGGACCGAAAGTGGAAAAATAGATAAGCGCACTTAAGGGTAACCAAAGAGGATAAACGTAACCCACTAATCGCGGCCAACGAATACTTTAAGATGCACAGTGCGCACGTTTTAGCCAAATAGTACGAGTATGTTTCACATCTTTTGTATATGTTTTGGGTGGATCTGATCAAAAGGTTTACAGAATTATATTATATAATGATTTTATAATGCCTTAATCTATTTTTACCATTCTTAAAAACGTTCTCATGTGAAATAATTGTGGGAAACCACAGTCACGTACCTTATTTCGTTTCTATATGTGACTCAATCAAGAATATAGTTAATGTTCAAAATTGAACCTCCCATCAACAAACAAAAAAACGTACGCCGACAATGCAGTGGAAAATTCCCAAAAACTTGAGCGAAACGGATGGCGAAAGAGAGCCAGGATTACGGGCGGAGGGTGGTGCTTCAAAAGGGGGGTGGGGGTGCGCAAAGGGCGCAGCTTTCGCTCCTCTCATCGATTAAACAACGCGAATGGCGTACGAGGAGGAGGGCACCAAAAAGGACTCGTTATCCTGACCTAGTCAAAGTTCAGCTCTCGTGCGCTCTCTTAAACGCAGTGACATTTGCTCTCTCTCTCTCTCTCTCTCTGCCACTTCTCTCTTGTCACAGGCGTGCAGTTGGGGCCAAAAGGGGCCCCATATACTTTACTCAAAAAAAAAAAAAATTACCAGCCTATATTGCAATTGTGTTATTAGTTCATAAGTTCAAATAGCACTGATAACCGATCGTGGGATGGACAAGAAGCTTATGTTGCAGATAAGAACTGTTCGAGTGTATTAAGCTTTTAGTTGAAATTGTCTATAATGAGAAGATTAGCTTAAAATTACATTCACTCTGTGCGTTGAAGGGAGGCAGTCAGGCGGACAAACGATTTCCCGTTTAATTTAAAAAAAAACGTTTTCCCCAGAAAGTAAGTCATTTATAAAATTATTATAACTTTAATGTGTCTGTGTTTTAAGAATGAAAAAAATTCCAGCTCAAGCCTAAAGTTTCCCAAATTAGTTATTTTGAACGCCCATGTGACTCCTGTTATCCTTCTCATTTTTCTTTATTTCCTGCTTTCCTTTCACACACCCTCTCACCCGCCTGTTTCCTTTCCTGTTTTTTTGAACGTGTGGAAGAGCACGTAGCCAAAAGTGCCGAAAAGGAGGAAGAAGTAAGCCGGTTTTGGTCCCGTGACCCCTGTGACTTGGCTTTCGGCCTGTGTCAAGGACATTCAACTCTCGTCCTGCTTCGATAAACGGCATATATTGATTTTTTTAATTTTCATTGTTTCTCCTGCGTTGTGCAGCAATGATTTTCGTTTTTTATTATTGCAGTGGCAGTTCAGGTTTTATGTGCAGGTATAATTGCCCAGGGAAAAATGAAGTTTACAAAAGTCTTGGCCTTGGCTTTGAGGCGGGGTCAGTGATCCACCTCGCCACCCTGGCTTGCCCCCTGGACTCCAGCCTCTTTTCTCTTGTCGGCCCTTTTTGCCTTAATTTGGCATAATATAGACACTAATATTAAAATTTGCGCTCTGTGTATCGACTTATCTCTTTTAACAATTCGAAATCAAAAACGTGCTACGAATTGGAATGTTAAGGCTTAAGCAGAGAAAGATAGACCGCAAAAGCAGCGGGGCTTAAAGAACGAGTGAGCAAAACAAACGAAGAGACTGAAAAGAGAAAAACAACGTTTCAAGTGAAAGTCGAACACAAACACAGAAAAGGAGAAGGCGAACAGCAAATTGGTAAGAAATGAAATTGAAGCCAAGCTGCTCTTCTTTGGTATGTTGGCCGCAAAAACAAAAAGCGGCGACGGCGAAGCTGACTGAGAACCGCTGTAACCATTTAGGGTGGACCATCTGTCAAAAAGTTAAGACCAATTAATCGGTCAGAGATCAATAGACCAAACAATATTGATACAAATTTGGTATAGTTTTTTGTATGGAATATTACGCATACGACATGTTAGGCATAATAAAATACATAAATATCAAATGTCGTACATGTATAAACACCGATATTCTCCGTTAATTTAAACCGCTAAGCTTAAACCGCTAAGCTCAAACCGCTTAGCTTATAATAAATCAAATATGTCAACGCTGCGTATGATTTATATTTTACGAAACTTACGTTCTCTGAGAAACATTATATAGCCCAACGTTTTTTCCTACAATTTGCGTCCACCCTAGTGCATATGCAGCAGCGGCAGAGGCAGCATGTTAATAACAGACACTTTGAAATATTTTTTTCAGGTTATTTCTGACGCGTTAACACGGCTTGGAACCACTGGAAGTCGAAGTCAGGCGGCGCCGAGCAATTGGAGTCCGCGGCAGTCAGTTGGCAAAGATCGCGCGAGTGGCTTAGACACGCAGCACTAACCCAGTAACTAGAGTCTCAAATCGGGCTTGCTAACTGATCGAGTAAATATAGTAAGCCGCCCCTGGGGAAAAGTGCGAAAGCAGCACCTGACAGCCCAGAAGTTTGCTAACACGAAGACAAATCAGTTCCCAGCATTCAAGCGGGCAAACAATATTGCCAGATATAGAGGCCACAACGAATTGGTAAGTCTTTGGTAGGCAAAAGAAAGTTAAATAATTTCCATTTAAAGAATTTCATAAGTCAGAGATCAAGAGCGGTTGTCGTAATTTCTATTCTATCCCAAACTTGTTTGACTCCTTGATAAATCAATTAAATATGGGCTTCGTTTTGGAAAAAGTACAGGTGTTCATTCCCACAGTGAAAGTTCTTTTGACTTCTACCGATATTCTATGAATTAATTAAAAAACAATTAAAATATATTTTACAACTCAAGTAGCGTTGATTGTTTGTGTTTTAATTTGTTGTAAGCCAAAACTGAGTTCCCACATTCGTTATTACTTGAACGAAAGCATAATTGAATTTTAAACAAGCGTTGATTGCTGTAGATAAAAAAATTAGTAGTAGTACAATTTCAATATTAACCAGTATCCAAAGTCTACTAGCCCAGACCTCTGGTTACACTTAATTTAATTGAGCTATTTTTGAATGCTTTACTTTGAATGCTTTACTTCATTCTAGACAACATTGTAATGCCATAAAAAAGTGACTTTTAAACCTAAAATGATTTGCTAAATACGCGCAGCGAGTAGTTGAAGTGAATTACGGAAAACCAGTTGTTCAGGTGCAAAACCACTCGCGAATTCGGGGTCAGGGGGGCCTTCAACTTGAGCACTCCCCCTTGCAAGCTTCTCTTTTGGCTCATTTTTTATTTTGTGGTCACCCTTTTCCCCAAGCCCTTTTTCGGATAACTGAACTTTCTTTTCACCGTCTGTCTCCCGTAGAATCCGACGAGCCCATCTGCAACCGGAGATTCGTAGTCTGCGCGATCCCCTGGCCAGATATGTCGGAGGCTGCCACGCCCCCAGGATCAGTGCCAGGTTCAGTGTTCCCACCTGGCTTCGATCCCACCGCCGAATCGGCCGAGAAGACCCTGTGTTTCCGAGGCTTTTGGGCCTGGGCGGTACTGATTCTCCTGATCGCCATCTGCGTCGCGGTCTTCATGTGGCTGCTGCGCAAGTGCATCCAAGGTCCTGCCTACAGGACGGCCAACCGGATCGATGGCAAGGTGGTGATCGTTACCGGCTGCAACACGGGAATCGGCAAGGAAACCGTTCTCGAGTTGGCCAAAAGGGGCGCTCGGGTCTATATGGCATGTCGGGATCCCGGACGCTGCGAGGCCGCTCGCCTGGAGATCATGGATCGCAGCCGCAATCAACAGCTGTTCAACCGAACTTTGGACCTGGGCTCCCTGCAATCGGTGAGGAACTTCGTGGAGCGCTTCAAGGCCGAGGAGTCCCGGCTGGATTTGCTCATTAACAATGCTGGGATCATGGCCTGTCCCAGGACCTTGACGGCCGATGGCTACGAGCAGCAGTTCGGCGTCAACCATCTGGGCCACTTTCTGCTGACCAACCTGCTGCTGGATCGCCTGAAGCAGAGTTCGCCCAGCCGAATTGTGGTGGTCAGTTCGGCGGCTCACCTCTTCGGCCGGATCAACCGGGAGGATCTGATGAGTGAGAAGAAGTACGGCAAATTCTTCGGAGCCTACAGTCAGTCCAAGCTGGCCAACATCCTGTTCACCCGAAAGCTCAGCTCGATCCTCAAGGATACCGGGGTCACGGTGAACTGCTGCCATCCGGGCGTGGTTCGTACGGAGCTGAACCGCCACTTCGCGGGACCCAACTGGATGAAGAGCGTGCTGCAGACAGGCTCCCTCTACTTCTTCAAGACCCCGAAGGCGGGTGCGCAAACCTCGCTGAGATTAGCGCTGGATCCCAAGTTGGAGGGCTCCACCGGGGGCTACTACTCCGACTGCATGCGTTGGCCCCTGGTGCCCTGGGCCACGAATAGGGAGACCGCCGACTGGCTGTGGCGGGAGAGTGAAAAATTGGTGGGTCTTCCGCCACTGGAACCGCCGCCGCCGAACCAAACCCAAACCCAAAATGGCAATGGCACCCAGAACGGAAATGGTAGTGCCAATGGATCACGGGAAATGCAGTCCGTCGAAACAGTGGTGGTCAATCGTTCGTAGTTGTAGTCAAAGTCCTTGATGGAAGCGTTATATCCAGTGCAGACCTTCTTATTTATTCTTTACAATATTCCGTGTTTAAGTATCCTTGGAAAAGTGCCTTCACTATAAGCAGCTTGAGTCACTGATTTTCTTGCCTGCTCAAGGAAGTTTAAAGCTACAACCAGAAAATTGTTGATGTATAAAAATGTACGTTAAACGAGTCATACGTAAGTTCTATATTTTTTGTATTCCCAAATCATGTTCAATTGGGGTTTAAAGAACTTTCTCTGAGATTTAAGATTTGCAAGGGTACTTAATCTGATAATCGGAGTTTTTTTTCTAATACTCTTTTTTTTTTGTTCTGCACATTATCTTAAGCAAAAGAAAACCTATTAAAATAAAAATCAAACCTGACATGCAATCCTCCATTGGACTCTCCCGTATTTGTCCTTCATTCCCTTCCCCCTCGTCTTTGTCCAAAAAAAAAAATTAAAAAGAAACAGTAACAGTCAGCATAAAGGGAACAATTTACAACTAAGCGAAATCAATGAAAACGCTGACTGCGCTGCTGCGTTCTCTGCTGCAGCGGTCGCTGCCACTGCACTGCTAGGTGTGACGAAGGGGGAAATTGGGGCGAGGGGAGAATGAGAGGGAGAGAGCGTGAGTGGGTGAGGTGAGTAAGACAGGTGAGCGAGAGTGCGAAAGTGAGTGAGTCAGATAGTCAGTCCGTCATCTTTTTTGGCTTACAGTGGACAAAATGGATTTTTAAATTAAAAGAAGAAGAAGAAAATAATTCTTTTACACAATTTACTTCATTGAAATTCTTTTTTTGTTGTTAATAATTTCAAGAAATTTAAAAGGAAACAATTCAACATAAAATTTAATATGTTTTTGAATGAACTACAAGAAATTAATTAAAAAAGTCATTATTAAGTTTTGTTTATTTCACCCACTGTGCACCCGTTTGTTCATCCACATGCCATTAGCATTAACGAAAATCACATAAAGCAAAAAAGAGAAGGAGGGGATAAGGGGAGCAGTGCAATTAAACCCATGCATGCCCGCGGGGGTCGTTCTGGTGCGCTGGGAATCTGGGTGTGCCAAAAAAGTGAAAATCAAAAACACCAACTGATTGCGCCGCTTTTTAGACGATCAATTAGTGTCGGCAAATCTAAATGTAACGGTGTAATTTAGTTGGTTTTTAATGTGCTTGCTCTAAAAATGTACTCACATATACTCACTTTTACCTGCATTAAAAGGTACACATGTGTATATAAACATACAAATTGGTATACTCTTTTCCACCGTATTATTAATTTAAATTATGAATATTTAAAAAATAAAGGATCAAAATAACACTTTAATTCATTTTTACCTTTTTAATTGTTGACACTCTGGGGTTAAAGGAAGGGAAGCCGCTTCAATTACACGAAAAATGCAACGGAAATTTCCACTCGTGAATGAGTGTCTTTTGATTGCGTGCCACCCCTTTTTCCGCCCACTTGATCCCCCCAAAACCCTCAAAATACCCCCCTCAAACAGCTGTTGCACTGGCAAAACCTCGGCGCCAAGCAAATTTAATCGATAAGAGGCAGCAAATGAAAGGGGAGAAACGCAGGAAAAACGCTGTAACATGACGAAATCGTTGGAAAACGCTTGAGCTGCCAAAACAACAATAATATGTAATTGTTGGGGTTGGGTAATAAAGCAAAATTGAACAGGTAGGTATATTTCCAGGAGAACCATAACTCCAATGACCCTAAAATGCTATGGCATTTCATTTAAATTGAGCATTTTGAAATACCCAGAATTGTCTGGAAAATTCTGGAAACATTTTGCTGTGCATTCGAATAAGAGTCAATTAAATTTTAAATTGAAGCAATACATTTAAAGTCATTCATTAAATAAAGGCTGAAAGGAAAACCAATTTAAACCAGGAAGAAATTCAAGAAATTTTGAACAAAGAGCCAATGTTGATTTAGGAGAAATTTTAAAATAAACATTTAAAAATGCAAACAGATTTAGTTTACGGGGATTTATGGGACGTTTTTAGACTGAACGATATCTCCAAACTCGAAACTAACGTCTGTAAAAAATATTACGATTAGAGAAATTCAATCTATTCCTGACTATTCCTAGCTGTGGAAATAAAAAATAAATAAAATAGGGCCCTTATTCCCCGGGTACAACGATTTATAAGTCAGAATATGTACGATAGTGGTAATGGGCACTTATTATAACCTACCACAATTTTTAATCAGTTTATAAACATGGGTATAGCTTTATGTAGTTTTTTATTTGAGTACATATGTACATATGTATATTTTTTGTCACTAATGCCAAATACATTTATTGCATCTCTGATCAAAAACCGATGGTGGGTAACGGAACCCCTACATGTATAGTTAAATATTTTGTACTTTAAACCTCTGGACTTTCAGTGACGCAATTGACTTCAGATACATATTTATATTGCAATCTTAGCGCTCATGTGATTGTGCGTCATTAACCCTTTTTTACTCTAATCAAATCGTTGTCTGTACGTAGATTCTTCCAGAAAACGTAAAATTAAGAATAGACAATATCTATACTTCGAATGCCTTTGAATAGAATACAAACATTTCAGCAATAGGATAGATGTTGGTTATCTAATTATTGTTTCCTTTCCATAGCTTTTATGTTTTAGAAATAAATGTTAGATCGATAAATATTACAACTGGGCCCAAAAATAATAGTTAGAGGGTTAAACAAGCAAAAACTTTCCATTCATGGGAATGTGCTGAATGATCTTAAATTGACTGAGTCGGCTGAGTCAGTAACGAGCTTTTCCGACATCGCCGATTGATCGTCAATGGGCGATAATTGGTTCAAGGTCGTTTAAGGGGGGTGTCATGAAGCAACACTCCCGTTAATAAAGAGGCCGCGAAAAACTTAAAAACAAGAAACAAAAACGAGACGTGAAAAAAACAAAATGCCAAACTTTAAGTGCAATATTCACATATAGCCGCTCTAAATATAGATGCGGGGCGCTGGCGCATTTTTTAGTGGCCATTGATCGCAGCCAAATGCAAGCATTGCTTGGCGACGTGACAAATGCAGTGTCGAAAATAGTCTTGCCGATTTCCCTGACATCTTCCTCACGACAGGGCGTGACGGAGGAGATCAGGCAAAAAGTTTTATTGTGGAGCTGTTTAATTGAATATACAATACCCATTGAAGATTTCCTCATTAAGTTCATAGTTCATAATCTATTAAGTATTACGAACCATGACATACTTAATTACTGCAAAAAATGTTTAAAGCCATAAGGCAATTTATTTGTAACGTTTAATTGCCCTTTTGAATACGCGCAATTCCAACAGTGCTGCCACTCTTTTTTTGTTATCGATAACAGCGTAAATTGAGAGGCGGATGGAAACCAGTCACAAAAAATACCAAAACCTTCTAGAAAACGAAGAACGCGCTAAAAAATCCCTTGTTCGTCCACCATCTTGGCCGAAGTTGCCACAAAAGTAAAATCACGGAAAAAACTACCCGATCTCGCAAAAAATAAGTGTTGACTATTGTGGAAAAAAAGACCAGAGAACAGAAGTCCGCCAAAAAGAAGTTGCCAAAAGCAGGCGAAGATTGGAATACCGATTTTAGCTGCCCAAACGCTTCTGAATCCACATCCACCTTCGTTTCCAGCGGAGCGAAAGAGAGAGAACGCGTGGAAAGAGGCGCCGACAAGGAGGAGCCGTCAGCCGTTGTGAGAAAAGGGGTAAGCCTGACGAGTCATTCAAAACTTGGCGAACCCTGCAGCAGAAACCATTTCCAACGGCATTTTCAAACCATTTAAAGCAACATGAACGCCAAGCGTGTCAAGTACTCGACGGTGAAGGAGGAAATCGAGCCCGTGCTCATTCAGCACGATCCCGATGTAGAGGAGGAGGAGGCGGAGGAAGAAGAGCACCATGTCCTGCAGGAGCACGAGGACGACGGCCAGGAGACGCAGTACACTTACGCCTACACCACCGGTGAGGACGACGACACCGAGACCGCTGTGGTGACCCTCAGCGATCGGGAGCACGAAGCATTGACCAATGCCCAGGAGGTGATCATTGATGAGAACGGCCATGCGGTGACCCTGCAGCAGCTGGTCGAGAACAGCACCGTCGAGGAGGTGGAGACCATCGAGCAAGGCGATGGCACCCACACCATCCTGCGTATAGTGCCCAACATCCATGGCGAGGACGAGGAGGAGCCCGAAGAGGAGGAGGAACTCGAGGAGGGCGAGGAGCTCGAGCACGAGGACGATGAAATCGTAGCCGTGGAGCACGATGAGGGCGATGTTGAAGAGGAGGAAGACGAGGTGGGCTCCATAGTCTTTGAGGGCACCATTGACCAAGCGGAGCAGGATCCGCACGCCCGCAATAAGACCTTCTACTGTCCCAACTGCGGCAATTGCTACAGTGCCGCCGGTTCCCTGAAGCTTCACATGCGCGCCTGCTTGCGCCAAAGGAACGAGGTATCTGCCGAGGACCGCAAGTGTAAGGTCTGCAGCAAGGTCTTTAATTCGGTGGCCTACTTAAAAGAGCACATGATGCGTCATACGGGCGAGCAGTCGTTCCGCTGCACTCGATGCTATCGCAAGTTCATTGAGGAGGCCAAGTACACCGCCCACATGGAGTCGCACAAGAACCAGGACAAGCTGGAGGCCGAGGCAATGGCCCTGGCCGCCCAACACGGCGGCAAGAAGGTGGTTGTCAAGGAGTTCCAATGCGCCTTCTGCTCCCAGAACTTCACAGTGGTCTTTGAAGTGGGCCAGGTGAAGCGTCGCTACGCCTGCGATGCCTGCCGCGACAAGTATTCGAACGCGGAGGCTCTGCGTCAGCACAAACAGCAGGTGGTGGAGAAGCGCGAGTTCAGCTGCGAGCGCTGCAGCCGGAAGTTCGTCTTTGAGGGCTTCCTGCAGCGCCATCTGCCCACCTGTGATGGCAGCATCAAGCGTCGCAGGGACATGAAGTAGAGGCGGCCTCAACGTGACGGCAACTGGCGGCACCGGCAGCAGCTGGAGATAGATAGATACGAGCGGGAGGAGCAGCAAAACGAGCAGGAGTCGCCGCCGCCAGTGCGTTACGTTGTTATCAAGCAGGAGGATGTGGGGCAATAGGATCACCGGGATCACTTGGAGGATAAATATAAACCGCCAGGACCACTTAAATCATAACGTGAGGGAGTAGCTACTGGCCATCTACAGCTTGACAAAACACCATAAGCATATGCTTTTTTTTCGGGGCCTAAGCAGAAACATTCTTTCTTTAACCAATTCCAGAGGAGAGCGTCCATTTTGTTTACCTACATGAATACCCTATACATTTGTTATGATTTCATGGCCAGCTGGCTTTGAAGGATGCGTGATTTAGAGGAAGACGCACGTTGGACACACATACGGAAGGCGATTATGGCCAATGTATAGATATATATTACTTACTTTTAATTACGACTACTTAATAATAGAGCCCAAAATCACCCGCTATTGTGTAATAACCCCAAACCGAAATGCTGGTACACAAACGCGCGTCAAATTGATCTTGAATTTAATAAATCAATAAAACAAGATTCTTAAAAAGCTCTCACTTTTAACTCGTTCCAATTGCAATATAAATTGGCTTTTGGATTTAAAGTTATCCTACAGTTAAAAAAAAAAAAATCGTAATGGGATTCCCCGTACTTTGTCTACCCAAACCGTTTTTTGGCCATTTTTGAGCACTGCTTTGGGACAATTTTACAGATGGACGGCAACGCCCCAGTCGGCAACTTCTGGTAACCTCGGTGCTCCAGGAAAAAAAAACTCGGTATTTCAGCCAATCTGATATTATAATTGGATGATATTTAGCGCTTAGGCCATTCTAAAAACAAAAAAGGAGCTTTCACAATCGATGATTAGGCGTAGGCATTAACTAATCCCTTATATTAGGGCCAATTTAAGACCACAGCTTCAAGTGGGCACGCTTGGCGTAGGACTTCCAGTCCGAGTGGGCGTAGAACTCCTTGAAGATGGGTGTGACCAGGGTGTCCTCCGGCAGGGTCTTAAACACGGGCTCACCATACCAGGTGCCCACTTCCCAGCCGGGCACGTTCTTCATCAGCTCGGCCTCCTCGTCCCGATTGCGGCGCAGCTGGCGCAGGAACTCCCGGTCACGTTCGGCCACCAAAATGGGGAAGATGACGTTCTGGGCTGACCGCATTTCGATCTCGTCGCGTTTCACCTTCTTGGCGGTCAAGTAGTAGATGCCCAGGCCAACGGTCGTTACAACCACATAGGCTCCGATGGTGGTGAAGCCTGTGAAGGTTCATATCGCTTATGTACCACTGAATCCCTCAGACATCGCGGAAATAGCTTACCTGTGAAGTAGCTCTTGGGTGGCACACGAGCAAAGGGGATCTTCTTGTAGCCGCCCGGCGGAGGGAGGTCCTGTTTCGGAGGGCAATGCGGCACGGCCGTCGCCATGGTGAGTCCTGATCGGAGTCAAATATATCAGTCGGCTATAGCCTAAGCAAAATCATTACTTACGCTCGAGTTAAGGGGAAGAAACCAGTCGAAATTTAATGTCAAAAAAATGACGTTTTTGCATAACACCAGGGCAGTGTGACCGGAGCATTGAACTGTAATACAATCGATGATGTTCCGATACTATCGATGTTTCCAGAAATTTGGCAAAACATTTTTTAAATTCAAAGTCGACTTATTTATCAGCATAAAAACTGATTTTATGGGCTTTTAGTTTATTGAATGAAACTAAAACCCCCAATTCATATTTTCAATATTGTAAAGTGTTTAAATAGAGTTTTAAGATTCTCTAGTTCAATGAGTTACCTGTCAAAATAACTCAAATTATACATAACTTGTTTTCGTGTTCCCTTAAAAATTTAAGGCAAATCAAAGAAAATATTTTATTATATTAAGTATGTGTTTAGTACGCCTTTTAAGCGCTTTTACAAGGCATTGTTTTCGGCAACGTCGTTTTATGGCCAAAAAGTCAATTTGGGAAAACAAACCCTTTGGTCTCCACCGTATACGATCTAAACAGGAAGACGAGATTTCTATGCAACTAAGGGAACAAGAGCAGGAGCAGCCACAACCATCAAATCCAGAATCTTTTGAGGGAATACCTGACACGCAGCAAGATGAGCAAGTGAGTTTTTCAAATGGACCGCCCACGCGGTTCCTCCGCCGTCTTAGTCGGAAATCGAAATTGTATCGTTAACGTTATCGGTTTTGAACAAAATCAAATCATCATCAGCGAGGGATTCATAGCTGTAGGGAAATGGTTTCAAAGAGTTATGAATGAAAATATGTAAACTGTGGCAGCAAATGTGAAACTTGGTTTTATTTCAACAGAAACAGTTTAGAAAATGGTTAAGCTATTAAATTATTGCCAAGTGCGGGTGGTTAGGTGCCGTAGCAGCGAGCCCGAAGCCCACTCCTTTAGTGTAACCCATCCCCGATTGGGCTCTCTCAGAGAATTAATCCGTTTGCGAAGTCGTTTTCCCCTGATACCCGCTTGGGAAAACCTTGTTATCTGTTTAGCCGTTTGGGAAAAAGTTATAAATTGTTTTGGAAAACGTTATTTCATAAAAAGTTTCTGTTACTCAGATTGAAAAAGCGCCTCTAGCGGACGAGTTTGACAAACATTCAAAGATAACAACCGATGGTGGGATGATTGACTAAGTCCACGAAATCTATTCCGGTTTCTTTCGCACTTACGCGAAAACACCCTTTCACTCGCACTCATGTAGTGTGCAATAATGTACTGACGGATCCGTCGAGACTACCTTATACTTATTCTACCATGAGCGGGCGGTTTCAGTTGCCGCGCAGCTGCTAGACGAGAAAGAAATTCGCCGAGAGCCCCAAAAATAAGAACACTTCCAGAAAAAGGAAAGGCAATTTTTTTCTGTGTGTGTGTGTTTTTTCAGTGCGAGAGGGATTTTCAGCCAAGGCGAAAGTGTTTTTCTTCTACTCGCAGCCGTACGTAATCGCATTGCCATGTCGCTCTATCGCATTTCCGCACGCAAATTGTCCGAGGCACAGGTAAGTCTATCTTAATTTTTCCCGGTGTATAATTTCATTCCTGTGACTTCCTTGCGGATCCCACTTAAACAATTTTCCACCGAGTTCCCTTTTAGAAACGATCGTAAAGTGTGTCGCCTTTTGTTTTTTGTTTTTTTTTTTTTATCATACTCCTACAACTCCTTCCTTTAGGGTCTCTTCTTCTTCCACGCACGTCGCGCTGGAATAAAAAGAAGAATTTCCAGCCATGTGCTTGCGATTAAGAAACTTTACTCTCTTCATTGTTGCTGGCAAATGATAAGTGCTACTCAGTATGTGTGTGGGCTATGTGATTGTTCTAATACATTACATAATCGCCAAATGAAATTCGCCTAGCTATTTTTTTTTTGGCAACATCGAAATGCCTCTATAAATAAATTTCTTTCTTGTATTGGGGGTTTAACGAACTCATCTTTACGGGCCGCCCAAATTGTTGTTGTAGAGTTTGGAAAATTTCCACAAAACCCGGCTTGAAAATTTTGTTGGCCTGATTCTTGTAAATTTACAACAACAAAAACAAATACAAATGCCACGGCGCAGAGCGCGGGAAAGAGAGTAAGATATAGAGAGAGGGGAAAACAAAGAGTACTTTTTCTCTCTTTTGTTCCGTTTCCGTGCGTGTCATATTGTTGTTTTTGTTACCAAAAAAAGATACACTATCTCTTTCTTTCAAACGAAGAAGTGTCCGCCGAATGACCTTAAAGCAAAAGGAGGAGGAGCACGCCCACCCACCCAACGCCCACCGGCTATGCACATCTGCAAGTGTATAGATTGCATAATGCTAAAAAAAACATGAGCGAAACAGCAAAAACTGCGCTATGATAATTGAAAAATCAATACCACCAACAAACACACACACACAAAAAAAAGGGCTCGCAGGACGAGCCTCCTTTTGGCTTTTCGGGGGTGTTTTTCCTTTTCTTTATCCTGTGTTGGATAATAGGTACACGAAAAAAAATTCTAATTCAAAATGTATAAAAATCTTTCAGTCATTTTGACATGATTTGTATCTGATAAATTCAGTTCAACATTCTCTTAGCGAAAAAACACTTATTCTTATAAAAATGTCCTAAATGAATTCTAAACAAATTGTTAGCAAATTCGTCAAAATACATTTTTGTTTGTTTATGTTGAAGTACGTTTTTTTCGGTGTAGATTTGCGAAATGTTATGCACACTCTCCAGATTCTTCTTCATCCTGTTCTGCAGACGCTGGCAGATTGCCAAAAAAAAAAAAAAAAAACATCGCTGACGTCGGCGGCAGAGGCGGTTTATTTTATTAAATTTTTTTTAATGCTATAAATGTTAGACTAAACACGGGTATAAGTAATTTGTTTGTTGCCTACTCTTAGTTTTTGGTAATTTTGGGCAATCAATTAGCATTTTTTTTTGTTTGATATTTTAGCAAAATAAAACTACTGTTGTTTTATTTGCCTTTGACGTACCTTGACGAAATGGCAACACGCGAAATTTTTTATCGCCCCTCCGCTAATACGTCACAAATCGTGACGATTCTTACGTAACGCTTGCGGCCCTTTGGCAAAAAAAAGATAGTTTTTTTTTTTTTTTAAAGCAAACTGAAAGAGAGTAGAAAGTTAAGAGAGTACTTCTCTATAGAGTCGCACAAAAAAATAAACGGAAATGTAAACAGATGATCAAGCGATTGCATAAGAGCAAATGCATAATTTATACGCGGCATACACATTTGTATATTAAGTTTTACGGCCGCAGCTCGTTTTTATTTTTTGATTAGGGAATCTAAATCGGGATTTTATGACCGGTGGGACAAAGCTCAAGTGGACCTTTTCCACCTGGATTACCACCAATCCCGAGTTCTAGTTATGCGCAAGATAACGCCATTAGCGGGCGTCATGGAAAGTTTGAGGACCCCGAGATAAAGAAGGGGGCGTAAATCCTCCCACCGATGGGGGCGTGTGAGGTGAAAACTTCCACCCACCACTTGGTTTTGCCCGCAAGAGAGGATTACATAAATGCACACATTAACGAAACCATATCAATCGTAATAAATTCTGTTTAAGTCAAAACCTTTTACCATCCAAAATTTATTGTCGGAGTAATAAATAATTAATAAAACGCCATTTAATACTATTTCTTATCGACTGAATTATGTTTGCCGTTATCTACTACGGTTTTTCTCTTCAACGTACATTTTATTAAGCAAATTTTCACATTGTGTGAAACATTTGATAAAATAATTTTGTCTGCTATCAGCAGTACCAACATTTAATGCTGTTTAATTTACATATTCACTTACGACCGCAGTGCCGCAATTTACAATAAAGTATGTATTTTAATCTAAGTATTATGCAATTTAATCTGGTCAGTAAAAATGTCACCTTGTCATTGCCTAACCGTAATGAATGCATTGTAATTGCCCTACTCTAATGGGTTAAAATACAGCATTGCATTGCTCCTAATAGTGCTGCATTATTATATCATATTTTTAAAATAATCTAAAGTCGGTGAGGAAATCAGCAGACACTGCACGTCGATGGTTTCTGCTCGTGCATCATTTGTCTCATTCTTCAGTTATAGCCGCCTCGATCCGCAGTGCCCCGCCCACTGACTATAGCCCCCTCGATTCTGGGCTGATAAGCGTGACAAATTTGCGCTGGGCACATGATCGGTAGACGTCGCCATACGTATATAGCTGATAGCGCCGACACGCAAAGCCCCCCAGTTGGTTGGTCGGTTGGTCGGTTGGGAATATAAGGTGTTAACTCAATCAGTTTCAGTTCGCTCGTGATAAAAAAAGAGCCAAATATTTGTGTTTATATTTAGGCGATTTCGCAATGCGCAATTGAGCAGGGATCAACTCGCAAATTTGTCGCCAGAAAAACACACATAAGCACAGTACGCCAAGGCGGGCTAATGGATGGGCCAAAAAGATACAAAATGTGTCTATATCTGAGATACAAATGTATCTATATCTGAGTGATTTATTGGGCAGCAGGAGGGAAAAAAAGGAACATGCAAATGAATTACTGTTTACGATACATTCCTCTCAACTTCCCGCCAAAGCCTCGTTATGATCTTGGACTTAGTCAGAGTTTTACAGCTCGTAAATGACTAAAGGCGAAAAATCCCACCCGGCAACAACATTCTGAACAGCCTGAACAGTCTGAAGTTTGTTCAACTGATCCGATCCGAACGGGATTACGTCACGCGGCACTTTCAATGCGATGCGATTGTGTGATGTGTACTTACTTTCGGCGTCTGTGGCGGCAGATACAATATAAAAGGAGGGGGGAGGGGGGGGATGTATAGAGAACAGCGAATAGCGCACTAAACTTAATTAAGACGATTAACTTGGACAGAGTTGAACGGCGCTGCTGCTGCTGCAATTATTAGACAACTGACAAGCGTTCTCTAATAGCAGAAATCATCAAACCGAATTGAAAACGTCACGCGAGGCAAGGAGAGCCCAAGGTTCTGAGATCCACCACCCCACCAATCCCCCTGCCCCCTGCAATCCCCATTTACCGCGAGATCAAACAGTTTTCGTGACGATCATTCAAATGCCGTGCAATTGAACTACAGTGATCGCTCCGAAATTGAAACTTTTATCGTTGCATGGCGTTAATTGCAAGTGCAAGCCCATTGTTGCTTCATATATATTATATATTCCCTTGTGTAATCTGAATATGGAACAGATCTCCGATCATAAATGCTACTATTAAATTTAATCTCAGTTCGCAAACTCAACTAAGCTTGCGGTTCAAGGGATCACTGTAGTCTGGGTGTGTGAGAACACTCGATTCCATCTCCACTGTCGGGGTCACCGGCGGCTCACCTCGATGACAACTCTGCTGTTTGGTTCTCGAGGCTTTCCCGGCTTTTCCAAGGTCCGCCATTTTCGCAATAGGAAACTTTTATTATGAGCTATAAATACTTGTGTTGATTGCATAATTCGAGCACTGGGATCGTTCGATCCAGATGAGGATTGTCTGGGGCGGCGAAAGGAAGTCTTCGGTCGGCGGGAAACACGCGACCCCAAATCAAATCTCTTCCTTGATGACAACGCAACTGCGACTAGGCGACTAGTTAGACATGCGATAATTGCCGGCGCGTGAGACCTTGAAATTCATTTGGAACGCTTGCCAACTCGGGGGTTTCTGCTTATCAGCAGATGAACGCTCGCCTCTGCGCCAGATAATGAGCCCCTCCAATTGTATACAAATGTAGTATGCTCTTCTCGGCTAAGGCAGAACTTAAGGCCCATTTGAAGTACCCCCCGAAAAAAAAAAACAATAATGAAATAAAGCATAGCGATAAGATACAGTGATGCGTGGTCATTAGGTTTCGCTTCGATTGGAGCTGTTATGCAAGCCTTTCTCCCAGCGATACAAACCGCACACCTGACAGCTCAATTAGCATTTTCTTCGACGGCAGTGTGGTATTTTTCTTTGCGGTTTGCACCGGCAACAAAACGACGTTTTTCACCTTTTCTTCGGTTTCCGATGTCACACTACTAACTACTACACTGCAGAAAATTGGGGATATGTTAAAGTGATTTGAGATTGTTTTTGAGTCTACTTGTCAAGTAGTAATTTTCCTATTCACCCGAGCAATTTCTTTCGCCCAGTGCTGCTTTTGTGGTAACGAAAAGCGACATTTGCGGTTGGCAACCGACGCGGCCACCCGCCTTCTTCCTTTTAGACCGATATCAACCTGTTTGTCGGTACGCTACTCCTCTATTATCGGCCATTAATATGCACGTCATGCTGGCTAAAACGTTGCTCTTTCTTTTATCAATGAAATCGGAGCTTTATGCTGCGGGGAAACCGGTCGCAATCAAATGGTCCGCAAATCATGCAATTCAATTTGGAGGCGGCGCCACAAGTTCACTTGGGTAATTGAATTTGTTGACCCACTGGCCGCGCAGCAGAGTAAAAAAAAACACGAGGGGTATTGTGGCTGGGTTTTTTTTTTTTTTTTGTTGGGGAAACGACGGTGCTCCTCCGGCTGTCAATCAAAAGCAAATCGCACTTTGCGCTCGCCGAGCAGCGGATCGGTATTGAAATTGGACTCTCGGGCTCCAAACGCAGCTCGGAATTCCATTTCCATTCCGTTTCGTTTTGTTTGACAAAATGCCAACGCGTGGCATAGATCACCAGTGGCGTTTCCAGAGGGGGCTGCCAATTTGGGTTTCAAATTAGAGTGTTCAAAATGTATGTGTGTGTAGTCACTTTCTCTCGAGATTTAAAACCCTAAGAAGTGAATAATATTCAAAGTTGTTTAAACCCTTTTAGGTGATACAAGCCTATGTTTTTTTTTTCGATTTGTATTTTTTGCGTGTTCGGATCTCCCACCAAAAGACTTCCGAAAAAAGCAAAAAAATATTGACGCGACTTGGTGGTTGGCAGGTGTTGTGGGCGGTTCGTTGAACCTCAAATTAAGTTGGATTGAATTAAATGCCGGCAGCTGTTTGTGCCACACACACAGTTCGTTGAGCCGGGGAACTAGTTCGTCGTTGAGTCACGACATTAATGTTGACATAACGTGCGAATGTCGAGTGCCGAGTGCTGAGTGCAGCTTTATCAGATCGCCGGAGCTCAGACTCTCGCACAGACGGGGTATTATTTATTTATATGCGTTTCGCCTTGTACTTGAAAGCGCCGCTCAATGACGGACAGAAAACAAAAAAACAGCCGATTGCAATCGATAACATTCGATTCGGAAGTGCTTGTTAGTTGTAGTTGTCAGTTGGCTAAGCAAATTAGCGGGATTTGTTTTCGTTTTTGTGCTTTGGGGGCTTACATATGTCAAATGTACCGTGATTTATGCGGTGAGACTCTGATTTATTCGGCAACTTCCTTAGGACAGTTTAAAAGTTAAACGTTGTTTTGTTTTTCCCTGAATAAGCTCAAATCGTTTTGAACAGTTATTATTTACAGATTAAATGCTTTGCTTAAGAAACCCATATTCTAATCGCTATTTAAACTGCCTTCTTTGTTAAGCCAGGCTATCAAAATTTTCTTCAAGACTCAATACGCATTATTGAATGTTATCTTTAGTGATTATTTGTTTGGGATCGTTTATTTGAACAGAGAACAGCAATTGGAACAGAAAATAGTTCAGCTGGTCCGCTGATCGGGGCACCTCAAAATAACTGCCCATTTAATTACACACTCAAAATAACCAGCAAACTGGGTTTCTTCGATAAAAAACAAGCTTGTAAAACCGAACAAAAAGTCCCCCACAACAAAGTGATATCCCCATCATGTGATTCACCAACTTTCCATATTCCACATCGAAAGTCCCCCAAGAGGAAGCCCCAAACTCACTCGAATGTCTCACCTTCGACCAATTGCAGAAACTGCCAAATGTGGGAGCCTATGTGCGCATGATCGCCGCCGATGGACGCAGCCTGCGCGACGTGCTGGCCGCCAAGGTGCCCCAGGAGCAGGAGCGCGTGAAGAACTTCCGCAAGCAGCATGGCGCCACCAAGATGGGCGAGACCACCATCGACATGATGTACGGCGGCATGCGCGGCATCAAGGCCCTGGTCACCGAGACCTCGGTGCTGGATGCGGACGAGGGCATCCGCTTCCGCGGCCTCTCCATTCCCGAGTGCCAACAGGTCCTGCCCGCAGCCGACGGCGGCACCGAGCCCCTGCCCGAGGGTCTCTTCTGGCTGCTGCTGACCGGCGAGGTGCCCACCAAGTCCCAGGTGCAGCAACTCTCCCGCGAGTGGGCCGACCGCGCCGCCCTGCCCCAGCACGTGGTCACCATGCTGAACAACATGCCCACCACTCTCCATCCGATGTCGCAGTTCGCCGCCGCCGTCACCGCGCTGAACCACGACAGCAAGTTCGCCAAGGCCTACTCCGATGGTGTGCACAAGAGCAAGTACTGGGAGTACGTCTACGAGGACAGCATGGACCTGATCGCCAAGCTGCCCGTCGTCGCCGCCACCATCTACTGCAACACCTATCGCGGCGGCAAGGGCTCCCGCTCGATCGACTCCAACCTGGATTGGTCGGCCAACTTTGTGAAGATGCTGGGCTACGACAACGCCCCCTTCACCGAGCTGATGCGTCTCTACCTGACCATCCACAGCGACCACGAGGGCGGCAACGTGTCGGCCCACACCGTTCACCTGGTGGGCTCCGCACTCAGCGATCCCTACCTGTCCTTCGCCGCCGGCCTCAACGGTCTCGCTGGTCCCCTGCACGGCCTGGCCAACCAGGAGGTGCTCGTGTGGCTGCGCAAGCTGCAGAAGGAGGCTGGCAACAACCCCTCGGAGGAGCAGCTCAAGGAGTACATCTGGAAGACCCTCAAGTCCGGACAGGTGAGCGAATCCAAATATTCAAAAAATACAATACATACACATATGTATGTATGTATTCAGATGCACGTACTAGAAAACATTCAAAACAAGAATAATGGCCATCCACTTGGCTGATATATATTATATATATATATATATATATATATAATATATATGTTGTTGCGAGCAGTTCTGTTGGAGGAATAATATTGTATTTTTAGATACGCCTTAAAGAGTCTGCTTGTGGACCAGATCCATTTTTGTTCTTTGATTGAAAACTCTTATAGCTATATTTTAATAATTATTACGTTGCATTTCAATAAGAATAGTAATATGTAGATTCAAAATTCACTGTGATAGAATTCCGAATAGTTATGGAATGTATCGAATACGGAGAATCTGATCGTGATTATAATGATTTCGTACGATTTGCGTACCTTTCAGGTGGTTCCCGGCTACGGACATGCCGTGCTCCGCAAGACCGATCCCCGCTACACCTGCCAGCGCGAGTTCGCCCTGAAGCACCTGCCCGATGACGAGACGTTCCAGCTGGTGTCCAAGATCTACAAGGTGGTGCCCCCGATCCTCACCGAGACCGGCAAGGTGAAGAACCCCTGGCCCAACGTAGACGCCCACTCCGGAGTCCTGCTGCAGTACTACGGCATGAAGGAGATGAACTACTACACTGTGCTGTTCGGCGTCTCCCGCGCCCTCGGCGTCCTCGCCTCCCTCGTCTGGGACCGCGCCCTCGGCCTGCCCATCGAGCGCCCCAAGTCCTTCTCCACCGATCTGCTGGTCAAGATGGTCCAGAAGTAAGCCTCTGGACGAGCGACCGGTTGGGGAGCGGCAGGAGCTGGAGTAGCCGGAGTAGCTGGAGTAGCTGGAGTTCAATGAAGGATGCAGAGCCTGTAGATTGTAATAGACGAGGGACGAGAGAGAGAGAGAGAGAGAGAGGGATTCGATTAGATTGGATTGGATTGAATTATATTGGGATTGGATATCGATTTGACGACGCTGATATTGAGAGAGAGTTGGATACGATGTTTAGTTGAGGAGAACTGCAACCAAATACGAACCAATAGGAAAAACCAGAAGAAAACTGCAACACACTGCAACCGCAAAACAATAAGTTGGTAATAAGGCAGAAAACTTATTTTTAGTAGTAAAATAATTAACGAAAAGATACCAACAAGCAACCACTGAATTAATTGTATAAGCTATATATATTGATTGACTATATATATAGGGACAGGCAGAGAGAGAAAATCGTTTGCGCCTATTGTTTATGTTCAGCATTTCCCCCCATCCGAACACCACCCAACCCCCCACGAACCTCCCACTCCCACTCCCACTTTTTTTTAGTTTGTTATGTTTTCATCTTAGCCGATCGACTAACCAAGACCTTAATGCTGTATCCCCCGCAGTGCCCCAAATGACCCACCAGCACCTCGCCTGAAACCCTGAAAAATTACTAACTGGATAACAGTTTACTTTTAATTTAACTATAATTTATTACGCAAACAAGATACAAACGAGAAATACAATACAAACAAAAACAAGTGTAAAGAAACCAACAAAAACATTTAAAAAACTCAATAAAAAAACAGAACAATAAATAATATAACGCATAGAGAGTAGTTATTGCCAACTCCCCCAGTTTGGAGGAGGAGCTGCAAAAGCGTTCGTTCATTGCCGTGCAAGTGTATTCGGGAAAGCAAACTCAAAATAAACCTTAGCAAACTTGAATCGAAGAGCGTGTCTCCATTTTCAGAGCGAAAGGGTGCGAAAAGTCGACGAAAGGTGACGCGAGTGCCGAAAATCGAGCAATCGAGCAAACTGCCAGAGTGACTGAAGTTGCACTGGCAACACCGGTGTGACCAAACCTCCAAATGACGCACGGACTAGTCACATCATTTCAATAGGTGAAATCTTAATATAATTTCGCATTCCCCACAAAGTGAAATTAAATAATTCGGGGCTCAAGGGCCAGATGTCACCAGATTCTTTTTTAATATAACTGGAAATGTGCAAATTTATTGTTAAAATAAGCAAGTATACTCGGAATAAAATAAATTTAACATTTCTCATACAACACAATTTGAAAGTTACTTATTTTGGAGGCAAATCGAGCCATTTCGGATAACTAAAAGTATTAAAATTAGCAGTTTTAAAAATATTTATTAGGTTACACATGCACATACTGTTGGTTAACTGAATACCGGGGCAATAAAACTGCTCACTACATAAAATAACAAGAAAATGAAAATACAAAAAAATAAATAAATAAAGTATGGCGAACTATCGCTGGTTCCTCGGATCAATGAACTCCCCCATCTGGGTTAGCGGCAGTCCCACTGTGAATGTGGAAGTGCTGGCGTTTAGTTGATCGCCATTTTTGCAGCGAACGCAGGGCCCCAGAAGGCGGAGCATCCGACTGCCGAGGGTGGTCCTTCTTGTTCTGCCATGGACTTGGGCTTGGATTTGCGACTGCGTCATCGATTGGATGAGCAGGTGCGCCTGGCTGTCGTTGATGCTCTGGTTTTGACTCGTATCCTGGCTAAGGTTGATGCCCAGCACCTCGATGACCCGGTTGTGACGCTTGTCAAAGTAGTAGATGCCCTCGCGGTGCACCCACTGCCTGGACGAGGGCCTCTCCTCCTCATGACCCTCGCATTCGATGGCCGAGTCGTTGCTGCTCGGCTGACTTGTTTCGGAGCTATTCGGCGCCGGATCTCTTCTGACCAGTGCCAGTGACGAGGAGCCTCCACGAGTGTCCCCTTTAAAGAAAAGGAAACAATGGTAAGAAAGTCGTGCTGTAGTTCTGATTTTGTTCTAGTGTCCCCGACCCTTACCGTTTCCACTGGCATCTGCTTCAGTGCTGTCGTTGCTGAAGTCCAAGGACTTAGGTGGAATTGCCAACTTGGACTGGCCGGGATTTTGAGGGATTCGAACGGTGGGCGCTGCACTAAGCAGAACCATCTCGATGGAGCCATCGCTGCTGTTGTAAGTCAGATCGCCAGGAGTGGCCACTGTATTTACGGCGGAGAAGGGATCTGTTTGGGTGGCCTGGTCAATGCCCGCCGGCGGCCAGAAGTTCAAGGACCTTAGCGAGTGACTCTGGTGCCGCCTTAGTTTCTGCTGACAGTCGCTAAGCTCCGACCGCAGTGCATCATAGTTAAACTTCATACTAAGCATTTCCCCTATCTTCTCGTCTAGGCGGAATTGCAACTGGTCCTTGTACGTCTGAAGGGTCTCCTTGTCCTGCTGCAGGCTCTCCTTCTCCTGCTGCAGCACCTCGACCTCGGCCAGCAATCTCTCATAACTGCAGCTGGATGTGGAGTTCGAATTGTAATTCGAATTGGAGTTGGAGTTACAGTTGTAGTTGTAGTGGGAGTTATCCAGTTTAAAACGTTCACCGGCATCGACCCGCCGGGAATTGGGCGTCAGGTATTCCGGCATGGAACTATGCCTCTGGAATCCGGAAGCCGACGCATTTCGCCTCTTTTGATCCTGGGCATCAATATCCGCTATGTACTGGCGCACCTTGCTTTTCACGTGCTTGTAACGGCGTTTCGTGTACGCCGAGTGGATGTCCTGGTAGGACACCGCCTTGCTGCTTCGTGCGCTGCCCAATGGAGCTTTTTCCCCGACCCCATGGCAGCCATCAACTTTAGAAATTAAACAATTGTAGCTCGATACATTTATGGATTTTTTTTTGCAAGTTATGTGACCGCTCACCTTCATCGGGATCATCCAACTCATCCTCCTGATCGCGACCCACAGGATCACTTACACACGTTTTGTCGCTCTTGTTGGCCACATCCACATCGCCATCCGCATCCGTGTAGCAGATATCCAAAAATGGCGCCGGATTCCGCTCGAAGGCGGCCGGCTGATGGTGCTCCGAAAACCAAGTGTTCCTAGTGCCCAAACTACTCAAATTGTTTAGCTGGTCAAAGAGCTCGTCTGAGGGAAAGCTCTCGTCCTCGATACTCATATTATAAACACAAAACGCAGAAAAAAACAGGAAAAAGGACACAAGACCACAAAGGTTGCAATGACATTTCGATTTTAGTTGGAGCGGGAAAGGCACCGTTACTTTTTGGCTTACTGGAATGTCTGCGATGTGACCCTTAAAAAGTTAAGCGATTGCCGTTTTTAAATATATATCGATATATGCTTAAGCAGGGAGAACGCTTAAAAGTATCAACGCGTCTGAATTTAAGCCAGAAAAAATCGATAGTTGGTCACACTTGACGTTACATCATGTGCATTTTAAAAAAAATTATTAACTAAATTTTGTCGAATTGCCGCATTAAAAGCTTGATTAGCGCCAGGAACTGAATTTGGACGGCCGCGCGGGGGAAATGAACGGTTATTGGATATTTAAGCACCGCCTTCCACGCATTTGCATGTAAAAACTCAGAAGCTCAGAAGCAACAACAAAAAACCGGAGAGGAAAATAAATAAAAATATATAACAAATACAAATATGAGCGAGAGTGGCAATAATCAGGTTAGTTGGTGTAGCATGATGGAGCGAGAGGGGGATTAAACATTATCAATTCGATTTACGCACACAAATGTAAACTGTCAAAAAGTAACAAAAAAAACATTAGATTATATTAATTTTGGCCTGTATTTGTTGCAGCGCAATTGGACCACTTGTATGTGTGTGTGCGATTTGCGTTGCGGTATTTTCATTTTTGCAATATACAGTGCACGTTCGAAAAAGTCTCCCAAACTCTTGTCAGATAAAACACATGTTCTAAGGCAGCAAAAAAAAAAATTCAATACCCGAAACTACATATAAAATATTTCGTGTTCTGTGAACTCCCTCACGATGATTTAAGGATTTTACCAAATGACGAAATGTAATCACTTAAGCAATTTTACTTTATATATATTTTAAAAGATATTAACCCTTTCGAGAGTGCACTGTATCATTCATTACGTTTTTCCTTTCGTTTTGCCTTTGGTGTCATAATTTTTCATTTAATTTCGTTTCAGTTTTGTGACGTTGATTTTTGAGCAAGACCCACAAAAGGCAAATTACACAAGAAACTAAGATATTTGAGTTTTGAGTTTTTGGTGGAGGAAGAAACCGAATCCCTAGGCTGCATACCTTTTGTTTTGTATCGCAATTCTCTTCTTCCCCAAACCAACTGCAAAACCCACCAAATCTTGAACCGGATCCCGAAATGGCGGCCTACTTGAACCGCACCATCTCGCTGGTGACCGGGCAAACGGGCCCCACCGACGACGACGACCGTCACTCCTCGTCGACGGACACGGTGGACAAATCCGGACCGGGATCCCCGCTCTCGCGACTGAACTCATCGCTGCAACCGTCGGGTTCGACGACGGCCGCCAATCTGCTCCCGGAATCGCGGCTCTATCAATCCAACGACAAATCTCCACTCCAGATCTTTGTGCGCGCCAAGAAGAAGATCAACGACATTTACGGGGAGATCGAGGAGTACGTGCATGAGACGACCACGTTCATCAATGGTGTGTAGAATGGCGCAAAAATAACACCCCAACTAATTTTTTCAACCCTTCCAGCCTTGCATGCGGAGGCGGAGATCGTGGACAAGGCGGAGCGAGAGCTGTTCGAGAGCTATGTGTACAAGGTGGCCGCGATTCGCGAGGTCCTGCAGCGGGATCACATGAAGGTGGCCTTCTTTGGGCGCACCTCCAACGGCAAGAGCTCCGTGATTAATGCCATGCTGCGCGAGAAGATCCTGCCGAGCGGCATTGGACACACCACCAATTGCTTTTGCCAAGTGGAGGGCAGCAACGGCGGCGAGGCGTATCTCATGAAGGAGGGATCCGACGAGAAACTCAATGTGGTGGTAAGTCCTGTGTCTTCAGATCACTTATAGAAAAATGTTTCGACTAATTTGCCCTAATTCCAATCGCAGAACATCAAGCAACTGGCGAACGCCCTGTGCCAGGAGAAGCTCTGCGAGAGCAGCTTGGTGCGCATCTTTTGGCCACGGGAACGCTGCAGCCTGCTACGCGATGACGTTGTCTTTGTAGACTCACCCGGCGTGGATGTGTCCGCCAACCTGGACGACTGGATCGACAATCATTGCCTCAACGCCGATGTCTTTGTACTGGTCCTCAATGCAGAGTCCACGATGACGCGTGCCGAGAAACAGTTCTTTCACACCGTCTCGCAGAAGCTGAGCAAGCCCAACATCTTTATCCTGAACAATCGCTGGGACGCCTCGGCCAATGAGCCCGAGTGCCAGGAGTCGGTAAGGTCTTCCAGGAAGCCCCTTAAGTCGGTCAAAAGTCTTTACCAGAACCAGTATTTCCTTTATTTGGCAAGGCTAGGTATTCATGCCCACAAAATCACGGTTTTGGTAGCATTAATACTGGGCGCGATCAAATCATTGCCATCTCTCAAATCTCTTGTATGCCCGTTGTCTCTGTGTTGATGTCTGTCTTTTATTTTCGTTTATTACCCAATCAACCAATCTATCAATCAAACAACCAACTACCCACTGTAATCAACGCCAGGAACTGGCTAAGGTAATGAATGAGCTTGCTTGGTCCCCGTAAACCCCATCCGCTCGTGAATATCCTTGTTTACTCCCCCTTCTTGCCTTCTTGGTTGTCCTGATCGTCCTGATAGCTATAATCGGTAGTTACAATGGCTTGTTTTGGTAATTTCATAGGTCAAGTCCCAGCACACGGAGCGCTGCATCGATTTCCTCACCAAGGAGCTGAAGGTGAGCAACGAGAAGGAGGCCGCCGAAAGGGTGTTCTTTGTTTCCGCCAGGGAAACGCTGCAGGCGCGCATCGAGGAGGCCAAGGGCAATCCGCCGCACATGGGTGCGATTGCCGAGGGATTCCAGATCCGCTACTTCGAGTTCCAGGACTTCGAGCGCAAGTTCGAGGAGTGCATCTCGCAGAGTGCCGTGAAAACCAAGTTCCAGCAGCACAGTTCGCGGGGCAAGAGTGTTTCCGGGGACATGAAATCGATGCTGGACAACATTTACGAACGGATCACCATATTCCGCAACCTGAAGCAGGACCAGAAGAACCTGCTCACCGAACGCATCCAGGGCACGGAGACGCAGATGATGCAGGTCACCCGGGAGATGAAGATGAAGATCCACAATATGGTGGAGGAGGTCGAGGAAAAGGTGTCGAAGGCTCTCAACGAGGAGATCTGGCGTCTCGGCGTTCTCATCGACGAGTTCAACATGCCCTTCCATCCGGAGCGTCTGGTTCTCAACATCTACAAGAAGGAGCTGAATGCCCACGTGGAGAGCGGCCTGGGCAGCAACCTGCGTGCCCGCCTCTCCATGGCGCTGGCCATGAACGTGGAGTCCGCCCAGACGGAGATGACCGACCGCATGCACGCCCTGGTGCCCAACGAACAGCTGCTGGCCACCAGCACCAAGATGGTCGTGCGCACCCAGCCCTTCGAGATGCTGTACTCGCTTAACTGCCAGAACCTCTGCGCCGACTTTCAGGAGGATCTGGAGTTCAAGTTCAGCTGGGGCATTGCGGCGATGATCCAGCGCTTCACCGGCAAGGTGCGCGAGCGCAGCAAGAAGGGCCAACCGGCGCTGGTCAACCGACAGAGCAGTATTGGGGTGCGTTGGGGAACGATGATTGTGCCAGCTCCATTCCTAACTCAAACTCTGCCTTCTCCTCCCTACAGCACAGCGTTTCGACGCCCGCCACTACGCCCGTGGAGGCGACTCCCGTCTGCCTGCTGCCCACGCCCGGAGTGGCTGGCATCACGCCCGAACAGCTGTCGCTGATCTCCCGCTTCGCGGTGTCCTCGATTGGATCCCAGGGCACTGTTGGCGGCCTCGTCGTCGCTGGCATCGTAAGTTTCGCTGCTCCTGACGTCTGTTCAACGCCTCTTGTGCTTACGAATGCCCAAGCAGGTGCTCTTCAATAGCTATGTGCTGAAAACTCATCACTTGCAGATGCTGAAAACGATCGGATGGCGCGTGTTGGTGGGCGTTGGCGCCCTTTACGGCTGCATCTACCTGTACGAGCGCCTGTCGTGGACCAATTCCGCCAAGGAGCGCACCTTCAAATCGCAGTACGTTCGCCATGCCACCAAGAAGCTCAAGATGATCGTCGACCTCACCTCGGCGAATTGCAGCCACCAAGTTCAGCAGTGAGTATATTGATTGCGGAACTGTCCTGAACCGCTCAAACACAACACGATCCTTCCACTCCAGGGAGCTTTCGAGCACCTTTGCCCGTTTGTGCCGCACCGTTGACACCGCCACCACGGACATGAACGACGAGCTGAAGACGCTCGACTCGCAGCTCAACATCCTGGAGGCGAACCAGAAGCAACTGAAGCTGCTCCGCAACAAAGCCAACTACATACAGAACGAGCTGGACATCTTCGAGCATAACTATATATCACCGCAGTAGGAGGGGGAAGAGTGGAGGACAGACGGGGCATCCAATGCGATCAGAAGCTTTAAACTTGACTCACGAATCCGCAAGGGTTGATAACCAATAATCAGAAAATGGGAAAACATAGAAATCAAGGAAAAGCAAACAACCAAACGACTACAAAAACAGTAATTGACTACGTTGACAAACTCTCAGTTTTTTCCTATTTTTATGTAAACGCATGATTGGCACCTCTTTATTCTGTTTCGTTAAAACAAATTATTGTTGTTGTTGACCATTATTTTATTTCCTACCTATTTTACACAATGTGAGGATTATTTAATTTTTTTTAACGATCGTTGACCCCGAATACAGACGTATACACACTGTGAACATGGCCGGGTGCCATAGAAAGCAAGTTGAGGTGAATTATATTACAAGCCCCACTAGAAAGCGAACGTCTCTTATTTTCCCTCTATTAGAGAGTCTTGTAGTTATACATATTGTTTTTGAATTGGATTCTAGAATAATGAAATGGCGCTGTGGGGTAATGCAAAAACGATATAAATAGTTGTTGTTATTGCAAAACAGAGAGATGATTCATGAACGAAACGAAATAAAACATATTTATGTAAGAAATATAGTTGTTTTCATTAACTGGGTTCCCAGAATTTGTTGTACTTATTGCTGCCTCCTTAAATGCGGCATCACAAAAGTGAAAGAGATAAAAAATGGACACCCATCTATAAACTTGGACAGCATTTCCTTCCCCAAGCAAACTAAAAATGGATTTCAATCTCCATTGATTTTCGACAAACGCATTTCAAAATTGTCTTTTTTGTTTTAATCGTATCGTTTTGATCGGGATCACACATTTGGTTTTTCGTAGTTCTTGTGCCACTTATTTTCATCAAAGCATTATTAATACAAAATGTACAAAATATATAGTTCGTGTGTGTTTTCACAGAAATAAATAAGTTTGGAATACAAAATATAGTGAATTATATAAAGGCATGCTTCTGTAAATGTCTCTAGCTGCTTCAGCATCCATTCTCAGTAAATACAATACTTGGATATTCTTCCTAAACAAATCAAATATATACTTTCATTCTATTATAGGTGTTGCACTTTGACTTGCCGAAAACAAATAACAAAAGGTTAAACGTTGAGCTTACTAAATAGATATGTGTTTGCCATACAAAAGGGCCGAATATTACAGGTGTGTGTGTTTTCTGTGTTTGAGAGTTCTGGTATTTTGTGTGTGTATGTTTTACTTAAAGGCGTTTAGAGGTGGACAAATGGATCAGGCGAAGGCTGCCCTCAGCTGGTCCACAAGCGTACATAATAATTTGCCACGATGCCGATTCAGTGGGCGGATCGTATTTGGATCGGTATATGGTATCGTATCGTATCACACGGGGCTCGCCTCGCATTAGAGGAAGTAGGGGGTGGTGTTCTGCTTGGGTATCACCCGCTCGGCGTCCGGGACCGCCAGGAAGATCTTCGTCTGCCTCTGCTGCGCCGTCTCGAAGCTTAGGATGGCTGCCACGTTCCCGCAGCGGTAGCAGTAGTTCGGTGCCGACCACACGGTTACCAGCTTGCCCTCGAACATGTACTTGATGCCCTCGTTGACCAGCTGGTGCGCCCGGCAGATCAGGTCCAGGTTGTTGATGGCCATGAAGTCCTTGGTCACGTTGTGGCCGAACAGCCAGCCGGCGCCGCGCGGACTCTGGCCCCAGTACTCCATGTCCTCGGGATCGGACCAAACCATGTCGCAAAAGGCGCCTTTGTACGGGATCTCACCGTTCCGCTCGATCGTCCGGATCTGGTCGAGGGTAATGATCTCGGGACTGAGGCCGCCGTGCACGCACAGGACCTCCTCGTCAATGATCTGCGATCAAGAGACAGGGATTACATATCGTTGATTGTCTCATTTGGTGGAGCAACTTACGGCGGCGATTGTGAGCAGATCGAAAACCTTGCAACAGTACTTCCATCCGTTGGCGTTCCCGTACTTGCTGAAGCACTCGTCGAAGAATCCGTACACCTTGGTGATCTGGCGCGTCTCGTGGTTGCCCCGCAGCAGGGTGATCCGGCTGGGGTACCGGGCCTTGAGGGTCAACAATCTGGTGAAGGTCTCCAGTGAGTAGTAGCCCCGATCCACGAAGTCGCCCATGAATATGTAGTTGGTGTCGGGCACTTGGCCTCCTGTACGGAACAACTGCTCCAGGTCGTAGAACTGATTGGGAAACGTTACGAGGATTACTTTGGGATCAAGATAAGGCGCAGTATTGGGCTCACCTGGCCGTGGATGTCGCCGCAAACGGTAACGGGCGTGCTCACAGGCAGGATGTTCGTCTCCTCCAGCAGAATGTCGCACACCATCTCGCAGAGCTTCTTGAGCTCGTTCTCCGGCAGGTACTTGCACTCCTTCACCATCTCTATCCACTTGTCCACATCGCCCATCTTGACTGTATTGCAATCCGCCGATCCTATCCAAATCCACAAAAATAAAATCCGTGTGTTGATTATATCCCGAGCTAGAGATGGGAAAATACCGATTGCTCTTCGAATAATCCCGAATCAGTTTATTTCTGAAATACAATTTATAGGTAGTAATAAAAGTGAGCGACTGCCATAAATATATGTTTAAATATTTTTAAAAACAATAATTTTATTTTCTAATATACAATACATTAACACTGGTTGTGCACACACTGATGAACTAGTTCTCTCCGTTTTTTTTTCCACAAATGTTATCGATAGCCACTCTGATACTTTCAAAAATTCAAATTCAAACTAGTCCCTGTGCGCAAGCGGGATTTTTCTTATTCTCCATTTTTTTAAGCCAAAGCTAAATCAGTTGCAATTAGCTTTTAGCCGCCACAAATCATAATTAGTCTGTGCTGAAAGCTTTGTAAATCCTCTTATTTTAACCCCTCCACAGAACTTCCCCACCATTTATGCATATTTCTTAAGCCTTCTTGAAAATAATCACGCTTTTAAATTTTATTACCACGGCACGCTACTTGTTAGCTGTTTGTTTTGTTTTCCGTTTTGTGTTCGCTGCCTTTTCTTTCGGGTGTTACGGACGCGTGCTGGCATGCGTTTTTCGGTGGGGGTGGCATGGGTTAATGGCGCCGGTGCTTGTTTGGAGTCTCATTAGCACGCTGCCATTTGATTGTACTCTTTGCATCTCGAGTTGGAAAAATTAACGTGCCATAAAGGTGACAATTTTTGAATGGGGAAATGAAAATAAAATAGAAGGTGCGAGTACAATTTGATTGCATTCTTAGATTAAATTAGTGTTAAAGCGTTTAATGAATAAACTCTCTTGATTTGTAAACAGCAATGTAATTCTTTTAAAACATTTCGTTAGTTTTTTTTTTAGTTCGCTTTTTCTGTTATGTGAACCTTCCCTTCACTCCCAATGAGAGAGGGGGCTCTTTCCCGCTCCATTTTTACAAAGATGGCGTGCTCCATCATTAGTGCCGTTACTTTATGCCCTTCCGTTTTGGTATTCAACTTTGGCTTGTTCTCGCAGCAGCTTTTTGTGCTCTTTTGGCCAGCTTTCTTCGCTAGCCCTCCCCCATATCCTGCCACATCCTTCCATTGTCCTTGCTGTCGCTGTTTGTGTCCGCATGGCACAATGTTGACAATTAAGTTAAACTTGTTTTCTTACTTCGTTTCGTTACGTTTCGCCAATTTCGCTCTCCCTCTAAAAGTCAAAGTCCTGTCGTCTGCGGCTGATGTGGCCGATAATTATGTGCCCCCTGCACGGACCAAAAGGACACGGACGGAGGAACAAGGACAACAGACAGTCACTTGCCTTTGCTGTCTTTGCTGACACACGGTGCCAAAAAGTTCATCATTTTGTTGCCAAAAAATGAGTTTCCCAATTTCGAAACATTTCCCCGGTATGCAACATTTTGAAGGGGCTTGATAAATGAAAGTAAATACCTTTCCCATCAAAAAAAAAAAAGAATTTTGAATGATTTATGAAAGTTTTTTCTTAAAAAAGTGATAAAAATTGACTCAAAAAAATTGTCAGGGGTACAAAATTTGCAAAAAGTTGTATTTTTCCAATTTCTAAAATCCTGGTATGCAAATAATAATAATTATCGGGGTACAGTTAGTATTTCCTCTGTGCAGGACAGCGTGTGAAACATGGAGAGCAGGCGAAAAATGGTCAGCAATGGGTCATTTTAATTTCTGGCATTGTCCGCCTTCTTTGACTGAGTTGGTCATTTTAGCCGGCTTTTCTCTTACTGTTGACATTTTGTTAACTTGTTTTTTCCTGTGCCACAGCAGCCACGCCGCTTCACCCACCTACAATTTTTATTTTTTCCATTTCTCTGACGGCTTTTTGGCTGCTCTTGCTCTTGTCGCTTGAATTGTCGTCGAAAATTAAATAAAATTAATTACCGCGTGTGTTTGTATATAAACATACACACAGTGACAGCGAGACAAGACAGCGATTCGCGCACCACTGAGCCACCTAACCACCCAACCTCCCACAGTGGGAGCCAGTGAGCCACCCAAAACGCCTCCCAACCACCCACATTCCACCACCCACCTGTGCCTTTTCATTCACGCGCGTGTGCGTATGCGGCGACCTCAAGAAGCCCACAGTTCGCCCACAGTTGCATCAACATTTAAATCAACAGCAGAAAGTCGCAGCCGCAACATCGGGACAAAGGATTTACGACTGACCAAATAGGAGGTCACTTTGTCATTATATTTAAGATCTAATGAAGCGTACCAGGAAGTGCGCAAAGCCAGGATATTCCCGGAACTGAGAACAGTAATTTAATTTTGGGGGTTTGGGAAATTTATGTTGTTTCGATTAATTCTGTTAAACCTATTAAAAAGCTTAAAATGCATTTTGTTGCTATCCATAAGGTTGAAGAACGCAAACGGGCAGCAGCTAAAAGATAAAGAATTATCCATTAATTACAACCGAATCCAAAAAGGAATAAATATCAATAAACGCATTTTGCAGAGAGAAGTGAAAGGTAAGGAGCAATTGCAATTACAATTTTTCGCAGGCTTGTCCCAGAAAAAAGGTTTCCCCAGTTCCTGTCCCCGGGCTTCACTGTATCCCGTGGCGAGAGCGTGTCGACGGAATCTCCATCATCATTATCAACAGTTGCCATTCAGCTACTTGGAGGCACAGCGGGTCGAGAATCCGGGAATCGCAGAACTCCGGTCGAGTCGGCACTGCCGTGTTGCTTTAAATTATCTGTTGTTGCTGCCGGCGCCACCCAGCACAATACAACACCCAACCTCCTCCACAGCCACACACTTCCCCAAAACTCGTCCGCCCACTGCCACCCTCTACTATTTAACGCTCCAGTTTTAGCAGCCTTCTGCGTTGGGACAATTGGTAAGATTGAATGTTTCACTTTATTTAATCAGAATAAATTATATTTTTACCATTACAGTTATTTATTTTTAACTGAACATGTTTACTTGTTATTATAGAATTACGCCTAAGGAACCTATTTCTCATTTTTGATAAATCCAATTTTTATTCTCTGTGTAATTTGTTGACGGCAACATCTTGCCACGTTTGCTGTCATTTTTAGGCGGGTTCTCGTGTCGTTTGGCCACGTTTTGTCGCCCAGCTGGCGGTGCTTGGTGTGCGGGCGTGTTTTGGAGGCGTTACTCCGCCCTGGCTTCCCCTTTTTCCGCTTACTCAACTCCCTACTTTCATCGTCTCCGTTGTGTCATTTCATGCGTTTGCTTTGTTTTATTTATTTTAACTTTTGTGCCCATCTACCGCTCTCTACCGCTCTCCCTCTCTCGCAACACCCCCAACTCTCATTTATTCCTTTCCCCACCCTAGCTTGCTATCTCGCTTTCTCAACCAGTAGATTGTCATTACTATTACTTGTTGTCGTCTTTGCTTCTTTGTGGCCTTTTGACTTTTTAGTGCTTTGGCATTTGACTTCTTCCTCCTTTTCATTCCATTTCGACTACAGTCTCCTCCCACAGTGGCGTCGATGAAGGGGAGTTTCGGACTGGTGGGAAAGGGGCTGGGCAAATTGTAGTACATAGTTTGCTGTTGCGATAAAAACGAAAATAAAAGCCGAAGCGAAGCAGATAAAATTAAATAGTGACCGAGGTTGGACAGCAAAAATTAAGGTGCTGCAAGAAGCGCGAGATTCGCAAAGGTGGGGCTCTTTGTGGGCGGCACCTGCTACCGTGGGCGTGGTCCACGTGCAAAAACTAATCGTTCAATTAAGTTGCCCGCGAGGCGGCGAAGTGGCGTGGCACCCATAACATGTCCGAAACAAGCAGTGAACGCAAAAAGTTAAAGAAAAAAGAAGAGCTGCAAAAATAGAGTTTGTGCAGATTGTATTAGGAAATACAAAATAAAGTGCACTGTGAAAAACTTTGTGGATCTTAACTGGTGTTGAAGGTAAGCGATTTTTAAATTCACGCTTAATTGTAAAGTCAAGCTAACACCAACTTGTTTTGAGATCTGCATGTGTTAACAAAGTTAAGTTTTCCAACAGGATATTTCGCACTGGTTCATTGTATTTCAGCTCAAACGGTCAAAAAGTTGTACTTATTTTGGTAAAGAAGGGTGATCCCTTTAAATGATGTTTTTTCTCTGCAAAGGTGCTCCGCTGTCGTCTTCCATTTTATTAACTTCCGTCTGCCTCTTGTTTTCCCAATACATCTGCAGTGTAATGGGGCATAACGGGAAAAGGGTAAAAGGAAGAAACTGGGGAAGGAGTGAGGAGAGGAAAGGAGGGCAGCTTCTACCCTTTAATTTCTTTTGAGCACAAAACAATTATCAATTAATGTACCGTTATGTGTGTATTTTTACGTGCGTACGTGCTCGCGTGTTGGTGTATGTTTGTTTGGAAATGAAATTTTTTGAGCTTACATTGTCAAGCGGCAATGAAGAACGAAAGAAAAGTGGGTGGGGCAGCAAGGGGGCGGTAGAAAGCTGTGGAGAAAGGGCCGCTAAGTAAGGATGGTAGTCATTCTCTGGTACCCAGAAATAAAGTTTGTTTGTTCGCATTCTCGACGGAAAGTAAATATTTATTGTGTTCAACATAAAGTGCTGCGATATTGAAGGAAAAACGCCAGAGAAGTGGAATAAACAAAGGATGTGGATGCATGAATTCGATACCCCTATATTTTTCACTAAAGAATACGGATAAAAGAAAGAAAAACCACAAAAGCTCAGCATTGATTTCAATTTATCGTCGTGCTTGCATTTGCTATTCAAAAGACGTTGTTAACTTTAAATTTTAATTTTATACTCGAGCTCCTTGAGTAGTATATTTCCATGATTATTATTACAGTGTTCGAATTTCGAAGTGACTAATTTATACATGAAATGCATGAATAATTGTTGACTGCCTTTGTATGTGTAAAAATCATTATTATTTTTGTGGTCTTTGTCACCAAATTCTGTAGCCATTTGGTTAGCTGTTACACAGGAAATCAAATTTAAAAGTTATTGTTATCATTTAACTTAACGTGATTCAAAGAAGTGTAATCCTTTCTGTTCAAAAAAAATCTTTAGTTGCCTTTAAAAAATGTATTTATGCATAAAATATTTTGTAGCTTGCAAATTCTTTTTGCAAAGTGCAATTCGAATTGGATAATTCGTTAACAGCTGGACGACTTGTTTTAGTTAAGCCTTTTGGCCCAAAAATTAAGTCATTAGGCCATTATGGCTTAGAGCACCCGCATATATGCAACGCAGATCAAGGGGAATACATATGCAATTGGTAGGCGATTCGGTGTGATTGGAAGAGGTTGCAAAATGCAATTTGGTTCATTTCAATTTCATATGATTTTCATCCTGATATCATTTTGTTTTATTATCTCGCCGGTAAGGCTCTGTAACATATCGCAACATGTCAGAGCATTTTATTGCATTTGATTTCATTTTCTACATGTTCATTATAGTACCCACACACATTAAATATCTATATATCATACATACGTATCATACGTATGTATATGTACGTACACACATGTATATATCGATATACCCTTTGTTGTTGCGCACACGTTTCCATTTCATTTTCCAGTTGATGTTTTTTGAGCAATGCATTTTATTTATATTTGCTTAATTTTACTCTATTTGCATTGTTTTTTATGTAAATGATTGCAATTGTTGCCATTTGTTTTTGTTGTTCTCGATGATGCGGCTGCCTTTGCTGTTATTGTTGGCTGGCTCGATTTGAAATTCCCTTTGAAATTGCCGTCCATGAGTCGTCCTGTCATTTGGAATTGGTTTTCAGCCCGGGGAAAGTGTCCTGAAATTGTCAGGAAGTGTTGCTCCATTTACCAGCTTACTCTTAATCCGAAAGTGGCAGAAAATCTTAATTTATTTATATAGTATATATGCCCGAGCTTATTAAATGTAAAAACACATTATTTTGTATTTTCAGTATCTAATGAAATAGATCGAAAACGAATGCAAACTGAAAATGAAATACATAAATATTTTAGTGCTTTTGCATTAACGAAAAAAGACTCCATTATAATAGCCTCTGATTAGGCCGCTTCCTAAAAATTTGAACCTCACCGGTCTGTAGCGCTGCCCCATCAAATTGTTTGTTTAATTTTCGGGCTCGCCTCCAATCGGGCTTCAATTAAAATCAATTTTTTGTTGGCTCAGTTTTCCAGCGGCAGGAAAAGCAATTGTTCACGTCCCTGTGAGCGAGGGTTGCGAAGTGGAAAACGGTTGAGTATTCTGTTTGGGATAACCACATAAATAGTCGAAAATCCATTTTGTCTACACGCGCAATTATCTGCACTTTAAAATGTACATTGCCCAATGGGTGTGTGTGTGTTTGTGTGTGTGACAGAGTGTGTGTGTGCGATCCTATTTACGAACACAGATGCAAAAGCCCGAATGTGTAAACATAACAACTCGTAAGCTTTTCGGTCCGTTTCTGCCCGCATAAAATGCCTGTCACTGCCAGAAAGAGAGGGAACACCCGGAGAGAACGAGATGGGGCAAACACACACAAACACACAGGGACACACAAAAATACACAGGCGCGCAGACAGTTACTAAAAAGACTAAAAGTAAAACTTAGGAAAATGTTAATTAAATTCCAACAACGAATCAAGTAATTTACAACGACCAAGTAGAAAACCCCAAAGCACCGTTGGGTAACCTCCCACCACCTCGCCCTCCTTCGAACACGCCCATCCGCCCCTCGAGACACACACACACACACACACACACACACAGTCACACAAACAGAGGCCGTGGCAATGTGGCATGACAGTAAAATACGGGAAATGCTTTAAGCTAACTGTATTTTCGTGTGCGGCTGATGCCCCTAATGCCTTCTGCGTTTTCCCAGTTTCCCAGTTTCCCAGTTTCCCCCCCTCCATCTCTATCTCCCGTTTCCCGGTTCTCGGTTCCCGGTTCCCAGTTCCCGTTCCCGTTCCCGTTCCCGTTCCCTTTTCCCGGTTATCGCAGTCGGAACCCAGAAGGTATCTAAGTGTCTCCACAAATAGCCAGCCGACAAAGATGAAAGCGAACAAGTCGAAGGATTGCCGGGAAAATGATTCCTAAAATAAGATTATTTTCCATAAGATATTTTCCATAAATCCTTAATAATTATTTATTTATTTAAAAACCTCAACATAAAAACCAAATCATATTTTTCATAAAATTTTTATTGATAAATAAATATTATAACAATTTTTAGTAATTAAATAAAATAATTAAAGTATGTTAAGTGCAGTAACCATTTGTATAAAATCGCGTCGCCTTGCTCCTAATTTTGCAACAGCGTTTAGACGCGTGCTAGAGTATGTTCCTTTCCCTATCCTTGGGCCATCTCCCTAGTCCCGAGTCGCGAGTCCCGTGTCCTGCGTTCTGCGTCCTGCGCCCTCTTCCTCTTCCTCCACCAATTACTTTGAGCTCGCTGTGCGTTTCCCCTTTCGCCGCCCCCCCTTTTCCCCTCTGCCATTGTTTGAACGTGCGAAATGAGTGCAAAAAGTCGCCCCAAGTTGTTGGCCAGGTTGGACCGCCTTGGCTGCATCCTGGTCCTAATCCAAGTCCCTCTCCCTTGCCCACAGCTCCTCCAGCTCCTCCAGCGCCACCAGCTCCACCATTTCTGGCCACGATGCTCCAGTTGGGCAAACTTCAAAAACAAAAACGATTTCCCGCCGGCGGCAGAATCAGCGGCATGGCAGCTTCTCTATCTCGGATTTCTGAATCGTGGTTATACTCTCTTTGGAAAACCCTAAAGGGAAACTTATTTGCAGTTTTCAAAAAAATCCTAAACTGATTTGGTTTCAAGTTCTATTCTATATTAAAATACTAATCCAAATATTAACTAAAATGTATTTTGGAGATAGGAAATCTGTGTTTAAAAGTTCATAGATTCAAGTATATCCGAAACTTGTACAAATTACTTTAAACGAGTATTACCCAATCCGTTTTCCTAGCCCAAAAACAAGAGTAAAGCCGTTCTTATCCAAAGCCAATTTCATCCTCTTAACGCAAAGAACTTCACCTACAGGATATCCCAATCTTCGATCTCTGGCGAAAATCTCTTCCTTTTCCTGTCCTTTTTTTTGCTGTCGCTAATGACGCAACGGCGACAGCGGAATGAGCGGCTGCGAAAGGGGGCGGGGCGGACCCGATGGGCGGGACATTTGTTGACTAGCCCTGGAGGAGGAAAAAAGGAAAGGAAAAATAAAGGAAAAACGGCAATCCCGCCCGTCGTGGAGAGAAGCGCGAGTGTTTTGTCTGAGCGCTCGAGGGCCTTCGCTTCGATTGGGCGGATCGGGGGCTCTCTGCGGGGATCCACTGGCTTTCCGGGGGGGCAGTGGCGATGGCGGGGGTGGCAGTGGCGGGAGCTGCCACTCCGGGGACCCCTCTGATGGCTGATGGCCAGTGGGGGGAGGTGTAATTGCTGGTCTGCGGCCGATGTCTGTCCTCCGCTTCGCTTCGCGTGGGCCCAAAAGTTAACAACACAATTTCGGCGGGAAATAAAAAACAAGTTAGTTAATCCCACAACGTGTTGAATTTAATCAGTGACCAATTTTTCACTTACCTCGCCAACAACGCCAATCGAAAAGCCACCGTCTCGTACACAACGAGAAATTTTCATAAGAAATGAGAAATTTAAAGTGGATTGAATGGAAAGTACAAAAAGTGTTCTTCAAATAACAGATCATCTTTAATTTTGAGTTCGGAAAAGGTAGTGTTAAATGGTAATAAGAGTTGGTCAGAGTAAGGGTGTACTTTTCGGTGGAAACCCCATTTAATTTCTCTCTGTGGAGCTCCAAGTGCCTGCCACATTTCGGTGGGTCGAAATGCCTTGGGTCATCAGGCAGCTGCAGCATCGTTTTTGGCATTGTGTGGGCTGCCTGCTTTTGCTTTTGCTTTTGAACAGCCCCACCGTTGTCCAGTGGAGCCAC